GCAAAATTCACCAGTCGTTTTATGTTTCATTGTAATACTGACTCGTGTTTTAACTAATCACAGTGAAGGTCAAAGCTTCCCTATGCTTTTTACCGCTACCTTCTTAAAATGAATACAGTATAGTACAACAACTTTTCTTTTATAAATAATAACACTGCATATACTTGATGACAATCCATTTCTTTTGTTGAGACATTCCATTAGTGTAGAAACCCGCCCATGGAGGGTCCCGCACAATTCTCTAAAGTGTTCTAGAACTGCAGAAGTGGGTCAGGTGAGATCGAACAGAAAAAAAACCAGCATTTTTTACTAACGGGCCGCAGTTTCTGTTTCTCCTTTAAGTATTTCTTAATTTTTCACATATAAATATTTTTGTTATTTCAATATCACAACAGTAGTTGCTCTTATTCATAAGATTTCTAGAGGTTTTGGAGACCTGGCAATAGGTATAGGTCTAATAAACCCCTTACATAGTGACTTATCTAAAATGGTTTTGTGATTTTCACAAGCAATGGATGGGTTTGGCGACTAGTGAAGTATTTTTGAATTACTGTAGCTAATAAAGACACCACAATTAAGTAAACGCGTGTTACGTACTTACTCAACCAAATTTAGGAATTAAAAAGAACAGAAAATAAAAGGTAAGGATTACATATTCGGTCAGCGGAAGGTTACAAGAAACAACTGTCAACAATGCATGGCACTCTAAGCGACAGCGTCATTAATAGCAGGCAGTTTAAAATTCAACATATGGATGGTCCACCCTTTATTTCTGATGCCCGAAATGAATGTAGATTTGAATTTTATGGCCACGTTTATTAACATTCTGTATATTTGGTTATTGGCATTTTTGAAAAGAAATCTTATTTTTCATTAGGTGTAGGTAGTAGGCTTTGGAATCGTTTTATTTGGAATGTCAAATATCAAACAGTCAGTGTTGTGACATATCTAGATACCTACTTGTAGTTAGATACCGTAACTAGATACTTTGGAAAAAAATGTAACGATATCTAACTATAAGGCAGAACGCTCATCGAGGTGACGTGACATATGACAAGTGATCTGATAGTGATAACTTTTAATGTTCGATTGGTGAGCGCATATATATACCAATATATTTATATTAGTTCCATATTTTGTGACGTTTCACTTGTCACGTTGAGCGTCATGTCACCTTGGTGAGCGTTCCACCGAAAAGGCCCTGGAATTGAGTTTAAACAAAATTTATATCTGACAGTTTATTGTTTAAAATGCTGATAATTATTTTGAAACGGGGATACCATTCTTTTAAGTTTATGATCAGATATACCAAATCGTATAGATACCTCATTCACAAAGAATATTCAGAATAAACTGAGATATGCTAGAAAAACCGAAATTTGCCGATTTTGTTTTTACTTTTTTGTGATGTTATTTGAATACATACAAAAAAATAAAAAAATGACTTTCTCATTGCCACTTTTTGAGATCTACAAGCTACAGTTGGGAGATTCAGTAGCATCTTTTAATTACGAATACGATGTACCGCACACAAAAAAAAGTTGGAATTTGGAAACTGTTGGTTTCAACAGGATGGTGCACCCGCGCACAAACCCAAATCGTGCGAGAATACCTATTGACCAAATTTCTCCGATAAGGGCGTTGTGAGCGGGTGCACCATCATGTTGAAACCAAACATTAGTAATAAAAAATGCTACTCCATACCGTGTGTACCTTTTCTACGGGCCATATAAAACAGGTATAAATTGTGCACAACTCTTGTGCAGACAACGCGCACTTTTTTAACCGAAATAGCTTTTGTTTTGACATCACCAATGGGTACATTTCTTGCAGTCTCAATCGCGTTTGTGAGTACCCTCTTCCGACAATCCGTTATTGTTGGGGTATAAGGGAATATACCCGATCACGATAAGAGGTTGAGGAGGAGGGCTATGGTTGGTAGAAATTAATTCCTTTCGTTGAGACCTTTCATTAGAGTACCATAAAGGATAAAACTAGTTCCACTTCCCCCTCCACCCCGTACTTTGATAAGAGGACAGAAAGAAGGACAGTAGTGGTAGAAAACGGTTCCTTCCGTTGAGCTTTAATTAGAATACAATGAGATAAAATTAAGATTTAACCCCCCCAGGCCCCGTCGCTCACTCGTTTCCCCTTAAATTCCTCTCCCCCTCCGATTTCTAAAGTTTAACTTGGCACCACTAAAGGCATTCGTATGCAAAATCTGAGACCAATTGGTTGTCTATAATAATAATAATAATAATTGTATTTATTATTCAACAGAAAATATTTCCAGTAACAGAACAATATAAAAATTTAGTATAAACTGCAGTGTAAGAAATATCAAAATATCACACAAGAGAAAAAAATAAAAATAAAATAATAGTATAAAACATTATAGAAAAAAAAGAGTGAAGAGACAGAGTATGTTAATTAAATTAATAATTTGCAGATGCCATGAGCGGAAGAAAACCTAGAAATCAAGGGAAATGAGTAAGTGATTGGAATAATAATAATAATAATAATAATGTCTTTTATTAATTACACATCTTGCAACAAAATTTATAACAGAAAAAAAAATTATATTTATCGTGTAACTAATTGGGCGAAGTTCAGATGACAGTATTGAAACCCACTGCCTCTGCTCTTCCATTTAACCCAGTATATTACTTACATTATAAAGGGGATGAAACATGGCTTCTAATTATAAATAATAAAAAAAAATAAAATTAATGAATTATTTACCCACAAGTAAAACTTAGTATAGTAGGAAGCGGGCTTGAGTTGATATCGCAGCGGTGACAGATGTCCATGTAAAAGTTATGCACGTTTTACTTTCAAAAACAGCATCTCGGGGGAATAATTCGTGGGGGAGTCCCCCTTTTAGACAGCGAAATTTGATGGCCGTGTGACATACCTTCAAGGTATAGAGCTACCTACTGCAAGAAATTCCAGGACTCTAAGACCATTCCCCTAGAAGTAGTTCGAAACGGCAGAAGTGGGTCCGGACGGACGGACAAAACGCAAACAATAGCACATTTTTTTTAATTCTTCAAAAATGCGTGGAAGATGATTTGATAACCGAAACGTAACGTTGTATTGAAAATTCCTCAACAGTGTCTTGTAGATAACGTTAACGGCAAAAAATCGAGACGAAATCGGCAATTTCCGGTTTTTCTGGCATATCTTCGGCATTCATCGGAATTTTCTAGTTTTGATTAAAGCATGATAACAACTCTTTAATTACGCATCTTTTCTCTAATTTGTCGCGTCGCGTAGTATGCTTTCGGAGACCCCAGGTATACAGGGTGTTCCTTAAACACATGCTAATATTTAAGGGGGCGATTCTTGGACCTATTTTTAGAAAAAAAACTTCCTATGAACGTATGTTCTAAACGTTTTAATTTTTTAGATAGGTACATGATGGTAAAATTTTAAAAAAATCAGTTTTTTAATAATAAAGATTTTCATTTTTCATTTTCTCTACCAACGGCGTCCGTACGGCTTTTGCATTGAATATTTTTGGAGAAAAAAATACTATGCCACTGCTTTCTCTTAAAATAAAATTAATTTTTTTAAATCCTCATTCAAATTTGATCTTCTGGCTTTGTCCAACGCATGGTTTTCGCTTGAAAAATAATCGTTTTACTTCAGGATCGATTTCCTAAAAATAAGGGAAAACCATGTGTCGGACACGCAAAAACCAGATCAAATTTGCTAAAAAATGAATGAGGATTTAAGAAATAAATTTTATTTTAAAAGAAAGCAGTGGCGTAGTATTTTTTTCTCCAAAAATATTCAATGCAAAACCCGTACGGGCGCCACTGGTAAAGAAAATAATTTGCAGATCAGAAAATGTATCTTGATGCATAGAAGACATGTACCAAATTTCATAAAGATGTCTACAATATATTAATTCTGTTATTATTAAAAAAACTGTTTTTTTTTAAACTTTACCACCCAGTATATCAAAAATTAAAACGTTCATAGGAAGTTTTTGTCTTAAAATGGGTCCAAGAATCACGCTCTTTAAGCAACACCCTGTATTTATCATGTTCTAAAAATATTCAAAATAAATGGAGAATAGTCTTCTCAGAATATCTGAGATATTATCCCCATTCCCATATCCCTATAGTATATCCAAAGAGTACATGTTCAAATATATCTTTTCGAATATTCCAGAAATATGCAATGTTATCTGGAGTTGCCAACTGCGGGCCTTTCTTTCGAGGAACAAACTCCTTAATAGAGGATCTTCCTGAAGTTCAAAAACTCGGTAAGATCCTTTTGAAAGACCCAGAGCAAAAAGTGGGAACACTACCGAGACTGTAAGGATACATTGAGCGAATAAGCAAAAAGGACATTGCATGTCTGTGGAAGTAGAAGGGCTTTTGTGTACATGGGGTTTGATAATACTGTACTGTGCACTAATTATTTATTGTAACTCTCTTGTTCTGGGCCTTTAACAGGCTTTTGCCCAATATGGCGGCCTGCCATGCCAGGAAGCAGCTAGGTAAAGTACAGAGACATCTGTCTGGGAGTCACTGGAGCCATGAAATCCACGCCAACTTTGACCATGAAGGTAGTTCTGGGACTAGAGCCTTTTTACACTTAGCTGTGGATGTAGAGGCTTCGGTATGGCTCAACGAGCTTATGTGGGTTACAGGTCCCTAATGAAAAAATCCCGTTCGGCTCAGTCAATCAGGTGCAGGTAGATTTCTATAATTGTCCGCCATTTTGTTCCAATATGGCGGAATTGGCTGATTTATGAGTTACACGAAACCTTAAAGTTTGGTCGAAATCGGTTTATAATTAAGAAAGTTAGAGTGTTTCTTGGAAGTGATATATACCTACAAACATATTTATATACTGGTACCATTACAATAGGTAGACGAAATCTACCTAAAGGGAACAGGCATGGACACATATGGTGATCGACCGAGAGTTGACATCAGCTTCTCCTCCAGGCTCCCCTAATAGAATAGACAGGCATCGATAAAGAATACTGGCGAACAAATTCATTTATTGCACAAAATAAAACGTCAACTAGATATTTTTATAACAAATACATACTCATTTGTAATTAATAACGCAATGGACTTTAATCGGGAGAATGAGGAACTTCTGTACTAAAATATGGAGCCGATGATTTAACTAGCAGTGTATGACACACATCACAAACTTTCGACGGTCTTTGATTAGGACCACTACAAACAGTATGATTTAAACAAGGTAAACAAAATATCTGCCCGCAATGTCTGCAATGCTGTTTTTTTCGTTTAGTCACATTAAACATTGATCGACAAGACGGACAGTCCTCCACATCTTCCTCGTGCTGCCACCGAACTTGGGTGTCCGCATCTCGAATCTTCTCTAACTGAACCTGTTAACACGCACAGTAAAAAATTATAACAAAAAAAGTCGCAATTAACCTGGAGGCTTTGAGAGAGACGAACGAAATCCTTTTGCACAGTTTCACTGTTGTCCAATTCCTGCTGCAACGATGCAACTCTCGATTTTAGTTCGTTGTTCTGATCTTCCAATAGATTCTTAACATATAAACAACCAAATCATAATTCAATTTCATTAACATACACGTTACCTTTTCGCCGGATAGTTCATCAATTTGTGCCAGAGTTGCTTGATGAATTTTGTCTAGTGATTTTAATTTATCCTGTGTGGACAGTAACCTCTGCTTTTCCGCTTCCAATTGCTCAGTTTGGTCTCTAAAATGTTTGCTACACTACACGAATTCGTTTCTAACATCACCTACTTTAACATGGTAATTTCATCTTTCAAAAGTAAATTATCAGATCTCAAAATGTCGACTTCCTCCTCGACAACTTCTTTTGCAATTTTTGCGATGATTAACTCTTGATGCCCTCTGAGAATCAGTTCTTGTAAATCCTACGTACAAATGAAAACTTATTGGGACGCAATATCCAGGTCTTACCTCTACAACATTGGGCAAATTAATCGCTTCGCTTTGTAATTGTTGGGAGTGAACGCTGTACTTTCCCACAAGATCCTCATTTTCCCTTTGTAATCTGCATAAGTTAACGTAATTTAAAAAAATCAATCAACGAAAACAGCTGAAACTATGAGATTTTTCTTACTTTTCTAGTTCATGCTGAACTTTTTCCCTCTCGTTAGTAATCACTGTTAATTGTTGTCTAACCTCGACCATAGTGTGTTTAAACACATCTTGCAGTTCCTTTAGATCCTGTTCGGCACAATCAGTTCTGGTAGTTAACTCTGCGACTTGAAGTTTATGTTGTTCTTTTTTTTCGTTCCATTTCTCCTCAATTTCCTCTCGAAAACCTATCTCTTTTAATAGCTCCTCCCGATGCCTGTCCACCGCCTTTTCGGCCCTTAGCAATTTAAGCTTTATGTCTTCGGTATGCTTTTGTTCTTTAACTAGTTCGGTTTCGTAATTACTGCACATGTCGCATTGCGCGATGGCTGTGTGACGCCCCTCAAACGAGGTGTTTGTGGCAGTTGCGTGTAAACTGGGATTTGCGGAGGTCTAGTGTAAAATCATTATGGGAAATAGTTAGTTGTTTTTCAAACAATATTACCTCAACTCCGGTATGTTTACATTGACATTTTTGAAGTAGATCGTCCGCACTGCGCAGCTTATCTTTGAGGGCTTTAATTTCTTCTTCCAAAGGAACAAGAAGAGATCGCAATACTTCGACATCTTCCTGTGCCTAATAGCAAACACATTAGACAGACATTAAACATCTACTATAGTCACGTGTAATATTAAGAAATAAGTCATCAAATTAATGTCATATTATTTACTCGTTGTGATATAGGGAGGGGTTTCAGCATGTCGAATGTAACATATATCTCTGCTACTGAATTGGGTTCCTGTAAACATAGCTAATAGTCAGAGGGACAAAAGTGAGAAGCTAAGAACATAAGCGGTTCCACTTTTGTGTATAAACAGTTACGCTTAGTCCGTCTGGTAAACTGTTTTTCAAATATACAGGGTGAACATTTTTGTATTTTTCCTAAATCACAATCTCCGTTTTGAACACTGGGAAATCAGACCTAGTGCTTTAAAGGTTCAATCTTCTTAGGTCGCTTTCTGTAAATGCAAAGCTTTCCCAAACAAGTGTAATTTAAGGTACTTATGCTACCAAATCTATTCCATTTTTTTTAATCGCAGCATTGTTTGAAATTTTGAAGAATGTACAAATTTAAGACTTTGTTCATAAGATTCCTCTTATTCATACATCGCCAACAGCATTTCATATTCTTTGCAATAGGCTTTACTGTATTTTGTAAATAGCACCTTTTCTTCTGCTTTGCAACAAACCATTTTTTTTCTGAAGACAATGATTTTAATAAAGCTGAAGTGACATTTCCACGCATTTCGAATAAGCTGCTCACTAGAAAGCCGATATGACTTTATTTCCCTTATTTTTAATTTTTTGCAGGTATAATAAAAAACACTATAACAAATGCATGCCTAATTGGTTTTTAAATCACTCCGCTACGCGTCGTGTCTTTAAACTCATTGCGCGTCTTCTTAATAAGTTTTTTATGGTATCCAAAATTATAAAAAGTTTCCTACGCATCTACATACTTTAACATTGTGGTCAGTGGCGTGCGTCTGCAGAGTCAAGTCATTTTTTAATAGCAACCACTATTTTTTATTACATATTTCCAAAGTGCACACCTTTTTGGATATAGAAACTTAACAAAGTTATTATATTACATAACAAAACTTAATAGAGCAACTCAAAATAAGGGAAATAGTTGTTTTATAATTAATTTTATAATTCCACTAGTTTGCGTTGAAAGAAAAATGTTATTCTTTTGTTAGTTATGGGAAAATAATTTATTTAGACAAAAATCATTAAAAATTACAATTGCGTGCGTCTACAGAACTAAGAGGGAACCTTTTTTAATGGGAAGCACTATTTTTCGTGAGGTCTTATTAAAAAATGAAATTTTTTTAAATTACATAAAAACATTAAAAAACTTTAAAGAAGATTCTAAATAAAGAAATTCTCGATTTTACCGAGTTAATTTTTTACTAGTTGGCCTTGAAACAAAAGTAATTTCTGACGTCTAGTTATATCAAAGTAGATTTCTGTGTCCGAATAAAAGTACTGTTTTGTCTCTTTCTGAAAATTGTAATGATGTATTATTATGGAGAAAGGAGAAGAACTACGCTCATCAAGATCGTCTACCTAAATGATTAAGAAGTCAATATGAACACATAAATGACGAGAGCGTATTTTCTTCTAAATAATAGTAATGTTAGGACCAGGAAAAAATACCGGCAGGCACGAGATCTTTACCCCATTCTCTTTCAAATGAGCCGCCTATCGTCAAAGTCTATACAGTTGTGAAACATTGTGAAACTGATGTTAGATTTGCTTTTATTCCAAGATTTCATTTTAATGCTTTCATAATTAAGAAAATTGGCATTGGGCATGCGCAAAACAATATTTTGAAAAGGCCGTTAATTTTACTTATATTCGTAGTGATTACATATAAAGTTTCATTTAAATATCTTCATGAATAAAAAAGCATTGCGCATGCGCTAAACCAAATTTTTAAAACTACGCATGCGCAAAACCAAAAAATATCGGTATGCACGGAATCCTTAGACCAAGCGCTTTCAAATGAACCCCATATCGCCCAAATCGATTCAGTCGTGTAGAAGGAGTACGTGTGACGGACGGCCGACAAAGTGCAACCTACAGCGATTTTTCACTTTGAGGAAAATACGCTAAAGAGTACTCGCAACATGGACATGTACCACAAAATTTTGTTGGAAGTTGCGGAAAAGCCGAATATAAGTTCCCGTTGCATCAATACCAACATTGATAATAATAATAGATATTTATACAATACATAATTAATAGATAACGCGCAATTATTTTGAGTACAAGAAAAACTCAAAAAAATTCATATCTAAAAAAAACAAAACTAAAACGTAGACAAAATGTAAATTCTATTATATGCGTGAAATATAAAAGAGCAGGTGTAACATGATATTTTCACTGGGATATTATAACAGTTTGGTATCAACAAGACGGAGCTCCTCCCATCACACTCCTCCACTAAGAACCTACCTAGAAACAGTATTTCCCAATAGGTGATTAGTGCAATATGGATCAATCGAATGGCCTGCTTGCTCTCACACTGCTGGATTTTTTTTATAGGTCACGTGAAAATGAAGTTTGTACCAACAGACCAACAAATGATTCTATCTGAACGATCTTTCCTTAGTGGAGAGAAATAATATAATGTTAAACAAAATCAACATGTTATTGCATGCTACTCATATATACAGGGTGAGTCAAAGCACGAGGTGCCAAGAAAGAATTTCTTGAGATTGTGCTTTTACCTGATAATATGGTAAAATATGAATATTTTAAAAACACTTTGAATGCGAACACAAAGTAGGGTCCAAAAAGAAGGGTTTTTTGAAAAAATTAAGACACCGTGTATTTGGTCTTTTTAATATATGTAAAACCAATAGAAACGTTCTAATTTTGAAGAAAATTCAAATTATATTAACAAAATCGCATTGCCTATTAGTCCAGGAAATAGAGACTGAAAATGGACCATTTTCTGCATCGCGAGAAGTAGTTCCAATTTTTTTTCCATGTCATGAAAGAATATCTGGTGGTTAAGAATCCAAGTTTTCGACCTCCCACCCCTTGTGCTTCCCCCGTACCACCCTTAAAACCAAAGAAATTTGGTTGGTTTTTTAGTTTTTCAATCATATCTTTTTATAGATTCATTTTACAAAAAAATATTTTTATCAGAAATTGTAGACTATACAATTCTACACAACTTTTATACAAACTACTTTTTTGAAAAATGTTTATTAAAAACGATATCGAGCTACAGAGTTGCTTATATTTTTAAAAATTCTGAAATTTCTATGTAGATGTTTTAACCAAATTTTATACTTTATGTCTATAATTAAGAGTTTTATGAGAAAATATCTTGAACTTATCGTGATATAAATCCCCCTACGCTGCACCCTTACCAAAGGGGATGCATAATAATTCAACTTTCAACCCTTGCTAGTGGGGATATTTCAATCACTGTGAGATTGTAGGGCTTTCTAATATATCGGGCGATCAAAAATGAGTGACTGTCGAGTCGCCTTTGGAAGTACAAGTTAAGTACGATTTCCCTTGTAAACAAAATTTCCAAAGGTGACTCGACGGTCACTCATTTTTGATCGCTTTGTACCTACGTTTGAAAAAAAAAATTATCTCACTTCAGTTCAGCTTCATCCTTCACCCCCCCCCCCCCCCCCCCCCGCGGCAGGAATAGATATTTAAAGAGGAATAGAAAACATACAGGGTGACAATTTGAAAACTTACCACCCCCCATATCTTAGTAAATAAACGAGATATTAAAAAAAATCAAAATCCGTTTCGGTAATTCGGAGGGGGAATCACAATGACATAGTTGGCGACGCACTCCCTCACACCCCCTACGCCCCAGCCACCCCAACTTTTAAATCTTAAATAGTGACCCCCCATGTGTGATACGTCGTTGGAAAGCTCTGAAAAAATGCTTTCCAACCAATACCAAATAGCATTACATTTAGGTTAGTAATTATCGTGCAAATCAAAAAATAAACATGGAAAATCGTATTTAACTTGAACTTCCAAAGCCGACTCGACAGCAACTCATTTTTGATCGCCAGTTATAATCTATTCTCAAACTCTTGTCGGCCCTTTTCAATGTTGGTTTTGCAATATTTCGACATTCTTGAATTATTCTCTGTCTTAGTTCGTCTAATGTTCGCCGGTTGCGTTTTAAATGCGACAGATTTCAAATGTATCATATTAGTTTATTTTTTGATTTGCACGATAAATACTAACCTAAATGTAATGCTATTTGGTATGGTTGGAAAGCATTTTTTCAGAGCTTTCCAATGACGTATCACACATGGGGGGTCACTATTTAAGATTTAAACGTTGGGGTGGCTGGGGCCCAGGGGGTGTGAGGGGGTGCGTCGCCAACTATGTCATTGTGATTCCCCCTCCGAATTACCGAAATGGATTTTGATTTTTTTAAATATCTCGTTTATTTACTAAGATATGGGGGGGTGGTAAGTTTTCAAATTGTCACCCTGTATGTAAGTACTACTAACTTCACAATCGCCACACGAGCGTTGAAATATCTATTCCTACCGCGCGGGGGTGGGGGGTGAGGGTGAAACTGAACTGAAGTGAGACAATTTTTTAATTTCAAAAGTACATTAGAAAGCGCTACAATCTCACAGTGATTCAAAATCCCTACTAGCAAGGGTTTCAAGTTTCATTATTATGCATCCCCTTTGGTAAGGGTGCAGAGTAGAGAGATTTATACCACAATAAATTCAAGATATTTTGTCGTAAAACTCTTAATTATAGAGATAAAGTATGAAATTTGGTTAAAACAGAAATTTAAGAATTCTTAAAAATATAACCAACTCTCAAGCTCTATATCTTTTTTAATAAACATTTCACAAAAAAGTAGCGTATATCAAAGGTGTGTAGAATTTTATGCTCTACAATTTCTGATAACAATATTTTTTTCTAAAGTGAACCATTAAAAAGACATGATTGAGAAACTAAGAAACCAACCAAATTTCAGTAGTTTTGGGAGTGGTACGAGGGAAGCACAAGGGGTGGGAGGTCGAAAACTTAGATTCTTAACCACCAGACGACTGTCTGACATGCAGAAGAAATTAGAACTACTTCTCATTTTGCAGGTTAAAACCCTCTATTCCCCGGACTATATTGTTGAAATTAGTTCTATAAACCACCTTCACATCGGTATAAAAAATAAATAGGGGGCTTTGACGCCTATTTCCTAACATTCAGGTGTCAAAAATAATTTGGTTTACATAATTATTTAAACAAATTTATTCAAAATGTACGTGGTGTGTCTGTAAATCCCGAGTTACGAATTATCAGTGCACTACCTTGCGGTCTTTAAGAACCAAAACAAGCATAAACCACTCGCTATATCACTTTCGCCCTATGCTGTTCAAACGAAAAATAAATAAACAAAAACGTACATGATCATCACCGTGTACCTTGCACATATTCTCCTCAACAGTATCCTGTGAATTAAAAGTATCCGCACCGAGTTTTCTAGCCAAGGTTTTAGTAACTGCATTTAACATTAAACTAGGGACTAAACTTGACGGTTCCTAGATAAATTCAGTGATTAGCTGTACCAAATGTCAACCGCATACCTGAATGGTACGTTGAGGGGACTGCTGCCTTCCAGCTTTACGCTCCCCATTTTCACTTTCTAGTCGTCGTATAATGTCGTGTAGTTTCTTAAGCTCCATGGCGTAAATTGTCTTGCAGTTACTAGACTCTTCGATAGTTTCTATGTAAACCACATAATTATCAAAACAACAACAGACAAGTACAAACCATGCACTAACTGTTGAAGAGATGCTATTTCTTCCATCTTACGCTCCTCCATGTCAGTACTACTCTTTAATGTAATACCGGTAACAAGCAGCTGACTTTTTACATCTTCCAACTCCAATTTTACTTTATCACATTCCTGACTCAAACTCTCATAGTCTTTGCTTTTCCGCTCTAATTCACCTAAAATGACAGCTAGAATTTAAACGATGCAAAGCGCACACTAAACCTTCTTTCTGAAGAAACAAGTCCTTTAGTTTGGCACGTTGAATGTCGAACTCCTCGCGCAACATCTTATTATCCGTCTCGAGCTTAACAACTTTACTGTGCAGAGCTAAAATGTTAGGTGAAAATTGTGTAATAAACAAATGCACTTTTACCCTCTGAAGAATCGGCTTTTGGGTCACAATTTTCCATATTATGGTGCTCAACTAAAAAATTTAGTCACTAATCGTTTTTATGCACAAATGTAAAAACAGGGCATCTGCCCTGTCTCCTGCTGTTTCTCCCCAATTTCAGCTTTGGAGAAAACAAAAAAAAGACACTTTATTATATACAGGGTGCGTAACTACATCGCAGGATGCGCAAAATTGTTTATGCAGTGTGCTCGTGCGCGGAGTAACGGAGTTGGACATTTCTATTTGTAGGTTTACCGTTTTCTTTTTAATTGTTTGTTAAAGCAAGCTTACAATCGGAGGTTCCCATTTAGACGATCGTAACGATTCTTTGTTTATTTATACTAGCTTTTGTTCCGCCACTGCTTACCATATGATTTGTGTCATGTGTTTCTACGTTTTGCCGCGACAGCGCTGCCGCCATTGGCAGTGGTGAAACAACAAATAAAGTAGACTTTGTAGTTGGTTGAACTTTTAGCTGTTAATGGTGATAAAATCTTTGCAGGAAACGCTTGTTTTATTCGCAAATGTAGTGTAGTGTTATTGTTTTCCATTAAAGCTCCTATTTTGGTATGGAGGGCCAATTTGATGATCGTGAAAAGATGGTTGATCGTCAAGGAAGGTAATTGCGTTATACTTCTACTGCAAGCTAAAAGTTGATGAAATTTCACACTTGTAACTCCTTTTAACTAACTATTTAACTTAAAAATGAAAACACATGCCTATTCGGTAAGGGGATTAACGACAGTCAGTGTCGAGGATCCTGTTATGAACGCTTGGGTGAGAATTTAGCTTGTAATTAACTTGCGTTAGGTAGCGACAATCTGTAAGTAACCACTCAATTATTTATAACAAATTCATCCCGCAAACTAGTTTTATAATTATGTAAGTAGTATTCCGTCACATGTTTCTGTTACAGCTGTCTTCTGTTACGATACGCCAGTCAAAACTCGTTAGACGAAAGTTCCCAGAAACATATACCGCGTCCGAATGGAAAAGAAAAACCCCCTTACAGAAACCATCACCATTGCCATCGCGCATTCGATATTGTCAATAATATGAGATTGTAAGATGTTCGATATCCCTTCGACCAGTGACTTATTTATTTGGTTTAGGCAGAAACTTTTGTGCGACGTCGTTTTAATAGCTGAGAGTATAGAAATTCCCGCCCACAAGATGATTCTTGCGGCTTCGTCGTCCTACTTTTATGCGATGTTCACGAATTTTGAGGAGAGTAAACAAGATCGCATAACTTTACAGGGAGTGGATCACCAAGCCCTTTTGCTCTTAATAGAGTACATCTACACGTCAGAAATTCAAGTCACAGAGGAGAACGTTCAGGTAATAATTGATGATAATTAAGATCGTTTACGGTGAAGGAAAATCATTTTGATAGCCTTGCATTCATGACAGCAGGTAATGGTTAAATTGTACATTAATTAATGATAATTTACTGCGTGATTTATTGGCCATTAGTTTCTTATTGATATTATTTTTAATTAGCTCCCTAAGAATATTCAACAAGAGTTGCCGACATAGTTATAAAAAGACTTACCAAGCAATTTCTCTCAAAAACTAATTGTTTTCTTAGGCCTGCTTGTGCTAAAAATTAGATGCACCAAATTTGTATTAGGTTTGAGTACTGAGCCATTTGTTTTTGGCAAAACGCAAATAAATCATTCATCTAAAATACAAACGTAAACTTGTGTGAAACCATCAACATCGCTAACCAGTTTCTTACATTGCCTTATTTTTTTTAGGATTTTCTAGAGCTTTGCTCGATTTAAAAACTTTTGATATAGAAGTCACTGTTTGTAGGCTAATATTTAGTGCATCTCTGAAATGCACCTTGTTCCGTATACGAATGCTAAGGTAACTATTCACCTTCCTTACTGCATCACGTTCAAATTAACGAATAAGTTTAGAAATAAATTGCTTACTTTTTCTTGGTAAACCCCATGGCATTTTTAGCGTATACAACTTTTGGAATTCGGCACATTCCGCTTAACTACAGAACCATTGTTTCGTGGACTGCATGTACAAACGTATCTTAGAAGGATCCATTACAATTCAATCTTGTCATATTTTGGACACTTTTACAGGGTATTCCCGTAATAGTTGGTGCTATGTTGCTATCATTAATATAAGTAGGCATCATGTGCTCTTTTTGCGCCAAACTGGAAAATGGCCAACTAAGAATGCAAGGTACTGTATCTGAGAATCTATTCGTCGTAGAGGCTTGCCGTAAAAAATTTATTACTAAAACGCCCACGAGAAAAACCTGGAAAATATTTTTAAGCTTCTGAAATGACCGCTAGGGGGCGCAACTGCAATCTGGAATCTAAAAAAGTGATGTTTCTGTGAATTCCGCTATATTAACCTAACAAAAAAATGTCCGGTCTTTGAAGTTGACGATAATCTGAACAAGTTTTGTTTGACACTTTTTCCTGTATCTCTAAAAATGAAGTGGTGGGGGGGTATTCAAAGGTTTCCGTAAAGAACACCCTGTATCTTCGAAACGGCTGAACCGATTTAAACAAACTCGGGTTAGTTCAAAAGAGCTATTCTTCAGCTACAAATATTATAATGTTTGAAGTGTCGTTAGTTTCACATATCACCGCTTGAGGGTTTTTTTCGACATTCTGACAGAAATGCTTAATTTTCTCAAAAAAATTAAATGCATTGGTTCGGTTTTTTTTTCATGAAAAAGTAGCTAAATTATGCCTAAACAAGTTCGCGAAAACAGCATCTCGATATCTTGAGATATATTATATATATATATTTTTATATCGTGATTGCCAGCATTTCGAGCATTTACGGCGGCATTAAAAGCTTCTTTTTTTAAATCAATCCACCTTAGGGCTACAAATTATATAATAAAAATAATTCCGGAAAAATTAGCTTAAAAAAATAAAATTTTGAGGGTATAAAATTCTTTGGTCTAAATTTTAGGTTAGGAACAAGATATCGGCATCATTTTGTTCTAATTTTTTCAATTTTGGGTTTCAAAATTTGGTTTTGCGCATGCGCGGTGTCAACTTGCATATTTCTGAAAGCATATAAGTGAAATTGGATACATAGGCACTTGAAAATCTAACGCTAGGGGGAAACAAGTACCTTTTTGGTGTACACCAAAAATTCAAAAAAATTCAAATTCAAATTAATTCACGTTAATTCAAATTAATCACGTTCATTTTAATTTCACGTTAAAATTAATTCACGTTTAATTCAAATTAATTCACGTTAAATTCAAATTAATTCACGTTAATTCGAAATTAATTCACGTTTATTCAATTCAATAATTCACGTTAATTCAAATTAATTCACGGTAATTCATATTAATTCAAATTAATTCAGAGGGGTGTACACCAAAAATTCAAAGTTGATTCCCTCTAGATCTAACGCCAGTTTCAAAATTTGGTTTTGCGCATGTGCAATGCAAACTTTTTTATTTACGGAAGCATTTAAATAAAATTTAATTTGAAAGGGTCTCGTGGCTACGGGTATTTTGTCCGGCCCTAGAATTAATATGTATTATTAGGAGGAAAATACGCTCTCGTCATTTATGTTTGCATAATGACGTTTGACTTGTTTAGTGTAGTTTATATGTTTACTAAATGCACACATTATAAACATATTCATTATTTATATCATTATTTATATATTTATATATATTTTTTTTAAAAGAAGAAAGATTGTTATGGTTGCAACTTTTGTGACACATTATATATTTCTCTCCTAAGGTTTTTGTTCTACAGGGCGTTGTTTTTTCAGGGGTCATGTTCGATTTTCTCTCCCTGAACTTTTTCGTTGCGCCACTGGTAGATTGTGGAACAAGAATTTAATTTTCTGATTTCTTTTGGAAATTTTGGTCTGTGACCCTTTTCGAGAAGAAAAAAATAATTAATTTCTCGTAGTAAAAGAAAGTATAGTTTTTAAAATGGTCTAGTAGGCCATGTATTTATTCAGATAATCTCCTGTTTTTATTAGTTTAAATTGTAAGGTACAGTAGAACTATCACACCCTGTAGATAGGTAATGAAGCGTTCGCGGACTGAATTTAATATGAACTTTCAGTCATAAAATACGCCAAAGAATTAGTCCCTTCCGTATTTACATCATATTTTGATATTTGGGAACACCCGGTATAATTCTTCTTTGTTTTAAAATTACAAATTATTATAGTATTTATACTAATATTAATACTTTAGTTTACATTTTGAACTTCACGAAGAAATATATAATGAAATTCGCCCTTATCTTTCAATCTACCATAGCAGGTGGGGCGAACATTTTTTTCAAACCAACCGAGAGCTTGAGACCATAATGGTGGTGCAAAATTGAAGGGATTTTAAAAAACTAGCTAGTTCTATGCTTTGGGTTTTGGCCCTTGATGTATTTAGAAGAATCGTCCAATTTTTTCTCGACTTAATTGTGACACCTTGTATATTATGATAAATTATCAATTGTTTTTGAACATTGATAATAATAATAATAATGATATTGCCTTTAATTATCACCGAAAACAAAACAGAAATAAAATATCACACTTCTACAAGGCGAAGTTCAGTTTGACTGAGAGTACCGCCGTCAGTTCTTCCACTTAACCTTGGACAAATTGGATAAATGCTGTTTCCTTTTACTGTAAACTGTGACTAAATATAATAAACCGATTTTTGTTTAGATTTTACTTCCCGCTGCCAACATTTTGCAGTTAACAGACGTACGGGATGCGTGCTGCGAATTTCTGCAAGCCCAACTTCACCCGACCAATTGTCTAGGAATACGCGCGTTCGCGGACTTACACGGCTGTTTGGAGCTACTTAGTCACGCGGAGACCTACATCGAGCAGCACTTCTCGTGAGAGCACATAATGCATTTTACATTAAAATACCTAGTCGATTTTATAGGGAGATCATCGAATGTGAGGAATTTTTAAGTTTAAGTAGTCAACAAGTCTCCAAGCTTATTAGTAGCGACCGTCTTACCGTGCCAACGGAGGAAAAAGTAAAACGACAAGGTTATTGTGGTTTGTATTCATACGTTTATTTAAAAGGTATTCGAATGTGTGATATCTTGGGTTCAACACGATCTAGAGGAACGTCAAAAGTATTTATCCATTTTAATGGAGCATGTTAGGCTTCCCTTAATGTCTCAAGATTATTTGGTACAGAGAGTGGAAGAGGAACCTCTACTTAAACGTGACCTACAGTGTAAAGACTTCATTATAGAGGCTCTGAAATTTCACCTGTTAAAAGGTGACAATAAATTGTGTAGCATTAAAACTCCTCGAATGCGTCCACGTCAACCGGTTGGATTGCCGAAGGTACTACTAGTTGTAGGTGGTCAGGCGCCAAAGGCAATTAGAAGTGTAGAGTGCTTTGACTTTAGAGAAGAAAGGTGGTATCAGGTTGCTGAAATGCCTACGAGACGTTGCAGGTAGGAGAGTTGGAGTATCGTCGCAGACAGTCATCCTTTAATTTCAGAGCAGGTTTAGCAGTTATCAACGGACGGGTTTACGCCGTAGGCGGTTTCAACGGTTCTCTACGCGTGCGTACCGTGGACGTTTACGATCCGATCATCGATCAGTGGAGCACATGCGCCAGCATGGAAGCCAGACGATCGACGTTAGGAGTTGCAGTTTTGGGGAACTGCATATGCGCGGTGGGCGGATTTGACGGTTCCACTGGTCTAAATACGGCCGAAATGTTTGATCCTCGGACTCAAGAGTGGAAAACGATTTCGCCAATGTCGACACGTAGGAGTAGTGTCGGTGTGGGCGTCGTTAATGGTGTTTTGTATGCGGTAGGCTGAACGTTCGTCAAGTCTGGGCTGGTTTTTTGATTCTTTTTGTTGTAGGTAGGCGGATATGATGGAGCGTCACGTCAATGCTTAAGTGCCGTTGAATGCTACAACCCGGAAATGGATGTGTGGACCTCTGCAACCGATATGTCATGTAGAAGAAGTGGTGCGGGTACGTTGAATCATAATAGCATTCTTAAAATCATACATACATGAGTGGGAGATCATGTGCCGTTCTCTAGAACAACCGTTCATTTCCTAGGTGGATTAAATATTTTCGTTGACAAAGTGGGGGTTTCTCCGTGAAACATTAAATAACTAGCAGTCCTGGCGCACTTCATATCGTCCTTGGGAAATCTGTTTTTTTTTCCGTTCCCGTGGGAACTTCGGAAAGTTCTTTCCGAGTATATTTTAGCGTTTTCAGACAAAACTATGTTCTAAATCTCTCTTTTCAACTGTAAAATATAAAATCCCGATTTTTTCCTGTTCCCGTTCCCGTGGGAATTTCGGAAAGTGTTGCACTAACACAGAAACTTTCGCGGGCATACGTCCAATTATTCCCCAAAGTTTCATTGCAATAAGATGAACGGTTTAGACAGGCGTAAGAGAGAGACAGACAGACATTTATTTTTATTTATGTAGATAACAGCTGCAATTACAGTGTGCACATTTTAAATTTTGGAAGTTGTGTGAGTCAAGAGATGCCGTTTCAGGACATGGTGGTGATGTGTTGCAAAATCACACTGTGCACATTTTAAATATGTGAAAGTGTTGGTAAGTTAACATATGCCTATTAAACTTTGCTTTGCACTATTACCAGCACATAAGAAGACTACAGCGGGCTATGCGCAGATGACTAATTTAAAATCTGGCTCACTGTGGCGCACTAATAGGTGCACTTACAGTAGGCACTCTAAATTTTTCGTCAATGCCCGATTAGTGGATTTGTTTGAGATATGAAACATTGTTTGTCTTACATCTTCTATGTTGGCAATAAGTTCCTGTAGATGACTAAAGTAGGTACAAAAATATATTGATAAAGTGGTAAAGAGAAAGATGGAACACTTCATAGAAAAATAGGTACAAAAAGTCCACAACTGCATCTCTGTCATGGTCAAGGCAGGACCAAATGCCAAACCAAATTTTTGCAGCTGCAGCAGGTCAACTGAATCGAGTACCTACTGTAATAGTGGAGATGCGCGATCTTACGCCTTCTTACGTGTCAGGTACAGTAGTTCGTTGTATAATTACACTGTGCACATTTTAAATCCTTTAAAGACTTGAGAGATTTTGGTTCAGAATGTTGCAAAATTGTAACATGCAAAATTGCTAAACATTTAGAGGGTGATCCAAGTTGAATACTTTCTAATGGAAACACCCTGTATTTTAAGAGATACAAAAAAATGGATCTAGGTGTGTGGAGCTCAATTTTAAAGAGAATGTCATTAGTGCAAACAGAATTCAGCTATCGTTAATTGTTTGGTCGAATTTACTTGATTTTTTCTTTAACGCCCCATATTTTTCTTATTATCAAAGAATAGGTACACACTGTTAGTATAAAGCCTCTGTGCGTACCTAATCCATGAAATGTAGGTATACAGTTAGCAATCTGTTACTTGTGCATATTACTTTAATTTGATTAATTGGACAGTTGGTAAGATTGAAAACAATTGATTTGACGAATGTTCTTCTTCTTTACATTTATGATTTACATTTATGATAATTTTCTTCACATTTTTTTTCAATATTTTAATAGTTATGCTGCTATTCGGGTCGGGAGACAAATCCAACAAATTAACATTCATGAAAATCGGTCCAGCTATTCTTTTTTTTATACAGTGATATTCATTTAGAAGTAGACATAGGGATTTGTGTATTTTTTCCCTATGTCTAGTTTTAAATGACAAAAACCCTTTTGAAGGACGCCTAATTTTATGCAACCAAAATAACTTCTTCAAACAAATGAAGAGTTTGCTGTCATATTAATTAATTAATTGGTCTATTAGTGCCGACATTTTTATTTTTGTTCGTGTGCGATGTATTCAATTGAAGAAAAAGTTGATATTGTCAATTGGTACAGTTGTCAATTGGTACAGTTTAAGGAACATAAAAGACTTATTTTCTGTGTTAATTCCTAGTGGTTGTTTAAATGCGATGACAATTTTAATTTTAATTGAAGATTTTTGTGTAAGAGAATCCCATAAGAAACTTAAGGGAAATAGTGGCCGAATTGAATATCTATTCATCATAACGTAAAAGCATACTTTACTGTCATTTTTATTAATATCTACAATGACATGCAAATTGCGTGCGCAAGCTATTTTGGTTGCATAAAATTAGGCGGCTTTCAGAAGAGTTTTTGTCATTTAAAAGTAGACATAGGACATCTCTATGTATACTTCTAAATTAATAACACTGTATGTACAGTGCGTGAAGTTTAACTCTGAACATACAAACCTACAATCGGCGAATACCCATAAAATATCGGCCATTTTTCAAAAATTTAATATTTTGAAGGTTTCAATTTCGTTTAAGTTGCAAGAAATAGTGACACACCATCAAATATTGTCCATGTTAATTATTTCGACTGGAAACCTGGGAGCGGAGCGTCCTCTTTGGCGGCGCGTCTTCTCACAGCCGTACATTTTTAATTAACACACATTTCTTCTGCCATCTCTCACAGTACCATTTGCTGTGCAAATTTTTCGGTCCTAAGCTGGTCAGTTGTGCAGTATTCTTCGTCAGAGAATATTATTCCTTAAAAATGGCTCTAAATGTTGTGTGGGGCTATTTTACAAAAAACTGCACCATATACCAGTTTTGTAACTGAAAAAGATCAAAACTATAAGCCTGATTTGAGCACCAGTTACGTACACTGGAGTGCGAATACGTGGCCATGAGACATGAGGTCATATCGGCGATGCGGCCAATGTTGGTGATATTAATATCCGTATTGGTCTATCCCTAATGTTGATGGTTCAATTGATAATGAACAGACCAGAAAGAGAACTTGCCACGTTTTAATTGAAGAAGACCCAATTATCATCACTGTATAGCTCTGGCACTTGAGCTAAGAAAAATCTTGACGATTAATGTGCGCTTCGCAATATTGACCTGCTTATTTATTAGCTTATTTTGCTGACATTTTAAATACAGATGTTTCTAGTAAAGCCAAACATATCGTATATGGTAAAAATCGGCTGTGCACATGCGCAGACGGCGGAATGCCAGCTCTCTTATTTATGGAGATATTTCTTTGAAATTTTAGCTGAAGCTGGCTTTAGTAAATTCAAACATATCGCATACTGTGAAAGTAAGATGTGCGCATGCGCAGATTGTGCAAATGTTACCTTTCTTATTTATAGATATTTTTTGAAATTTTAACCATAGATGCTTCAAGTAAAGAAAAACATAGCGCACTTGCTATGGCCTTTTGGGATGTACTGATAAATGCATGGAAAATGAACTAAAGTTATTCGCCTTAGAGCGCAAATATTTTTACTAGTTTAAATAGTAGGCTATAGAAACAATTGATAAACACACATCGTATGTAATAATAAAATTCATGTTAGTTTAAAAAAATGTAATGACGAAACTAAAAACATATTTTGATTTGCATGTACAGCTCTACCCTGTCTACTTATAATTTTTTTTTTTTAAATAAATAAACGTTTAATGAAAATAATAGAACAAGAACAAATTACATATAATTTGTATACACATTCTAAAAATGGAGCTACAATCATTATTGTTATTATAAAAATTTTATGCAGAAAATGACAAACAAAAAAGAGGAAACAATGAAAATTAAAACGTGAAGAAAGTGGTATTAAAACAAGGAAATTGAAGGAAGTATATCAATTATTTAATACTAAAAATGTTCAAAAAATCCGCCATGATGATTAATGCACAAGTTAACATCTATTTAAAACAGAATTCGTTGCGTGGCCAAGCAACAGGGAAAATATTTCTTTTAAATGATTTTGTACTGTTTTTTGATTATGAGGTGGTGCCCCATCGTGTTGATGCCAAGTGTCAACGATGCCCCACCACATATTAAATCGAAACTTAATCTAGGGTGGGTCTTCTTTGTTCCACGTGATGCGAATTTTCTTGGATCTATTAAATACTTAATATTGAAAAAAAGTATTGTACTGTTTACGAAATACTAGCACCCTAATCATAGATTTACTTCATAATCGCTTACACGTTTCCTCTATTTACGTAGGTGTCGGCGTGTTAGAGGGGATCCTCTACGCAGTGGGAGGTCACGATGGTCCATTAGTTCGTAAATCGGTCGAATCTTATGATCCAGAAACTCGAACGTGGAGTTCGATTACAGACATGACTTTGTGTAGAAGAAATGCGGGAGTCGTTTCCATGAGTGGCCTGTTGTATGTGGTGGGAGGCGATGACGGTACGAGCAATCTCGCGTCCGTTGAAGTGTATAACCCGAAAACGGACACTTGGACCATGTTACCTAGCAGTATGAGTATCGGACGTAGCTACGCCGGAGTTGCGATAATGGATAAGCCCATTTGAAATTTAAACTTTGCTAGCAGTGGGGTCGAGGTCTCGGAAAGGTGAGTCGAAATGTCCGTTTGAATACAGCAGTTATTTATTTGATAGTTACGGGAACGATGGAGCTGAAGGAGCTGTTGGATATGAGAGATTGGAGAATATCTACGAATCTGTTAATAATGACCCCAATGGTAGCAACGATAATCACAGTATATATGAAAGAATCGGTATCGACCCTAGTTCGGCTCAAATCGCTCGGTCACTGTCCGTACTAAACAATGTTGAGGAACCGGGCTACGTAAACGACATGCCCGGTTGTAGTTTGTACGGACGTATAGGTAATACATACGGTCGATTGGATATTATCGGGCAAGGAATAGGAAGAATTGAAAGACATTTATCTTCTTCGTGTAGTAGCGGCATGGATAATAATCATTACTCTTTAGAAAATGTTTACGGTACCGTCGACGGAACAGGAAGGATAAGTAAAGTTTCCGTGCAATGGTTACTAGTTAACAAATGGCTTCCTATGTGGATTAGTAATACCAGTAACGGAATGGATTATAAAGTCTTGAACTTCCTAGTCGACGAAAATGATGACAATGACGATGGAGTTAGATAGTGACTTGTAGCATTAAGTACTTCTTAACGCAGGACATTTAATTTTATAATTTTATTGTAGTGAAGTGAATTGTACCAGTGTATAAATAAATTAGCGGTACTTGTTTACATACTGAGTAACAAAATAGAATAGTAAGTATTTTTAATCAGTTTTCATGCCGTCTGGTTATCCAATTGTGGTTAGTTAGGCAGTCTAGTAAATGTAAACTTCAACTACAGACCAAATTGTGGGCATTTCTTTGGTAGAGGTGGTAGGGATTTTGGTATAGCATGTCGACGAAATTTTAAAAACAATTTTTTTGGGTTAAGTAAGCTTAGAACCCACTTGTTTTATATTCCCTAAAATTTTTTTGCCGACCTGTGGTGTGCAAGATTTTTGCAGCTTGTCCTATTTAACAAAATACACTGTTGCCATTTTAAAAAAAAGTACGAGAACGAAAATAAATTAGCACTTTTTCTTTAAGAGACTCTTGTATTTTGGTTGAGACTGCAGTGTATCTCAGCTGTTTTTAAAGTTAGACGCAAACTTGCGCTTTTGCGACCATGTGCCAATTATAGATATTTTTACGTAGAATCCAGTAGCGTGCTAAATAAAATTGTTTGGACCTCCGTTTTTGAAATTTGACACAAAGTTAGTATTTTTTCAAATACAACACTATATCTTACGTCATTTGTTTTGCATTCTTTTTCCAGATTACATTGATTTATCACAACCCATATTTCTTTAATTTTAGCCTTGAAAATCAATAAAAACCTTACTTTTTATTGTTTTTAAATAGTATGCCATGGATTAACAGCGATTTAGTTTAGTTTATTGTATCCATGGTAACCAGCCAATACCAATCAGACAGACTGACTTTTGTTGAGTGTATGGAAGTTTTGCTCGATACACTATTCGTCCATAGTTTATGTCCTTTTCTGTCTCCCCAGACGAATGCATGGCAGTTGAAATCACCCGCTATCACCAAGCTTTTCGTGTGTGCTAGTCACAGCAAGTTTTTCAGCGTATTTTCCTCAAAGTGAAAAATCGCTATTGGCTGCACTTTGATGTCCGTCCGTCTGTCCGTCACACGTACTCCTCCTAAACCACTGAACCGATTTTGGCGATATAGGACTCATGTGAAAGGGCTTGGTCCCAATGATTCCGTTTTTGGTTTTGCGCATGCGCAGTGTCAAAAATTTAGTTTAACGCATGTGCGATGCTAACTTTTTTATTTTAGAAGATATTTAAATGAAACTTTATATGTAAACACTACGAATATAAGTAAAATTAACGCCAGTTTCAAAGTTTGCTTTGGCACATGCGCAATGCCAACTTTCTTATTTATGAAGGCATTTAAATGAAATTTTATACATAGGCATTTAGCATAAAGACAAATCTAACACCAGTTTTAAAATTTGGTTTTGCGCATGCGCAATGCCAACTTCCTTATTTATTGAAGCATTTAAATGAAATTTTAACACTTAGGCACTTGGAATACAAGCAAATCTAACACCTGTCTTAACTATTAATGAAACTAAAACTAATACCGGTTTCAAAATTACTGTTTACGCATGCTGTATGTTTTATTTATGAAGGTATTCAATAAAATTTCTAATGTGGACAATGCGCAATGCTATTTACGAAAGTATTTAAAAGCGATTCATGAAGAGGATGGGACAGCATTAACAATTAGAAAGAAAATACACTCTCGTCATTTATGTTTCAAATAGCCCCTTATAATTTTTTTTTAAGTTATTCGACAGATTTTAATATTCTATTTTTCTTTGTACAACCTACAAAAATTATGCTGTTTTATTACAAAAAATGGAGAAAAAAAATGTTAAAAGTCAAAAAACTAAATTTTTTTTGGCAAAACGGTTATTTTGATTTCGTTAAAATTATGGCAGTGCACATTAGGCATAAAGGATGTGAAACTGTCAAAATTTTTTTTAAATATATGAGTTTTTAGGGCCGTGACATACAAATAGTAACCCATATTTTTAGCGCATTTCCCAACGAAGTTGGGTGCACTATTGCAGTCACTTTGTCTGTACGTCTGTCTGGGGCTTTAACTACTCCTACAGTTTTCGAGATATTAAGTTCGTTCTTATTTTAGCATTCGGTAGCGTATAACTCTAGCACCTGAGCCAAGGAAAATCTTGACAATTAAACTGCGCAATGTCGACTTCCTTATTTATTTATATATTTTGTTGAAATTTTAACCACAGATACTTCTGGTGAAGGCAAATATATCGCGTTTACGGCCAGTTGCACCAAAAAAATAATCCAGGATTATTGTTTAATCCGGTATTAAGACATTTAATTTGCTTTATATTGCAGTAGGTAGCCATAATCAAATGTCTAAATTCTTGTTTAAACTCAGATTTGGCAAATAATGTAAGATTTTGATTATAATTCGCTTTCCTGCAACCGGCCGTTAGTAAAAAATCAGTTGTGCGGCGCCTGCGCAACGCCAACTTTTTTGTTTATGGAGATATTTCTTTGAAATTTTAACCATATATATGCCTCTATACTGCATTCATTATAAGAAGGTAGTAGATGGCGCTGTGTTTGAAGATAAGCACACACAGGAAAAATATAAACCGGCACCAAATTATTGTAAAGTAGAAATATTCCGCACTGCACACAGAAATAAATCTTTGACATTAACAGCTAATGACACTTCAACAGTTTAGTTGGCAACAGAAACTACCAGTTTGCAAAATTCGCCACTCGTTTTATGTTTAGCGTAACACTGACTCGTGTATTAACCAATCACCAGTGGCGTATTTACGGGGGGGATGAAGGGGATATATCCCCCCCAGAAGAATTGAGTTAATCATCATAGCTATTAGGTATTTAGGTAATACTCCGCTATCCGCTCCGCCCACTTTAAAATAAAGGCAATAATATATAGGTATATATAGAGAGCAATTTTGGTTTTGGTTAAAGTCTAAAGTCACTAAAATCTAAATATTCTGTAGTATTCACTATTCAGTGAGTGATCAGTGTTGGCAGTCAACGATTTGGTTATTCGGCATCGATCGGCAATTCGCTACATTGATGCCCAAAATAACAAATAGGTATCAGGTACTTAGTACTGCTACTGAGGTGAGGTACCTGCGTCCTGCCTTTCACGAAATGACGAAAATAAGAATTTTAAATTTTAAAAACAGGAATTTTTTTGCCCATAACTTTTGATTGAGACGTCTAATCGAAAAAGTACGAATCGTTTTGGATTCTACGCACCCAAATTAATCAGAAAAAGTTTTTTCCCGAGAAATTTTGGTGCAGTCGATTTTTGGAAAAAAAGGAAGGTTATACACTGCCTTTTTTTTGCCCCGAAAAAAAAATTGTCTCAGATCGACCGGAAAAAAATATTTTCTTATAGAATGTGGCCTGTAGAATCCATAATTTCAAACAGTTCCAAGATCGGACTACTAGATTAAAAGTTACAGCCCTTTGAATTTGTTGTCGAAATTGGTTTTTTGCCCATAAATATACCAATAAATATACAAAAGTAAATAAAACACGTGAAGTCGATGGAGTATTAATAAGTATTCTTTATTTGGATATTTATATTGACAGTGATGATTTATAAAATGAAACGCGCACAAGTATTTACGAGAGAACGTATCATAGACAAGTCAGATCAGTATTTAATTAGCAAAGTTTAAAATTATCGATCTCACGAGTGATCTAACTCAAACTAGAACCTTCACATCTACATTGTAGCAGAAAGCTTTTACTGAAAATTTGAAGTTTATAGCTGAGATCTCAGCCCGACAGCCAGCCAGCCAAAACGAATATAATTAAATAGCGTATTTCTTTTTCAAAAATGCGCCAAAAATTATCAACTATTGCGAACTAATTAGAATTATTAATTCAATATGGGGTAAACTTTGTTTTTGTCCGAGTATAACAATCGAATTGGGAAGAAACGAAAATGAATAGCGGGTTATATCTAGGTGGTAACGGTTATGTATGATGGTTTTGAAGCAAGCGTTTTTACCTGGGATAGATATCAGTTTCAAGGGATGATTTATTGGAGGTTAACTGCATAAGCGAGACAAATTTGGGTGTAGCCGAGGGCGTAGGGGTCATTTCTTTTGTGAGCTGCTACTACCAGTTCCGGAATCTTATATTTCATTCAATGTTACTTCATTAATTTATATACAGGGTGTCCCATTTATCTTGAGACAGTCGATTAGTACGAAAACTAGGGGAGATATCAAAAAATGATTTATATAAAATCTTTTTTTTTATGGAGGGACCCATTTAATGCTGCTATTACACATTTTTACATAACTGTCCCGTAAGGGTCAAGTGTAGGGCAACTAATTTTTTCAAATAGAACCCTATACGTTTTTATGGATTATTCTACATTGGAAAAAAATGTTTTCCCTACACTTACTATTCTTGAAGAAGCCCTTCTAAAAGCGCTATTTTTGAAGAGATGTAAAAATTGGTTTAAAGTTAATAGTAAAGAAGGACCCCAATAAAACACAAAAACGCCGGTAGATTAAAAGTCTGGATCGTTATTAATATATATACTCACAAAGGATTACATCTATCTGTACAATTTTATCTACACTGTATGAATTAAAAAGCAAACACAGAATTTTTCCATTACCTAGAAGTTAACTTTCTGTAAATATACAATTAATTTGTTCATTATCAAACTAAAATCACTTAAGAAAATATCAGTCTTAATTTGTTTCAAGACACAACACCCAATTTGTAGACTCCACTTGTAAAATAGCAACTCCTGAGGTGTGAGATACCACCCGTTTTTAGTACTTTTAAGCACTTTTGTATGTAACTAAAATTGTTATTAGAATTCGGTGTGAATTCCTACTTTTTCAAAATCTTAATTAAATCATTATTAGCGAAATATACACTGCCACTTACGGATCAAAATGTTAAAAAAGGCACCTTACCAAACCAGTTGAAAAACATTAAATTAGCTTTACATTCTACATATTATTATATTTTGTAAAGGATAAAATTAAGTTTTAACCAAAATTGATGCAAAGTACAATAGGCAATACATCAAAAGCACACCAATCCACATGAATTACAAAGTACAGTTTAATCACAAATAAAAGGGAGAGTTGCCTACAAAGTGATTTTTGAAAAAAGCTGCATCTGCAAATAATAACAATCAATCGCTATTCTTAATAAGAAACGCCTCGCATTCCTTATCTTTGGAAATATTCTGATTTGTATGATCGTTTTCGTACTCTACAAAGTCATCAAACAAACTAGGCCACGCCTCATTATCATCGTAACAACTCAAATCATTCCCGACCGCCTCTGAGAAATTAAGGAACATATTCCACGTGTCACGAGGGATGCCTCTAATCACGGGACGATTCTCTACAAAGTTCAACCATCTGTTCAAGATCGGCGGTTCGCGTACTGTAAAAACTAGTCTCCACAACACTACCGCCATATCCGACGGAAGAATTCTTTGTCCTACGACCGAATCCAATCCGAATTTAAAAGTAAATCTGTACAAGTCTTTAAACAGTTCGGGATCATTACTGACCTCGTTGACTATTTCCGGTAAACGTGACTGAATACTTTTAATCGAATCGGCGCGCATTATTTTAAGACCGCGAACGAATTCCACCCTCGAAAACCGGCACATTTGTTCCGCGTTCAATTTCCACGCCAGCACGAGAACTTTAAACTCGTCGGGGCAGACCTGCAGATCCTTGCACAACTGTTCGATGCCCTCCGCTAGTATCGCGTCTTCCGTTTCGTCTTTGTAAAGATCGAAGAGGGAGTTCAGTTTTGTGTCCGACGGCTTGCTATCGGAAACTCCCATCGCTCCGACCAATTTTATTTGCGAACGACGCTGGTACGAGCAGAATCTGGTGATCGGAGTTGCTATTAATGGTTCCGGTAGTACGGCGATGTGATTTCCATTGCTTAGAATGCTTGTATCGATTGGTACCGATGTTACAATGTGACTTGGAGCTGGATAAAGATGGCCTTCTGGCATTTCTGTAAAAGGAATGTGACAGAGATCATTGAGGATAGCTGGAGTAGCATGTACCCTCTTTGCAGTTAGTTGTACCGCTGTCGAGAGCCGTAGGTGGAGGCTCCTTTAAGCAAGTAAAGCAATTGCCCATTTGAGGGCTTCGAGCTCCGTCGAATATGAAGATTAAGTTGCGAGGGACACAGTTGCATTGCCCGTCTTGTGTTTACAACTTGACAGGTGACAGTTCTGTAAAATACATCATTCAGAAACGTACAACAATCCTCGATTAACCTACCTTAAGGTTCAACTTCTAAGTTAATGCACTCTGCATGGATAAGAGAGCACCTTAACAAAAGGCTCTGGTTGATAAACTCATCTTTAAATAAATGGACTGCCCGTTCGGGTTATAAACTCAATCACTTTGTGAAAATTAACACTGGTCACATACTTAAAAGTCGTGCAGTGTTTAATTTTTATTGAAAAAAAGTAAAAAGTTGATTAAATAAAATGAAAATACGAGGACAAGGAGAATGACACCACTGTCATCACTGTACATGACATAACTGTATACTTCAGTTCGCAGCTGATACGGTTGCATTCAAGCAAAATGTTATGAAGTATTTGTGTAGGTGGCATCATTGAATTTATAAATTCAATGGTGGCATGTTAAAAAAATTGAATTGATGATGCCCCTATTCCTATTTACAGAAACTGAGTGTTCAGCCCAGAGCTGGGTAAAGCTCTCTTGAAAAGGGCTTGCAAGCCCTAAGCACTTTTATGTGATGAAAGAAAGCTTGGAATTACCAAGCACTTTCTAGAGTAATTGAAAATACATAAAGCACCAAGCCCTTGGAAAGTGCTTGAAGCGATTAAAAGTGCTTGAATCACAGTAATTGACAATATAAATTAATATAAATATAAACAATATAAAGCACCTTTCATATTACTGGAAACCAGGGTTTCTAGTCTATAACTTTTGATTGAGACGTCTGATCGAAAAAGTACGAATTGTTTTGGATTCTACGCACCAAAATTAATAAGAAAAAGTGTTTTCCCGAGAAATTTTGGTGTAGTCGATTTTTGGTAAAAAAGAAGGTTATACACTGCCTTTTTTTGAGCCCCGAAAAAAAAATTGTCTCAGATCGACCCGGAAAAAAAATTTTCTTATAGAATGTGGCCTGTAGAATCCATAATTTCAACAGTTCCAAGATTGGGCTACTAGTTCAAAAGTTACAGCCCTTTGAATTTTTTTTCCAAATTGGTTTCTAGTCTATAACTTTTGATTGAGAAGTCTGATCGAAAAAGTACGAATTGATTTGGATTCTACGCACCCAAATTAATAAGAAAAAGTGTTTTCCCGAGAAAATTTTGGTGTAGTCGATTTTTGGTAAAAAAAGGAAGGTTATACACTTCTACTATTCTTGGTATTTAGTATTTTGGCGGTTTGATGTTATTTTCTGGCCTTTTATAAAAATGTTTAATTTCGTGGTAATTGATTAGGTACTTTTTTTGCCGTTCAGGTAATGTATCTTATGTATTATATACGCGGCAGTAAATTATCTGATGTATACCTATCGTAAATTAAGGGTTTTCTGAATTCGTCGCCTAATTCACGATAAGAGCTTCGTTATGAAAGTGCTTGAAGCTCTTTGTAAGTGCTTTAAGCTCTTTGAAAATGCTTGAAGCTTTTTAGAAGTGCTCGAAATTGTATGAAAGTGCTTCAAGCAGTTCAATAGGGCTTGAAGCTCCAAGCACTTTTAAAAAGTGCTTGGTAATTGAAGCACTTTTTCCTGAATTAGAAAAGTAATTGAAGCACAGAGCTCTAAGCACTAAAAGTAATTGAAGTCGTTTACCAAGCACTTTTTCAAAGCACTACCCAGCTCTGGTTCAGCCTCTACAGGTGTTAGAGCTATGTAAGTGTTTCCCAGTCCATTTAAAAGTCTGCTAACAGAACCCTTAGACTTCCAACAATTTTGAAGAGTCTCAAAGGTTTTCTAGATGCTTTGAGAGGTTTTTATAGTCTTTAAGGTCTTTATTAGTGTTTTAAGAGCTCATAGCAATATGGGATACAGATTTGTGTACATTTGTGAATACATGTTCTTATTAGTAGCCTTGGAAATATCGTACTTATACCTTTAAATGCAAAATGGCACTTTTAAGATACCTATTAACAAGGAAGTAGGGACTAACAAATTTTATGATTGTACCTGAGGCAGTAAAAAGTACAAAGGTGTGAAAGAAATGTTGTTTTTCTCTAGTAAATAAATAAATAAATATTGAAATTCAACAAAAGTCCATTGTAAAAAATAGATAATGCGTTAAAGTTATGAAATTTAAAATATTGCAGATGTAATTTTGATTTGTAAACAGATCAGATCACTATGTTAAAACTGAGAAAGCGAATTAGTAAACACATTTTCACCCCTCGACATCAAGGAATCGATTGCGAAGTCAATGGTACTGTTATATTAGTTCCCTATTGAAATGCTTACAGTCCAAAATACATAATTAAAGAACTGTTCGAACAAATTCCTACATTTACACCTCACAGAGGTAGTAAATTTAATTCAAATTTGTGTAAAAAAAATCAATAAAAATAGATCTTCGTAGGCACCCTGTACGTACACGACAATAGACGGTGATGATTGAACGTAGCCCTACCTGGGTAGAACTGTCGCCTGTCGGATCGGTAAAGTAGATTTCTTTTTTGATAGTAGATTTTTTCATCCGTTCCAAGTTCATTTTTCATCTCAAGTTATCAAAAAATGGGTTTTGGCGATTATCCGGTAGAATACAATCCCAAAACTCACGGCCCATACGACCCAGCACGTTACTATGGGAAAGGTAAGCCCCTGAGTAATTTTGGCAAACTTAACCTACCCCTTTTTTTCTATTACATAATCCTTTAATCTTTGCTGCTACTTTAACTGCATGTTTCTGATGTAGCTGATACGCCACTTGCTCAAGTAAAACTAGGAGAACTTACCGGATGGCTGGGTCGTCGTAACAAGTCTCCACGTGCCATGGTGGCGTGTGTCAGCCGAGGTTAGTATTGCAAACCGTATGCGGAATTCTAATCGTTCGTGTCATAGCATTTTGGAGATGGCAGCATAAGTATGTTCAACCGAAACGGGGTGGAATTGCTCCAGTGTTTCAAGTGATCTTTGGTTCTATGGCGCTCTTCTACATTTTGAATTATCGTCGAATAAGTAAGCATATTCACTGAATAAAATCAGAGTCTAATACTTCCGTTATTTTAGGCCACCACAAAAATTACAAATACCATTAATCGTTTCTGAAATTGGAGTAGTAAATGCAACGCAATGAATTCATAGTTAATATAATTGCAGTTTGTTCATGTAATTTGTCGTCTTGTAATCTGAGACGTCCTCGTAATAAATTTCATTAATGTACGATACTGTATCTTTAGCCGCCTTACTATTCTATAATTTAAACGTTTATTTAGTACTAAGGTGGGTTTTCCCTTTTCTTTTTATTGTTAGTGTAGCTGTAGAGAATAGACCATGGGAGATGCTTTCTTATGGAAACTTATGTTACTTGTCATGACCTCAATTCAAATTATATGAGAAAATCGCTTGCAAAAAGAGGCATTGGCCTGCAGTCGCAAGGGTCCCTGGTTCCAATCCGAGTTCGGGCATGGATATTTGTAAATGGATAGTGGGTTGGGCTCAGCTGAAGCCCCGCTCACTTAAATAAATATGCATACTGTAAGTCAAAACATTGATCAATGGGGCATTTCTAAAACAGCCAATTTCCATGAGGACCTAATTTTCTCAAGCTCTATCCGGAATTTTTGAGTGTCCTTGTAACTAACACAGCTAGATGGTTCTTGAAAGTTTTATACAAGCATCTAGAAAAGGTCTAGACTTTTAATGGGACCTAGAAAGCTGCTCAGAGGCCTATGAGCTTGCAAAGTTCTCGGCATAGCAAGTGTAGTAATCAAAATCTCTGCGAGATAGTCGATTTCTGTGGCAAAGCTTTAAAATTAGATCTATTCTGAAGCAACTAATTTTGCGTTTTTTTTACAGTTTACAGTCTAATCTAGAATTAGAACGCTTTGGAAAGTGCCTAGAAAACTTTGGTTGTACAAAGTTGTCTTTTTAGTTCTTTCTAGAGCGTTTGGGCCGTTTAAATTTGGTTCACCCTGTATATTAAGTAAAACTGCACAACAACAAAGACGCCATTTTCTTAACTGTTGTCAAAATCAAATTATCGCCTACATCTCCTGAAATTTAAAAGGAACAAGTCCAAGAAACTATTTTTGGTTAACATTTTTTATGAAAGTAAGTGAAATTCCGTTACGGTCGTTAACAATTTTCGTTTACGAATTGCGTCAAACCTATGAGTCATAATGCGAAGCTGGTGACATTTGCGTTCCATATTTAAAAAAAAATCACCTGTAATGTTTTGTATTGTATTGATTAGGTGAATACTTATAAGAATCAAAGTAATGGCTTTATTAGAGCACCCCAAATTCAACAGTTTAGAAGATGAAATGGTGTACTGGAAGGATCTCGCACAGCAAGCTGTTCAAGAGTAAGTACCCGATCTTCAGTTAAACGTTTTAAGTGTTACATTTTAGTAAAGACAGCGTACAACGAGAGTACGAAGACTACGTCAACGATTCGCAGCAATTAGAAAAAGAATTCGAGATCACAATAGAACAACAAGAACGAACGATAAAGGAATTAAAATCGATGAATAACATATTACAAACTAAGGTAGATAACTCACAATTAAAAATGGAACAGACAAATAGGGAAAATTCCTCGTTGAGGTCCGACATTGATATCTTTAAAGAAGAAAAAGAGGTTTTAAGTAAATATATTCGAGAGCTAGAGCAAAAGAATGACGACCTTGAGCGGGCACAGAGGGTTGTCGCAGAAACAGTGGGCGCTATCGAAATGTCACTCAACAGTGCATTGGAACGAAATGCGATATTAGAATCGGAAGTAGACGAAAAAGAATGCCTTAAAGAGAAACTGCAAAGACTGGCCGATGAAACTAGAGGTATTTGTTTATGTACTTTACAGGGTGGTTTTTTTTTAGCAGTTTTAGTTGGAAGTTTCTGTGAAAGGTAGGCTTTGAAAAATTTATACTTACCGTGAAATATACTGAACCTTCGGAAATCCAGGATAATGTGTACTGTGGTATTTTAGGGGTTGTCTTTTTTTCAGTGTTTAGTGCATTTCGTGGAGGGGATGTGACTTATGTTGACCTTGTATAACATACGTGTGCACGTGTTCAATGCCCCTTTTTACCTCAAATTTTAGCGTGCGCTGTGCAATCTCTTTAATCCAGACAATTTATAATAGGTACGTTGTGCTGGTGCCCAAAGGTCCGATCAGACAAATTTTTCAGGATATTTGTCCAGTTCTCTGTATTCTCACACGATTTGGTTGTTGTGCGCTGGTGCACCATCCTGTTGAAACCAACAGTTTCCAACCTTTTTTTATACATACATTGTTGTATTTGTAATAAAAAATGCTACTCAATACAGTACATATGTACTTTTTTTACGGTTTTTTTACTAGATCTTTGGAAGTAATCGGAGTTTTCTGGTTTTCTTTGCAGCATAATAAGTCTCTTTTTGCTCTAAGGCGTTCTTTTATTGGTGCACCAGCAAAAGTGCTGAAACCATATCGTTTTTTTTTTTATTACAAGAGAGTAAAAGCAGTTAATTTCAAACATTCCCATCTCGGTGTAGATGCAGTGTAATGGACGTGATCATGTGATTTTGTTTATTTTAACTTACAAGAATTATAGCTCTGGTTAGCCGAAACTACAAAATTAGCACTGATCAATTTGTGGAGAAACCCAAGTCAAGTCCGAAAAGAACGTTTTTCCACAAATTGGCGTTTCAACTTGTTTTTTCTCTAAAATGTTCTTATGGAATGTAAGATTTTTTTGGTATATTTTATGGTAAAGGAAGTCCAAGGTATTACAACCTGTACAGGGTGGTTAAAATTTGAGGCTCATCATTGTGATCTCCGTAATGGTGAGAGATACCTACAGTGGGTTCAGAACTAAAAAACGCATTTGAAATTTTTGAAAAATCTTTAAAAATAACTTAAAATCGTACAGGTCCCGTTAGCACTATGGGTACTTTTTTTGGAGAACCTGAATCTGCTGTCAGAATTTCCATAACACGCCAGATGTAGAAACTACTACCTTCTTATTCCGGGGGACCGCCCATTTTCGGCTGTTTAAGCTGCGGAAAACGATTGACATTTTCAGATTTTCGGTGATATCAATTATCCTCAAAGATTTTTCAAAAATGTCAAATGCGTTTTTTAATGATATAAAGGGGCAACTTTGTCCTTATTTAATTAACTATCTTGGACTTGGACCGTCTTTAAGAGCGTTTATGGCCGTTAAAAGGGTCTCTAAAAGGCTTTAAAAGAGTAGAAGAATCGTCAGAGTCTTCTGAATGTCAACAAAAAGTACCCCATTTGTGGTACTTATTCCCCCTTAGAAAGCTACGTGTTTCAAAAGGGATGTGTTCTTTTTTTTATATCTACAGATCAAACTGTCATAGGAGTTTAAATGTTTTTTTTTACAATTTCGTCGATTGACAACAATCTTTGAACCTCCTATGGTATTTTGATCTGTAGATATTAACAAATGATGACAAATCCACATTTGGTCTCTAGTTTTAATTAATACTTGATTCAAATTCAAATTTGTATTTTGTTTTTTTTTAAATACAATAGCATTTGTTTCTCGTCAGTTTTCTTAAAGCCAACTGCATGATTTTTATTTCGTTACGCCTCCTACAAAAACTATACATTTTAGATAAAGGAATGTAGTTAGAAACTACCCTTGTTGTTCATTGTAGAAGTGAATGGCAAAAAGGGGTTTCCAATTAAAAAATTAACATTTTGCGTTATCAACACTGCGAACGTTGGCATGAATTCCTGAACACTGAATAAATTTCTTTAGATGTTGTTACACATTTAGTAAGGCTTAGTCCTGAAAATAATGAGCCGTATTGTTTATTTTATAAAACACTATTTTTTGAACGAGTATATTTTCAAAAAATTTAAATAATTGAAAACCATTCGGTTTAGTCTGATCCGTGCGCGGGTTTTAACCAAAATTTTTCACACAGACTGTTTCAGCAGAATGGTGTACCCGCGCACAACGCCATTCTGGAGCGAGAATATCTATCTGAGAAATTTTCAATTTTCCAGGTATTCTGACGCGATCAGGGCGTTGTGCGCGAGCGCACCATTCTGTTGAAACCATCCGTTTCCAACTTTTGTGCTGTTTATCGTTGTATTCCTAATAAAAAATGCTGCTCACTATAGTGTGTATTTTTTTACGGGCCATATAAAAAATAATGTTGATGATGATTTCTCCGAAACGAAATGTTGTATTGGAAAATCTCTAGATGGTGTCTTGTAAAGCTCAAAAAGTGGCAATGAGAAAGTGTTTTTTTAAATCTTTTGTATCTCTTTAAATACCATCAACAAACAAACAAAATCTGCAAATTTCGGTTTTTCTGACATATCTTTGGAATGAATCAAAGTGTGAGTTGACTGCTGGTATAACAGATCACAAAAATGGAGTGTTTAAATAATAAGGTGCGGTGAGCAGGTGGATTTCATTTCTGTGATTAGTTTACATTAAATAAAAGGAACTAATACTAAAATATTACTTTTTCCATTTAGAAAAATAAACCACAATAAAGATTTCTACACTGCGTCCTACCCCTATAAAGAAAAAATCATATCAAATTTTTCACTATAACTGTTATAGAAATCATAATTTTCACAGATATAATAACTATAAAAGACAGGGTGAGTCATTAGTCCATGAGTGGAAAATTGTGGGTATATTAGTGCACAGATTAAAAATTCATTGTTGAGGCATCTTGAAGGACTTTTAAAGCTACAACCTAAAAATCCACCTCCCAGGAAATTGTTGATTCAGCCATTTTTAACGTTAACACCAAAATGAGGTGGGGCACCATCGTGTTGAAACCATGTTTCATTTTGAAGAAGAGCAAAAGTTGAGTACTTAAAATTTCATAGTAAAGAGCACCAAGTAATTATTATTTTTTCAAATTCCATTACCAATCAACAATATAAATATAAAAACGTTCACCCTCAAAATGTTTAAACATACAGCATGCACATGATTATTTTCTATGGACTGAGTTCATATTTTCGTTTCTGAGAGATATTCCATACCTGAGTAAAGACTGAATGTTTTGAAGTCGAACATAACACCGGTGGTATACCCCTCCAGCACACAGAGCAAATGAATATTGATTTGTAATGCATAAATCACTCTCAAATTGACCAAGGGATCGAAATATGCAATAATATACAGGGGGTTCTATTTAAAAAAATGCAACTGATATAAATCACCCTGTATAATAATTGCCAATTTGTTGAAAATATTTGTAGGTGGTAGCCTTAAGAGTCCTTCCACATTTTGGTTAATTAACCCATTATCTTCCACCCACCCTGTATAAACATTGAAGGATTCGTGACCAATCTAAATTAGATAGCCAAATAAACCAATAAAAGCCATTATTTTATTTATTTTGTTCATAAAAGTGAAAGTACTTAAAATGGGTATAAAAAAAATATTCGCAGAAACTTTCAATTAAAGCTCCCAAAAACATCCTGTATAAAATGCAGATCATAATGTTACGACCTTACAGACTTGAAGCAAGAACTGCACGTGCGAGAAAAGGAAAAATGCCCCGATAACGATCGTTTAATAAATGGCCACGCCGTCTCGCTCAATCTGGATTCCAATCGTCTTAAAGCGCAAGTCGAACCTCACTCCCCACTCAAACGTAAGATTAACAGCGTTTTACATTCGTTTGTATGCGGGAAACCTGAAACCTAACCGGGAATTTACTAATATAGTTCGTAGTGGTGACTAATCGCAGACAAGACTCAAAAGTATTAATATCCAAGTTGTACCCCTTAACGAATAAATTATTTTTTAATTGTTTTTTGTTTTTTTTTTGGGTCTTGTTGCTGAATCTGTGCGGTTTATCAATTGGTAAATTTTCTGTTGCAGCCGATTCTAATGTAAATTTAAAAAATATCGATATAAACACAATTACTGCGCCGTTATCGCCCGCTTCGAGGCTGTTGGCTGTGAATATTGTAGGAGAAATTATTCGAAAAGTCGGGGTAAGGACTATTTTTGTTTTCGGTAGGGTTGGTGTTATTGTGTAGTACAGTATTGTGAGTGTTGGTCTGTAGTTGTAGTAGTAGAGGTTGTCTTGGTCTTATTTTTGCATGCGCATGGGTGTTGCTTTCAGCTGTCACGATTCCTATGTGATCAGTGTGGCCGAATGAAATGTACCGAATGTTCAGCCGTCAAAGCTACCGATACGCGAATTATAAATAATCAAGAAAGGTGCGTTTAATTCCCACACATGCCCTCCCCTTTTTGAGCGCTTACGGAATGTCTAATGAATAATTCGGGATTTATTTTGTAGAGCTTGGAAACCAAATTAGGACGCTGCCGCAATTGTGGATATAATAATTATAAACCAGATAATATGAGGTAAATCTTTTACAAAGGTAGAGAACGAAACTGGCATTACTTCTTGTTTATAGAACCCGTCACAGTACTAGAGGTTCGTCCCCATCCATCCAAGGATTTACAAAGTAGATTAAAATCACTAATTTACTCACTAACTTAGAAGCTATCCACGATATTTATAAATATCGCTGAAGTGGAGCATTTTGTTTCTAATTTTTCTCCACCACTTGCCGAATGAAGAAATAGTAGCGATTTTTTTATTGATTTTTTATTCCAATTAGGTGGATTGATCAAATTCTTACCTATTTTTTTATTGTAACGCTTTGTGATATATTATTTATTGTTATATCAGTGACAGTTGCTCATAATACTTCCGTAATTATTCCTTATTATATTTACCAAATATATTAATGAGAATAATAATCCAACAAGGCTGGTTTTATTTTATACTTGGCGTTAAAGCGATGAATATTTGTGTATGTATTGACAGTGTTTCTCTATTTAGAAATAAAAATGTTACATATGTACGGCGTTAGGAGATGCTAAAGGAGATTTATTTTTCGTATCCTTTGAATAGATTTATTTAATTTATTGTTAGTCGTTTAATGTAGGTAACCTAATTTGCTGTCGGAATAGCTTAAATAAATGGGATGTTAATTTTTTATTTATGTATTTAAAGTATTAATTTATTGTCTACTTTTAAATTTGTACATAAATATATTTTCAAAAGGAACACAAGCCACTAGTAGAACATTTTTGTACTTTCAATGTTTCGCCATAACAGCTGCTATTATTAAATAAATAAATTCCGTCTTGCATTATATGTTGAATATTGCTCTAGTTCTGAAGGGTACTTGCGGTATATAATATTTTTCTCTATAGGCTAACGCTGTGGTTAGGAATTGCATACTTTGATACTGTCACCAATCTTGCCCTCGGCGTGAAAAGCATGCTTAACTTTATAAACTGTAAAGTGCTACTTTCATAATAATATCTCGAGCTAAGGGATTGTGAGGGTGGTGGGGGAATTGCTAAATTGCAATGCCAGGAGACGCCATCGCTTGTAAAATAAGTGTGTTTACAGGTACTTATTAAATATTTCCTTTTACTACCCAGTAGTGCCTTAAAAACGCGTGAAGAGGGGCAATTATCGCTGAAACCCCATGTATTTGTTATGGAAAATTCTAAGGCCCATTTTCGTAGTCCAGTCGTGTGCGCCCCACTCCTTTGCGCAATGCCATCTTGGATCTGTCGAATCCTACCAAATGTTGTAGCGGTATAGATTCAAGTTGTATTAGTACATATGCTTTAGATTTGACAGGTCGAAGATGGCGCTGCTCAAAAAGGTGAGGTTCGCATGCGCAAACTACCGTACTAATCCAAAACCTACCAAAATGGACTTTAGAATTTTCCATAAGAAATTTTGGCGATAATTCCGTCAGAACTCCTATCGTTCCTCTACTGAGTTAGCTTTGTGTTGTGGAAGGGTAAATCTAAATGCTGTCCTTCGGTGATTATTGGTATTTAATAATATTTTTCTGTAAATTTGAAATAGCACCGTTGCAGCTTGATATGTTGGTTGTTATTTGATACTTTTTTATGAAGAATGTAAAAGATACGTAGTGGTAGAGAGCTGTAGAGCCTAAAAGGTTCCAAGAAAGCGATATGGGATACTCTGGAAAGAATTTAATTGACCCGGGAATCACTGGGAATTTCGCACTTTCCAAAAATTAGAAATTTTATGATTACTTGGCATTTCTGAAGTTATTTATGAATATTTCTCAAGAATTCAAGTCCTCGTGTGAGATCGAAGGACTTTTTTGTGTGGTAGGTCAGTATTCCATTAGCCAGTTTTGACTCCACCATCAATAAAACCTTGATGCTTCCGAGCTCCGACGTCCCGTACATCCGCAATTCGCATTCTCTTTGTCGGTACCAACTTCTCATGTCCTGTTTCTTCTCTTTTGTTGTCTGACCAGTTCCTCAGAATGTTTGAGAGAACAATAATTAAACTATCTCGCCACAACCATCATTTTGACAGTGAAAGTGTCAAAAATATAATAGGTAACACAGAAAATCCATCCGTTCATATTTCAGATGAACGACTTGAAAATGGAAATCTACGGAACTGTGTAATGTACGTACTAGGTACCTACTGGTTTTCTTTTTAGGAAATGGAAAACTATTGCATTCAAGGTGCTTGAAATATTTAAATGATCCACCATTACAGCCATTATTAGAGTATTCATCTGCTGACAGTTTTAACATAACTAATTTCAAAAGCACTGCTCTCGTTACCTTTTAGAAATATTGTATGGTGTAGACTCAATTATTGCCTGTTTGAACTGTTTGCGGGCTTATTTATTTTGCAGTTGCAACCGTCATGATCCTTTACAGCATAATTTGGAATAAACAACAAGAATTGTAACGTTATTATTTATTATAATCAAAACCCTTCTACCATCATAGTGTACAGAAAATAAATTAACATATTCTACCAGATAAATCACTATAAACCAAGCTATAAACTATTGTGCTCCATTTTTTATAGATGTGATGATGATAGATGTATATGAGTGTTGGGGAAACAAGGAGTAGCTTTTTGCAATAGTTTACTCACCGTGGTGCCACAGTGTCGATCAACCTCATAATCACATGTTATGTTAGTAGCTTTCATTTCTTTCTAATTATCCAATATAAATAATATTTTTTTTTCGAAAGCTACCCGAGACGTGAGATTGTAATTTCTAATCAAGTGAGATCTCGACTCAAGATTGCATTCACTAGATGGTAGTAGGCGAGGTAGCGAATTGAAATTTGTATATGGCCTTTGTTATTTATTTTATTGGACTGCAAGTGGTAGAAGTCTAGAGCAGCGACAATAGGTCTTGGTCAGCTTAAAGTAGAACTTGTGTGTAGGTACTTTCGTTTCGGTGTACATACTTAGGGTACTGAGGTAGCACTATGTAGGTTTATTGCGAGAGCGATGGAAAAAAATAATAAAGATATTGCAAATGTTTCTTAAAGAGCCCTTTACCACATTTTGTAACCCTGTGTTGGAATCGGTCTCTGGGTAGCCTAGGAGTCGCCCTTATAAATGAACATCTGCAGACGTTCAATTGTCCTTTTAATAACTAATTTTCATTTTTTCCTGAAGGCTCTGGATTCCCTGGCGGTTACACCATTGCAAATAACGCCTTATAATTTCCGTCTTTTTTTTTAAAATATGATGCCCAAATTTAATAACTAAGTGTGCGTTTACAATGAACGCATACGTAAGAAATACATAAAATGTAAACATTTCGCAATGAACGTATAGAAACATACGAAGGTGTTTACAATGAACGTAATTTTTACGTACGTATATGTAAGCGATATGTAAGTCTTGCGCATAGTCGCAAAGGTTGAAAATGTTTCAAAGTTACGTACGGTCTACTACTGATGGTAGTATGATCATTGAATTCATAACTATTAAATTCAATGGTATGATCTTTGGTTTATTGTAAACAGCGGAATAAATTTACGGAAACGATACGAATATGATGTACGAGTTACGGTTTATGAAATATTTACGTATACGTTCATTGTAAACGCACTCTAAATCATAAACAAATGATCTTTTTTTACTATGAATCATCATGCCCCTAAAATTTGTGGGGGTTTCTTTTAAGATGGCAATTTCCGGCAACGGAATTTATAATTTGTTCTGTGCATTTCATTATAAGAATCACTGATTAGTTTTTCACAAAAGAAAAGTAATTTTCTCTTAAACTGTGTGAAATCCGTGATAAATAAACAATGCCAAATTTTGTTTTAAAAGCGCTGTGATTGGACCATTTTTTAAATCAGCCACGTGCGATGACGTCGGACCTACTACGTCATCACGTAATGTCACGTGACTCAGTTTTTAGTTTATCGTTGAAGCCGCTTACGCGTCCTATGCAGCTTTCTTCCGTTTTCTTTGAAAATAAGAACGATCATAACAAAATAAACGCCAGAAAATCAAAACTAAACACTTGGAAAATTGTGGCACGTCGTTATTTTCGGCCCGTCGTTAACTAAATCGGTGTTTTCAAACGTTTCAATGTTTGGTTATGATGGCGTCCCCTTTGAATTTAAACTCGCGATTGCGTGTTATCTCGATGTTTCTTGCATTGTTTTTCAAATTATAAAGTGTCGTGATATTAAAAATCAACTCTTTAAAGTAATAAAGCGAATTGGGAAAGCACATCGCTCGTTTCGGTGCCGTGTGTATAATTTCTTACCTAAAACTGGTGTTGTCTTGTGCAATTACGTGGGATTCTGTTTCTTGTTTTGGATCAAGACGTCTATGATACGATTTCAAGAATATAGGTATCGACTTGAGGTAAATTTTCAAACCTTTTAAAGTTCCATCATACTTCTTACTGTACGGCCTTAACCTCGAAATGCTACATACCTAGGTACCATCTCGCTTAGTTTGCGATATTCTACAATAAAAAAGCATGTTCAAAAGTTCAATACTTAGTTTTCATTTTGGTGTAGGTAAATGATATAATAACGAAATATAGTCTGACTGATCAATGTACGTATCTTTCGGTGAATTAAGATGGATGGCGATATGCTTGTTATAAAACGGTAATTACATTGTACACAATGTGGTCAAACACACTCATTTTACTACCTTCCTCGTAAATATAACAACATCCGCATCAGCATCTTAGACTTTTGGAGTATAAGGTAGATTTTTATTACCGTCCAATGCCAATAATCGGTAGCAGATGTAAAAATTCTTTACCTTCACAACCTGTTGGAACGACCAGGATCAATTTATCTTGTACTACTAGTTCAGACTCAACGCTGCATTATGTACCTTTACTTTTACAGTACTCCGCTCGAAATGAATTATAAGATCATACATTTATTTTATTTCAGTAGGTGTTTCTTAAATGGAGGAAATTCACAAACATGGGAAACCTGCTCAGAATTGTGAGTTTGTATCTCAATCTCCTTTCGGGTTTTCTCCCATTCTTTCAAGTACTTGACAGTGCAATCCAAAATGCATTGTGGTCAAGTCACTTGTTTTGTTTTTACATGGGAAATCGTACTTCAATTGAACTTCCAAAGGCGACTTGACAGCACCTCATTTTTGATTGCCCGATATTTCTGTACTTGCAAATTCAAACCACTTTAGTTGTTGAATAATGTCAACGATAATATAAAATTTATTCGCATATTTACACTTAAAGTAAGTCCGTAAAATTTATAAATAGTAGAATTCTTTTCTTTCTAGTCTAGAGGCGCCATTAGCCTCCTCCCATTCTATGCTTTGTTGAAGTATTCTTGCTACTTATGCATATCCCATATTGTCTTTATGCTTCCCCTTTTCTTCCTATTTTGAATTCCGGTGTGCCATATGTACGGTTTCACAAGCTGACTGTTTTCCATTCCTCCAAGGCGTCCAAATATAAGCGTTTTAATTGTTGTCTATCAAAGGTCTCTATCAGAGCATCCACTTCTTTTTTTATAATCTTACTAGGAATTCCACCAACTCCCCTTACCCTTCGCAAGTACTTCATTTCAGTAGCTTATGTAGTCTGGTTTTTTGTGATTCGTTCAGCACCCAACTCTCTCTCTACCGTAGGTCAATAATTGGTCTGTAACGTTATTGCTGTAAGTAGATTTCATTAACTATTTCTAATTAACTGTTACAGTATCTACTTACGGAAACAGTTTCTTCCTGTCGCCTTGGGCATATTATTTTTTTCTAGCTATTTGCAAACCTTGCGACCATCGCGCCCTCTTGATTCAGAATCGGCATCTAATTCTGCACAAGATACGTATTTCTATTTTTCAATAGTATATTGAAAGACAAGTGTTACAATGCGACCTATTGTAATACGTCGACTATCTTGTGGCACGAGTGGCGACGCGAAGCGTAGCCACGAGTGTCCGCAAGATAGGAGTATTACAATAAAGCATTGTAACACGCGTTTTTCATACTATTTTTTCTATTTCGGTGCTTTAATTTAATTAAAAAAATCATTATCAGAAACTATAGGGAACATTAGAACTAACATGTTTTATGTTGGGAACACTTTTTATACCGTTAAGTTTTAGGTTGGCAGCGTAGTAAGACCATATATATAAGAGTATATATATGAGTAAGACTGACATTTTGAAGTTCAAACATGGAAGTACCCAACGAAGTACCTACTTGTACTAACTAGTAACTGCCAACTTAAGAGATGAGTTACCAAAAAAAAACGACTATAATCACTGTCTTTGTACAACTGTTTTCGGCCGAAAACAGTTGTACAAAATCATCATTGTGACACCGAAATAGAAAAAATGTATATCGGTGTTCGAATTTTGACTCCTAGATTCCCCATTCCCGACTATTTTATAATTTTATTTAAAAACAATAAGCGAAAGTCGCGCCGGCGCGTTGACCCCTCTGTTATCGCTTTATCTAACAATTTGCCGCGCGATTCGCGAATAGTAGTTGACGAAAAGCTTGGAGTGGTGAGATGTGTGTCGTTCCAATGGTAAATGGGGTGAATGGCAACAATTGCTCCCCTTTGAAAGACTGAACTACAAAGACTAAGGGTGAGTTGCATGTAAACTATCGCCACAGAAGTTAATCTGTGCTATCGCTAAACACCAAACACATTTGTAAGTTGGATTTTTTGTATCCACATTCCAGGTCCTTAATACATACAGGGTGACAATTTGAAAACTTACCACCCCCCATATCTTAGTAAATAAACGAAATGTTTAAAAAAAATCAAAATCCGTTTCGGTAATTCGGAAGGGGGAATCACAATGACATAGTTGGCGACGCCGTGCAAATCAAAAAATAAACTAATATGATACATTTGAAATCTGTCGTATTTAAAACGCAACCGGCGAACATAGACGAACTAAGACAGAGAATAATTCAAGAATGTCGAAATATTGCAAAACCAACATTTGAAAAGGTTCGACAAGAGTTTGAGAATAGATTATAACTGGCGATCAAAAATGAGTTGCTGTCAAGTCGGCTTTGGAAGTTCAAGTTAAATACGATTATCCATGTTTATTTTTTGATTTGCACGATAATTACTAACCTAAATGTAATGCTATTTGGTATGGTTGGAAAGCATTTTTTCAGAGCTTTCCAATTTAAGATTTAAAAGTTGGGGTGGCTAGGGCGCAGGGGGTGTGCGTCGCCAACTATGTCATTGTGATTCCCCCTCCGAATTACCGAAACGGATTTTAATTTTTAGCGCATTTTTGAAAAAAATACGCTATTATATTCGTCATTGCTGGCAGGCCGGCTGTCCGCGTTAGATCTCCACAACTACAATAGCTAGAGACTTCAAATTTTCACTAAAAGCTTTCTGCTATAGTGTAGATGTGCAGGCACTACTCTATTTTGAGTTAGATTACTTGTGAAATCGATAATTGAAGAAAATAATTTCGATATGGGTTTCGGAGGTGCTATAATTTTACCGTTAGATAGCGCTACCAGTATAAAAACTTATTATTTACTTTGTGATTTGTTTTACAAAATGAAGACGTACCGTCAATTGAAATTAAATAAAATTAATTATTTAACGCAGCCAAAATGACTCGTGAGATCGATAATTTTAAACTTCGCTAATAAAATACTGACCTGCATTACCAAAAATGCGCTTTAATCATGCATATGCTGATTTACAACTTGTTTTTAATATCTCGTTTATTTACTAAAATATGGGGGGTGGTAAGTTTTCAAATTGTCACCCTGTATAATGGTAACATTACAATAAAAATTCTTGTCATTTTGGCGCCCCCATGGATCTTTACTATGTTTCATCATAAATTGGCTCCAATTGTGTTACTGTGTCTCCAAATCTATCTTGAGTCAATTTGAAATTGTGAAGGAGCTAAATCCAACAGGGTTAGTTTATAACTTCAAGTCACAATTACATATTTATTTAATACCACCACATTAACAATACTACTTCAAGTATTCAAATTAGGGACCCCATCACAATAGCTCTAAATACAACTTTCAAAGAGACAGGTTTAACCGACGTTAAAGTTTCTGGTAGCGTATTCCGCATGTTGTCCCAAAATGGTAACGTTAATAACGACACGTAAATCTCGCAGCCTTCCACCGGGGAATTATGCATTAGTGACAGCTTTACAGCGCCTATGGTTTCAGTATTATACCTTTACAAATACAATCGGCATTTTACCTCGTACGGATGGGGAATTTTTCAGCCACAAAATCATCATGTACATCGGAAAACATTGCAGACAATGGCGTAATCTCAACAGAAGGCCATTTAGCAAAAGTAGTACTATTCTAAGCTGAAAAACGTACAAAATTACTCTGTAAATGATAGAAAAAAAATTACCACTGCAAATACGGCATAGTACAAAAAGGTTGTCGGAAACAGAAACAACAATACCGTGAATACTAGCGTTCCAACGAACAACTGATTATGGGTGTATTGGTGCGAATCTACACGTTTTCGAAGTGGGTTGTACTTACGGCCGATAAATAAGCGCCACAACGAAATGAGACCTTTAATTTGAACACCGTACAATCTTAAATGGAAATATGTGAACGCCACATTTAAATTACTTAATAATCACCTTGCCGCATAGACGTATATGCAATAGATGTGAAAGCTGCTAAATGCAACTAAATCGGACAATAAGGCGACCTGAAACGACAAACCGCAAGCACCTGGAAATACGAGAAGGTATAAAGCGAGGTGCAGTAACGGAGTAGTCGTATGAAGAAAGGCACGCCACAAAGTAACGTGGTAACTGAAGAAAGTGCCCAAAGTTAAGTTAAACGTGGAGTTTAACTTTAATCCGGCCGGTGAACCCATCAGAAAATTTAGTAAGTCTTCCAAAGCTTGAATGATCGACTAAAAATAAAGTTTTGATTAAAAAGTATAGAAGATTCAGCGTACCTCTGTGATCTCGCTCGCAAGGTGTATTATTACAGCTTTGTACAGCACAATGAAGTATAACACCACCAGACCACACAAAAAATCGGTAATCTTCGACATTATAACATTACCAGCGTACAGCGAAACTGACTGTCGACGTTTCAACAGTTTTAATGCCCATTTCAACGTGTACACGGTTTGCTGCAGATGTAACGCGGTGGCCGAATATCGTAACATGAAACGTAAATGTTTCAGCAGCTTGTGAAAATTACTCAAGGATCTTAAGAGAATATTGATAGCCACGAATAACATTATGAAAGAGAAGCTATGCCCGTTAATTGAAGACGTTAACTTTTCGTTTTGTACAGCGTGAATTAGGGTCGAAAAATTTTCACCGTGATTGTTGCGGTTGAACATGCTCAAGTTGCATCTCTTGAAAGCGACGTAATCGTACATAACACACGTAATTTTGGCATCCTTGTCGATGCCGTTCACTGAGATTTGCCCGGTGTTACAGTCAACATGTATTTGTGAAAGCGAATGATTATTATGCGAGGTGTTGTCATTGCAAAATCCTATTATTGGGTAACAGGTTTCGGTAAGAATGTAAAAACTGGTGGTGTTCTCGAAGTGCTTAACGAAACCTCTCAAAGTTCGTGTTTGATCGTAGCCTAGTATATCGGGAATAAAAATAAATACATTTTTCATTCTTTAAAACATTTCTTTTAGTAAAAACAACAATATTGTAAAAATGTTTGGTTAGGGCAATCTTGTGGTTAACGTTACGCTCCTAAACCAGAGAGCATACAGGGTAGGTAGAAAGATAATACATAAATACTCATTTACGCCAATTGTACCAGGTACAATGTTTTGCGTTCGTTGATATCAACTCTTTTTTAATATTTTGCCCTTATGCACTACTTTTTGTTCTGCAAAACATTTTTCAAAATGCCGGATTTCGCAGTTTGCCGCTAACATATACATATTAAAGAATTTGATAGAACCTTCTTATATGCAGTTGGCCTTAATTTTAAATGTAACCCCTTAAAGAAAAGCTATAATTTTAAGCCATAAGATCGTTTTTACCCCACATATACTTTTGCATACTCGCCAAAACCCAAACCTCTGCAAAAATGGAACGTAAATCTAAAAAATGACTAACTATAGTGCGTTCGCACCTCCAAATGCAGTATGGTGCTTATGAACATACAGTATAATGCTTGTCAAACTTATTAACAAATGAGAGAATGACAGCACAAGGAGATTATGTTCAATTCAATCATATGTCAGTTTGGCATCATGGCGGTGAGAAACAAGGATAGTGTTATCGAAGAATGACGCAAAGTAGTAAGAGAGGCATTTAGTTCATTAAACCCCAAAATGCATCGGAGTTACGAACGTAACGCGAATACATTTGAGAACTCCACTGTATATTTATATAGTATCATCTAGCTATATAGTAAACACAATAATGGGGGACACAAGACACTGCCATTTTAAGTCATTTTAACAGTTCACAATTTCATAACCTAATTGTTGATAGTAAAAAAACTCGATTATAAAAAAGTAGTGTAAAATCCTTTGTGTGTAGTTACTTCCATTAGTGATTTGTGTAGAACTTCTAATATGTGTGGCTTTATCAGAAGATTGATAAGCCTGTGGCCTTTAATGACATATTACTACATTGTGCAATACTGATCACAGTAGCACTGCTCCAAGCATGAATGATCGAAAATTATATTTGTCCTCGCTTTTCGTAAGTATTTCAATTTGGAGGTATAATAATACAAACACAAATGTAGGGGGGCGGCATGGCTGGTCTTAGCGTAGATATGATCCTTTTTCCGTTAGATACAATTAAAACGAGATTGCAATCGGCAACTGGTTTCTATAAGGCTGGCGGATTTAATGGCATTTATCGCGGAATCGGCCCTCAATTTATCGGAAGTGTACCTCAGGGTATATCACTTTTGGAGTGCTAATTACTAACTACACATTGCAGCGGCGTTATTTTTTTGTACGTACGAATTTTTCAAAGCAAAGGTTCATCCGTTAGTTTCTTCTCGATATCACCCTTTCGTTCACATGGGCGGTGCCGCGATTGCGGAAGTTGTGAGTATTACATATTTGGATTTCCGTAGATTGTTTGTAGATTTCGTGTCTTATTAGAGTTCCAGTTGAAGTTGTCAAGCAACGGCGGCAAACTGGATGCCATTCACGATCATCTATGAAGATTGCGATTGATGCGTACAGACAGGAAGGGGTGTTTAAAGTATGTCAATTTATTTTACTGCCCGCTATTTAAGTGTAGTGCTTAGGGGTTATACAGAGGTTTCGGATCAACAATTGCTAGAGAGATACCGTTTTCATTTATACAATTTCCATTATGGGAGTATCTAAAGGTGGTGTATCTTAGGAATGTAAAAAAGCAAAAGGAATTGCATTCATACGAAGTAGCACTTTGTGGTTCCATTGCAGGAGGAACGGCAGCTGCTTTGACAACTCCACTAGATGTAGTTAAAACAAGAATAATGTTAGCCGATCATAAACATGTGACCAATTTAAAGGCTTCTGCAATGTTTCTCACAGTTTACAATGAAAATGGTTTACGAGGGTAAACTAAACTTACCTGAAGGCACTAATAAAAATTACGCTTACAGGCTATTTGCGGGATTTGTGCCTCGAGTTATGTGGATTACATTGGGAGGTTGCATATTTTTCGGAGTGTATGATTTTTCCAGTCGTACCTGTAGTGACATTCTTGAAACCAATTTGTTTTCATGACTTATTTTATTATTGTCATACATTACACAGTGTATATAGTAGAAATATATATACATTAGATAAATACAAAAAATATATATTATTTACCTACCTATATAGTAAAATTATGTTAGCAAAATGTATATTAAATTGACTTATTTGAGACAAAGTCTTAAATTTCTTCAGGCATCAATGCAGGTGGAAAAGGTCTTTTTCACAGCATCTCTCGCATACGGTATGTACGAAAGTGAGTACCACGTCATCGCCAATGACTGTATTATAATAAATACAAGGGCCAGTGCCGCCTTGTGCAGCTAAAATATTAACCAATTAGAATATCGTACATGAAATACTAAAAATACTCACGTGAATTGCAGATACAAGTGTTAGTATAAATGTAGCTATAACAATTACTGTTGCGATAATTCGGGTAGAGGCAAACATTTTTTTAACTTGATTAACTGGTCCCATGAGAAAACATGTGCTTAATATCGACAAAATGTTGCCCAATGTGTAAAATACGGCAAAAACAGTGAGTCCTTTGTGCAAAAAGAGCGCAAACGACCCCAGAAGTGATAGTAATATTCCCAGTATAAAGCATATGAGAAAACCTTTTATACGTGTCGACCAACTGAATGTTGTACTGTCACTAAACTAAAAAATATAAGTTACATACATTATCCAAGTATTACCTATGAGAATAACGATGAACGACTTGGGGTGATTTTTAACCAGGTGCCTACATATGTGACGATAGTTGGTGTTTGCTCAAGTGATCCCTTAACTAATTACCTGTGTCATGATACCGCTTTCTTCATCTGGCGTTTCATCGCCTCTGAGTACTCTACGCAATTTATCCATTCAAAAAAATTGTCTAAAAATAATACAAAACTGCCATGTTGCGCAGTGATTACAATTGGGTAACTTACGATTATTTAGTGTGTTAGAAATACCATAAATCTGGTAGAAATGATGAGCAATTAAATTTTATAGTCAACTAGTGGATAAGACAACAAAGTGCAACAGGTAAAAACAAACCGTTCTCATTTGATGATGAACAATCCAAGGGGATTGTCAAAATTGTAGTCGCATTCAGTAAATTTTCGTTTCTACGACGGATTACCGTGGACCAAGAATGTGTGTCTGTAAAAGTAAACCCGACTCTCTTCAAAATAAGTACGTCTTGTGTTGTATTTGGGGCCCATGCCCATGCATAATATGATTATTATTCTCATATGTCTATGGGCCCATGGCATGCAGGCGCGTCGAGTTAGTGCTTCGCTGCTTAGAAAGTGGAGAAATTCAGGCTCCTACGACAAAAATGTTTTATTACCACAGCTTGTCTGTTTTCGCTCTGCTCCCGTACCGCCATTTGGTCGGCTCCTGTGAACTTTACCTTCCATTGTCGTTGTCGGTCACGGCTTCCAGACAGTTGCTAGCCTGAAAGGTTCTGTACAACCCAGTTCTTTAGAATGAGCCGGGTTTCCTCGGTCTCACTCGCACCCGATGGGAGACACTACACGCAACCTCATCGCTAACGCTTGGGGTTTATTTGAATCGTTAAGTAAGTCCCTGACTAATTTGCATGTCTTCGTTGAGAATTAGTCCCCTAACAATTTTCACATCCTTCGTAGTGGTTGAAAAGAGGCTCTCCATCTCCTATGAGGTTTTATAGATCAATTGGTTAAAACGAATCTAATGTCCACCAAAAACGTGGTGAAATAATTTTGAGAATTCTGTAGATTAAAAACGCGCGCATGCTCCTTGATAGGGAGTCACGTTTGGTTTTACAATACCTCGTACATGTCAGACGAATATATTGAACTTAACCAAACTTAACCTTCAAATTTAAATAGCCTAAAAATGGGGGCTACTTATCTTGATTTTTTAACTTTAATAAACTGAAGTGTCAACACAATGAGCCGCAACGTACTAACAAGTAGCATACAAAATGCTTCATTTAGCATAATATTCCAGGTTCGTATGTGTTGTGCTATTCGGTATTAAAGACGATTTTCAGGTGTTGTTCCGATGTATTACCTTCGTACTCAACGCGTTCATAATAAGACATGTTGGTCAAACAGTTTTGGGCATTATGAACGTGCGTCTGTTACTGCTCGAATCCACTATTTTATTTTTATCGCGTGAACCGATATTTAAAGCCTGCTTAACGGACACTAAATCTCACAATTGGGCTCAGGTCATAAATCAGATTTGGTTTACGTAAGACTTTGCGGAAAATTGGCTTGTGTAATACGTTGATTGCAGTGTACCGCTAACGGGTCTCATTTCACTTTTGTTAGTCTACGTGTGGACACATGTCCTAAGCGCAACCGAAGATGTGTACCTTGAACAGTACCAATACGGCTGTGTTGCCATAGCGGTTTCGTGCATTATTGATCAGATGACACAAAGCGTAGTATTAGTCGCGCAGAGTTTTTGCTTCGTGCGACTGAAGGTGAGTGAAATAAATGGGGCGGTGGGCTAATTCGATGCAGGTCATTTTAGACACCATTTACGTAATGAGCAGAACTATAATATTCGTAGCGATTATAATAAAGTACCCCCAATACGCAATACATGCTTTTTCAACGGCGCAAGTAGTTTCGTCAATTATATACTGCGTAATACACTATGGTTTTTTCTACTGGTACATAAAGGAATTGCCAAAACATGTTAAGGATGAAAAGGGCATTTTTAGTAATATGCTGGACTTTCCGTTTAAATCAATTTTAAACCTTTTCCCATGTGGTATGAAGAACGAAGTACGATACAGTTTATATCGGATTCTAATAATTTCAAGTGTCATTTTAGGAAGGGGTTGTAGATATGCAATTGTGCAAGCTCACAGTTAGCTTTTTTAAACAGTGTATTGTAAAACAAATTTTGACCGAAGGAGAAAGATATGTGATGACAATATCTCCCGTACTGACATTTAGCGAACAGGCGATGTATGACATTGTTAATAATTTAGGTAGTTTAGCAGCAAGATTTATTTTCCGTCCAATAGAAGAAAGTGGATACTTTTATTTCACACAAATGATGAAACGAGGTGAATCAATCGCTACACAAGATCAGGTAAACTGCAAATGAGGAGCAGACTTGCCCTTTGTCACATATTACAAATTTCTAGACCGGGTTGCAAGTCTGCTTAAGTATTTAACGTATCTCAATATGCAGTTATAGGCGTCAGTATTAGAAGCATCCACCGTCCTAAGCCAGCTCTGCCGTGTGGTGACAAGCATTGGATTGTTAGTAGTGACGTTCGGGCAGTCTTACAGTTACACTCTACTAAATCTCTATGGGGGAAGAGTGCTAACGGAGGATTCGCTACCGTCAACATTACTACAGTTTCATTGTTTTGCAGTTTTACTTTTGGCAATTAACGGTGTGACCGAGTGTTACGTATTTGCCACTATGAATGACCAACAACTCAATCAGTATAATTACATTATGGTTCTATTTTCGATAACATTCCTGTTTATATCCTATCTTCTAACTAGCATTTGCGGTTCGGTAGGTTTTATTCTTGCCAATTGCATAAATATGACTGCAAGAATCGTGCACAGGTAATGCTTACAATTGGCATTGGCGATTTTAATTTCCGTTTCCAGCATCTACTTCATCACAAATACGTACAGAGATACCCACTACAAACCATTAAATGGTACAATTCCCACAACAAAATTTATTATTGCGCTAATATTTTCAGGAATCATTACAAAAGTATCACAGGTATCGGTACCACTCAACTATAGGATAATCATTTACAATTTCAGCATAAAGTGGAAAGAGACTCGACAGTCCTCCATATACTTATAGGTGCCATTTGTTTTACACTAACACTATCAGTGTGGTTGTACGAAAATAGAAACCTATTAAGGATAGGTATAGAAAAATATCGCAGAAGATCATCGATCAAAATAGATTAATGTTTTATTTGTAACTAATTGTTGAATATTAAATGTTTTTAAAAATGGCTCCGGTAATAGTTCCGTTACGTTGAATAATGCAGGCACGTGTGTCGTTTTCAAAGATTATAATTGGCGACTTGTGTTGTGGTTCCAATTTGGCAGCTTGATCTGCAATTGCGCCGACCATTCCAGCACATTCTGTCGACGCTTTTCCTCTTGCTTAATGAATAAATGAGGACACAATTTCGGTTGAATTGAAAGTACTTACCTCCCAAACAAAGCCCTTGGTGATCGGCAAATACACATGCTGTAACACCGGGATTACTTAACCTACAAGAGATTTAGTTTACGGTAATTCGATATTGTAATTCTTACACATCGTCCATAACTCTATCGAGGTGTTTTTCCATATTCCTTATTAGCAAATAAATCGGCAACAATTTATGATTTATTTATCAATAGTTGGGGATTTTTATTTTACTTCTTCAGTGGTTGGTGAAACTGAAACACCAGATTTGAAATCCTACCACAGAATAAATGCGCGCATCTCTAGTTTTTAGCGCATTTCCACAAAATTTAAAAAAAAATGCGCTATTGTGGCCACTTTGTCCGTCCGTCCGTCCGTCCGTCCGTCCGTCCGCTCGTTTTGCGACGCTACTAGTTCTTTATCTTAAGAGCTATTGTTCAACTTTTTTCGCTATTTGGTTCGTTATGGTGTCGAGTCTTGTACCAAGGAAGGAATTTTTTCTGTACCGCTTACAAAAAAAGTTATTGTAAAAAAAAACAAAAAACCGTTTTTTACATGTTCCATAATTTTACACTTTTGCCGTTTATTAACGATCCTAGAGATCGTTTATAATTTTGCATTGCTATCTGTCGTCTGCCTGTTGGTCTGTCCGTCTGTTCCTTTGTCTGTCTGTCCATCTATCTGTCCGTGTGAACGATAACTTTGTTTAGAAATGTTCGATCGCTTTTACATCTCCGTTAGTTATGAACTGAATTGCATGAAATTCAATATGGGCATAGCTTTAGCCATATAATACGCAATGCCAAAAGTTGAATCGAATCGATTCAAAATTCACAGTGCCCTTTTCGCATCTCGACCATTTATAAACCGAATTGCAAAATTTTTTACTTATAAAAGCATTTGAATGAAATTTGATACATAGGCACTTGGAATAAAGGAAAATCAAACTGCCAATTTCAAAATTTGGTTTTGCGCATGCGCAGTGCCAACTTTTTTATTTATGGAAGAATTTAAACGAAATTTGATACATAGGCACTTGGGATAAAGGAAAATCAAACGCCAATTTCAAAATTTGGTTTTGCGCATGCGCAGTGCCAACTTTTTTATTTATGGAAGAATTTAAACGAAATTTGATACATAGGCACTTGGGATAAAGGAAAATCAAACGCCAATTTCAAAATTTGGTTTTGCGCATGCGCAGTGCCAACTTTTTTATTTATGGAAGGAAAGAAAATTTGTACATGCAGTGCCAACTTTTTTATTTATGGAAGAATTTCAACGAAATTTGATACATAGGCACTTGGGATAAAGGAAAATCAAACTGCCAATTTCAAAATTTGGTTTTGCGCATGCGCAGTGCCAACTTTTTTATTTATGGAAGAATTTAAACGAAATTTGATACATAGGCACTTGGGATAAAGGAAAATCAAACGCCAATTTCAAAATTTGGTTTTGCGCATGCGCAGTGCCAACTTTTTTATTCATGGAAGAATTTAAATGAAATTTGATACATAGGCACTTGGAATAAAGGAAAATCTAGCGCCAGTTTCAAAATTTTATTTTGCGCATGCGCAGTGCCAACTTTTTTTATCTATGAAAGACTTAACCTCAAAATGTGAAAATTCATAATGGCGCCCATAAGAAAAACTAAAGTTGCCACGTGTTTCTCCGTCATCTGGAGAGTTATTGAAAACAGGATGCCGTATTTGAAATCCCCATTAAAACGTGTCCGAATAATGTGTTAATTAGAAATGTCTACTACGATTAGTTTATCATAAAAAAAAGAAAAACGAAAATCAGAAATTTTTGTTTTTTTGAGATATCTTCAAAACTATTGAAGATATTTGAAATGTCTTTTCAGATTCTTATTCAGCACGAAAATTGGCAACTTTGTCCCCATTTAACCACCAACTTTCTATCTCTTAAGATAAGTGAGATCCCCATAGTGGCACTGGAAAAATGGACACCGTGTATAGAAGTCTCTGGAAAAGCTTTGAAAAGTCTCTTGAGTGTTTTTTCGCCTATTTATACAGCTAATGGCTATTATCAGTTGTAGAAAAATACTAGAGAGATCTTTAAAAGGTGCCTGATGGTCACTTAATTCTCAATAGGGTTCCAGAAAGATCTTAACGCTTTGGATAAAATACTTTGGAAAGTGACTCTTAAGTCTCATTATTGTATTCCAAAACTTTCTATGAATTCGCACAGTAATCTTAACACAGTTCAGACTTCCAAAGCCTCGTAAAACTTTACAGCGCTCCCAACTCGAACGTTTTACGGCTTTTTTAGATTCGCATGTTCTGGAGCAAGGCAGAAGCCTACTAGAACGCATTTTTCTATGCCAACCCACACATTTATAGCGCCTTTCCTCCTCGAGTTTTGCAAAGCGCCTAGAAGGATCTTATAAAGGTGTTGGAAAGCACTTCAGCCTTCCACTTGAGGCATTTTACAGTTAATTTTTGAGGGTAATTCTAGGCAGGCTCTACACTTAAGATACATAAATGCCCTGGATAATTTGAAAAGCCTCTTAACATATAATTTTATTGTTTTGAATAAAACAAAAATAGCAAGGATTTCATTTAAAAAAATCTACAAAACATCTAATAACTATTTAGCCTTAATTTTTAATGCTCCAAACTTCTTGGTGTTCAAACTAGAGACTACTTGAGGTTAACTTGAGAATATCCACAATATTTTGTGCTTGTTTCATAGTCGGCATATCAATCATAATACCTTTGTAAACAAATGCCCCCTGAAATTATATAGCTCATACACAAAATCAATGGCAGAATTCATTTTCACCTGTCCTTTTTTCTGATGCTCTTTAAAAGATTCCAATAGGCCCGTAGCCCATTCAACTTGTTTTTTGTTTGGTAAAAATGCAGTCTGAACTACTGGTACTTGATCGGGATGTATCACCTGCTTTCCAGTGTAACCCATTTGTGCCCCCTGTTCGCAATACTCCTTCAATTTTACCAAGTCTAAAATGTGGACTTTTGTTAAAAAACAATTGAAAGAAACACTTACCTTTAAAATCGATGTGGACCATATCAATTGCTTGTAAATTGAAAGCTTTGCTAATCAGTACTACTTTTTGTCTAGCGTATAATAATTCAGCACCATCATGTGATCTTGTTATACCTTAAACAATCTCGTATAAACGCGGTAACGGACAAGCTAAATCCGGTTCCTACCAAGAGACGCACACAAATCATCGCTACCAAACACAACTCCAGCCAGACGAAACTTCCCATTCTCCGCTAGTTCCATTGTGTATTTACAAAGCTCGTAGCATTTAATTACAGCTAAAGCCGATTCAACATAGATAATCAAATCTATTTTTGCCTCATCCCTTATCAAAGCATTTGCTTGATCTGCAAACTACTTTAAAGTAAAGGTTTTTGCGTGTTCCAACAGACAGACCCATTCGAGATGCCCTTTATCTTCGACTTTCGGTAGTAAAACTGTGTCGGGTAAATATTTTGCCGTCAAAACCGCTCGAAGATCGTCGTGACAAAATTCGCTGTTGACCGGATTTACGCGCACCGCTCTATCGAAATTGCGTCTCGTCACGTTCTTCTCGGTATCGAGAATGCTGCGGATCGTACTTCGAGCCGTTTCTTTTTGACTTAACGCCACACCGTCTTCGCAATCCATCGCAATGCAATCCACGTCCAGCGTAAATGCTTTGGATAATTTACGGAGATTGTCACCGGGCACGTACATCAACGCACGACGGGGTGTGTAATACCGTACTGAAATCTACACTTCAATTAATTAATTATATGTTTTAATAATGTCCTTACTATGTTAATTTTTTTAATACAATTGAAAACTGTGCGAAACTTCATTTTCATGTAGGTACCAGAAATGAACCACCCTGTAGGTACTAAACATAACCTAAACTACTGTTTTGATGCGAGCAGCTGATAACAGAGGCACAGCCATTTTATCAAATCATCAACAGCTGATTTATCAACTAATCTGTCAGTGAGAATAGGTTTCTTTCATAATTTTAAATTGCTGCATTTTGTTACAAATAACCTTGAACATTTTGTATTTTGCTTTGTTGTATTCGTGTAAAATAAATAAACAATTAGATGAGTAATCTCCGTTTAGTTTTTCCTTATCCCGTATCACTGTAGGTGGAGTTGCATATTTACCAATTTTCTCCTTCAATTTATTGCTCATCCTTCACTTTAATCATTGGTGATTAATCATTATCGCCCTTTATTTCGCAATAATGAAAGAATGAATTCTAACACGCCTGATATTCCAGAGCATGGTGGTGATGTAATCTTCTCAGTTGTAAGTGTCTTGAAACAAAAGTGTGCGGTTTTACTGACGTAGATTTTTAGAATGGCACATCCTCCGATCTTGAAGAATTATCGAATGGTTCCCTTGATTATTCGAATTTGTTGGCGTCTCTTCGAAAGCGAACAATAGTGAGTGATGAAGTTGTGGAGCCGGGGACGTTGAACGTGCTGTCTGCAAAATACGAGGTAGGTAGACATACAGACGAATAACATGTGTATTCATGTAATTGTAGAGTTTAGATTATGATACTTGTGAAAATCATTTATTGCTCGATGAGGAAAGGAAGAAGGGAACCAGGTGTTTAATAAAGAAAAATTTGCAGCGATGGTTGGTGTTTTTACTGATTGGTGTTTGTACTGCGCTTATCGCATGTGCAATAGATATATCGATAGAACAATTATCCGAAATTAAGTATGCCACTCTTAGTAAATGTAAGTGGTCGCATCTCATACTAGAAATGGTTAAAAACACTCTTTTGTAGGTGTAGATAAGTTTATAGTAGAAGGAAAATTGTATATACCATATTTTATGTATGTATGCTTTAACATCGTACCAGTATTCATTGGGGCATCTTTAGTCGCATTCGTTGAAGTAAGCACCCTGACATGTAATGGGCAGTATAGATACAGTTTGTTTCAGCCAATTGCTGCCGGCAGTGGCATACCGCAAGTAAAATGTTACTTAAATGGGGTCAAAGTGCCACAAGTGGTTCGAATTAAGACACTCGTGGTAAAAAGTGTTGGGGTCGTTTTGTCAGTTGTGGGAGGTTTGGCGGGTGGAAAGGTAAAATTCTGCAATCTGACCCTCCTCTCACCTGGTAATCCAGTGGTTGTACCTATTTGTTCTGGAAATTATTTCATTTGTACCTACCATAAAAACAACATCTGTAAATGTTAAAAGCTGGAACACAGAAGCAATCTAGCTGAATTTGTTTCAGAGATACAGGGTGAAAACGAAAAGTGTGACTTTTTGGAATGCTATCGTATCTTACCACCCATGTAAAATAGTAAAAACGTACAAAATGCCTATTTTAGATGTTTTTATGTTTATGGTTTAGGAACAAAAATTTTTGGACCGCTGTTTCAAAGATTTAATCCATTGTTTGTTTAAATGCAACACCCTGTATAGCTTAACGTCAATTTTTTGCACTATTTTTCCTGATTACACGGATATATCACAACCTGTATTTTTTAAAATTTTAGCCATGTACCAAAAATAGAAATCTTCATTTTTACGATTTTAAATAGTAGGCCATGGACATTTTGTTTTATTTATTGTATCCATGGTAACCAAGGCAGTCGATACCAATCAATAAAAATGGCTGGCGGTAGAAACTTGTCATTTCATTAAAAATATGAAAATATGATATATAATCGAGTAAATAATTATATTAAAAAAATACAGTTTGTGATACATCAATGTTCAGGAAAAAAAATGCAAAACATTGACGTTAAGATGTACATGGTGTTGCATTTAAAAAGTACTTTGGGTCAAATCTTAGACACGCTGGTTCAAACATTTTTTAGTACACCATGGATTCTACGTAAAAATATCTAAAATAGGCAATTTTCTATCCTACATGAGCAGTAAGATATGACAACATCCCAAAAAGTTAAGCTTTTCGTTGTCATCCTGAAACTCCGAAACTAATGTAGCTAGATTGATTCTGTTTGTGGTATTAAAAGTTTCACAAAATAGTGCCCCAGGGTCGCTAAAACGGCTTTAAAAACAGTTAGGATACACCTCTGTCTCAACCAGTGGCGTATTTACGGGGGGGGGGGATGAAGGGGATATATACCCCCCCCTGCCTTTCACGAAATGACGAAAATAAGAATTTTAAATTTTAAAAACAGGAATTATACATATTTACTGCTTACTACCTACTTATTATTCAAAGTTTTCGTTGACTAATTAAAGCAAAAGCAATAAAGGGGCCTGTCAGCATTAAGAAATAAAATACCGTTCTAATCTAACCTTTTTCGCCTGTACAATGATAAATAGATAAATGACTACCAGCATCAGCAACCTGCAACCCAATTTCTATTTCTTACCCCACAGGATTTATGGACAGGCGTCTTTGAAGATCCTTCATACAAAAGCAAATTGAAAACACAAAATGGATTGCGTATGCGTAAATACAGCTTCCTTATTTCTGGACCACTTTTCTGAGATTGAAACTGAAGATGCTTCTTACAAAAGTGAATTAAAAACACCTTAAAAAATGTATACGCAGGGTTTTCTTAACCTATATTTCAAATGGGTTCCAACCCCTGACAGGGGGTGCTCAACATTAATATCATTAATGGGACACCCTATATATTTGCCACTGTATATACAGGATGTTTTCCTATTTATTTTATGCATTGCAGTTACTTATCTTTTATATCTTAGTACAATGGGAGAAAACGATAAGGACCTTTACCAAAAAATTGAAAAGTCCGTCCGTCGCTCCTATTTAAATCAATGCCCCTTTATTTTCAACTTTCCAAACCATCTACTCCTTTTTAGCAAAATTACTGCTACCATCTGTGTACATACGTTGGCGAAAAAACATCTGCTTAATTTGCACTGAATCAGCTTACGGCATCGATAACGAATATTCTTATCGCAACGACCGGATTTACAAGAGATAACTAACAAAACAATCTCCCAATTAATTCCAGATGTTTCCTAACTTACTATCTTAGTCTTCTTTTTGTTACTATCAGTTACGTTATGTTGTCTTTAAGGCACAAATGGAATAAATAGGTCTAAACAAGATACACGAATGGATGTGGTGGTAGGAGGCTTAGTCGCTTACATGAATATTTCTAGGAAGGCCCAATGATACACTCGGGTGCAGTAGTTGCGGCCGGTATATCTCAGGGGAAAAGCACAACGTTCAACGTCGATTTTTCGATATTCAAACACTTTCGAGAGGACCACGAGAAACGAGATTTCGTTTCGGGCGGTGCAGCTGCAGGCGTATCGGCAGCATTTGGAGCTCCTGTCGGTTAGTCTGACGGCTGCGTTAATTTACTTGGCACGATTACGTTTGCAGGTGGTGTATTATTTAGTTTGGAGGAAGGTACGAGTTTTTGGAACCAAAGCTTAACGTGGCGAACTTTTTTCGCGTCGGTTATTAGCACTTTTACGCTTAACGTTGTACTGTCGACGTATCACGGCGTTCCGGGTAATTTGAATTATCCCGGATTACTTAATTTAGGACAGTTTGAAAAGTTCTCCTATCAAATTTACGAGTTGCCGTTCTTTATTCTGTTGGGTTCGTTTGGTGGGCTCTTAGGTGCCCTATGGAATTTTTTGAACTACAAGCTGTCCGTTTGGAGAATAAGGTTTGTATGTTGAGCTTTAGTGCAATTAACATATGTACAATTTAGGTATATTCGTAATAAGTGGTTGAAGGTTACTGAGGCGTGCCTTATCGCTGCTATTACTGCAACTGCAGGTTTTCTCATGATGTTTCTGATTGACGATTGTAAACCTCTGGGGCAGGACCCTACGAAATTCCCAACGCAGGTTTTTAATAAACAATCTTCTTTGTGTTTATACCAACTCTAATTGCAGATGTATTGCGGTGACGGTGAATACAATGTACTGGCAAGCATATGGTTTCAAACACCTGAAGCATCAGTTCGCTCGCTGTTTCACGATCCTCCAAACACTCATAATGCTTTATCTCTGTCCGTGTTTGTCGTCGTCTACTTCTTATTATCTTGTGCAACTTTTGGGCTCGCGTGTTCAATTGGATTATTCATTCCTACATTACTAACGGGTGCAGCATGGGGACGTCTAGTTGCAGTTGGTTTATTGCAACTCTTTCCAAATGCGACCGTACATTTTAAACCGTATGCCTCCAACTATTTATTGAAGTATAACTTGTAGGCACTCGTACATCCTGGCAAATATGCGCTAATAGGTGCAGCTGCGCAATTAGGAGGCGTGGTAAGAATGACGATTAGCCTTACCGTTATTATCATGGAAACAACTGGAAATATTTCGTTCGCTTTACCACTTATTTTAACACTGATCGCCGCTAAATGGACAGGAGATTTTTTTAACGAAGGCATTTATGACACTCACATACAGTTAAACGGTGTTCCTTTACTACCTTGGGAACCGCCACCTTTTGTGCACAATGTGTATGCGAGTGAGGTAATGTCTCATCCAGTGGTCACCTTAAGGACGATAGATAAAGTTGGCCATATAGTCGAATTGCTGCATCTTACTACTTATAATGGATTTCCTGTCGTCGATCCGCCTGTTCGAGATGAGGTAACTACATTTTAATATTAACACTTAGGTAGCGACATCCATCATTTGTCAGTCAGTAGTATGTTGCATTATAAATAAGTATTAGCAAATGGTTGCGCTTTAAGAGAAGGTAACAAATTTAAACATGGAAGGGGATGTAAACATGTAACAAAAAAAACAAAATTTTAGTTATTTGATGTCATAGCAACCTCGATCCAAACCAAGTTCTTTCTTCATTAATAAAAAAATTCCAAAGGAAAAACTTGTACATTTTCACATAGAAAACATGTCTATTATAATATTATATGTTGAGAAGGATGAGATAACAAAACAGTCCGTGGTAAAAACGCCCCAATGTAATAGCCCCAACAAAACAGTTTTTTTTTCGTATATGTGTAATAACCCAAGTCCAGCGGAGAAGGACTGCGCAACTCAAAACCAGAAATCAAAACTTCCGCCAAAACTAACAAACTTATGGCACATGATCGGCAAATACAAACCTACGTTGCGTTGTAAAACGAGTAGCTCAAGGAGGTGTGTCACTCTGAGGATTGCCACAAAATGCAAGAAATGGAGAGAGTGAAATTTATTTAAAAAAGTTAATTAAAAAAACAATCAAATTCAAATCAGGGTTGCCCTCTCTTAATCATACGAGAATAGCTCTAGGGACTTTCATTACAAGGAAGAAAAAAATAGCTATTGAAAACCGTCCAGGATATGTACTCACTTACTTTCTCACTTCATTTACAATTTTACATTATAACAGTTTTCAACTTGGGGGGGTTCAACGTGTACCATAACATTGGAGACTTTTATTTCCCCCTTGATTGTGACTATACCGATATATAATATTGTCCAACCAGAGCTAGGCAGTATTCGATTTTGTAAATACTTTTTAGTATTTAAATCCTTTAAAGTATTCAAATACTTTGTAATTAAATACTTTTATGGAAGCAGTATTTGTTTTTGTAACTCAAATACTTTTACAAATATTTAGTATTCGAATACTTCGCATAGTATTTGAATTTTGGTGCGTAGAATCCAAAACAATTCGTACTTTTTCGATCAGACTTCTCAAAAAAATGTTATAGACTAGAAACCAGTTTCGAAAAAAAAATTCAAAGGGCTGTAACTTTTGAACTAGTATCCCAATCTTGGAACTGTTTGAAATTATGGATTCTACAGGCCACATTCTAAAAGAAAATTTTTTTCCGGGTCGATCTGAGACAATTTTTTTTCGGGCCTCAAAAAAAGGCAGTGTAGAGCTCAGGCGCCTGCCATTTTATCCAGGACATAACCTGCCTCATTGTAATAATATGGTGATCGCATTTTGAAAATACTCAAAATATATCGCCAGCATATTAAATGATTCCTGGTTAGAAATCGGCATTTTAGAAAGGGGATTACAAATTCAAAAAACTGCACTTTCTGAATTTCTGAATGAATTTCTGAATGAATTTACAAATTACGGCTGTTATTATTTTATAATGCATCGTGTTTCATTTGTTTAATTTTCTAAGGCCTACCTAAAAGTGTAGGGTCCTTTTCCATACAATCTTTCGCGTCATCGACAAATACCGGAAATACGTCATATAAGGTACAATTTAAGCAATTTTATTTATTAATTTATTAATCTCTTTGAAAAACTGGCCTCTTTGAGTGTTATTTGGCTACTTTTTCATAAAGATAATTATTTTATTATTATAATTAGTTGCAACTGATTTTCATTGTTCTTTCCGACAATAACAGTGCTATTTATTAAGCAGTAGACATAGGGATATATGTGTATTGTTTTTCCCTATGTACTTTCAAATGGCAAAATATCTTCATAAGGGCGCCTAATTTTATACAACCAAAATAACTTCTTAAACAAATGAAGATCTGGTTGTCACATTAATTAATTTGAATATTGTTGCTATGGCTTCCGTATTTTAATTTTCGTTCATGTGCGATGTATTCAACTGCGGAAAAAGTTGTCAATTGGTATAGTGCCGGTAACAGTTTAAGGAGCGTATGATATTTATTTTCTGTTAAGGCAAAGATGTTTATTTGTTTTAAAAAGTTAGATTGGATGCATAAAATGAAGCGCCCTTCAGAAGAATTTTGTTTTTTAAAAGTAGACATAAGGAAAACAATACACATAAATCGCTATGTCTACCTCTTAATAAATATCACTGTATACTTTAATGGCACGTATTACAGATATAATATGATATATATAATTTTTTTCCTTGGTTCATTATCCCTAATCATACACTAACCCTGTTCAAGATATAATTACCATGATTACCATTGACTCAACAATGGCAATTATGATTAGAAATGGGTTATCTAGAAAGTAGGGCTGTTTTGTCAGAGTGCCATTTTGCCGAGGCGGTATTGTCACGAGTTCTTTTGTGAGTGAGCTATTTAGTAAAAGATGTAGTGTGTAGGTATAACACTGCTACAACTGTTCTTGGTGAAAATATATAAAAATTTTGTCTGCACAATTTTTTAAAAATATTGTTGATATAATAATAAGTTTTTGAAGATCTTTAACATTCCAATGCGCATGGCAAATAAACCACCCTGTATACAATATACAAAACATACATTATTTATGGCTAGTTACCTCGACGTCCAGCTTGCACCGCTACTGTAGAATTTTGTACTTATCCTAATTGTCACTCCTGAGGATTTCTGCTGATATTACCCCTCCTGGACTATCCCATAGAGTCAACATTCAGTTCAACTACAGTTACATGGACCAATTGCATCCAATGTGTAGTATAAGGTTGGGGTGATATAAAACAAATCCTATAGTCTGTCTAAAATTGACGCGAAGTAATAAATTATAAATTGGTGAAATAGAAATAGTATTTTTGTATAGAAGTGATTCTCTGTCTCTGTCTATCAAGTAAATTTATTACTTCACGTCAATTTTAGACAGACTATAACACATTTCCATCTCACAGGCCACCTCAATAGACAGAGACTTTATTTGAAGCAATAGATTTCCATAGTCAATAAAACATCTGAAGTTAAAGTTTAACTTTAACGCACTTATAGTACATTATTATTCATAATCTGAGCTACAGTTATTTACAGCATGGTCGTCCCACCTACGGTCGATTGCGAGGTCTCATACTGCGCTCTCAGTTAATTGTAATTCTACAAAGACGATTATTTAATGAAACGTGCGACTCTTGGGAGAATGTTTCTTCATCCATATTTCGGGACGAATATCCACGTTATCCTACAATAGACGTAAGTTGTATAAATTCTCTTTGTTTTTTTCGTGATGTAAATGAAAGAGCAGAGTTTGCTAAATCAAGATCATTTTTTATTTGTACTGTAGTAAAATGACATCTCATTTAGAGCTATACTGCATTCATTGTAAGAAGGCAGTAGATGGCGCTGTGTTTGAAGATAAACACACACAGGAAAAATATAAAATGGCACCAAATTATTGTAAAGTAGAAATATTCAGCACTGCGAAATTGAGTTGGCAACATAAACTACTACCTTACAAAGTTCACCAGTCGTTTTATGTTTCATTGTAGTACCGACTCGTGTTGTAACCAATCACAGTGAAGGTCAAACCTTCCCTATGCTTTCTAGCGCTATCTTCTTAAAATGAATACAGTATAGAACTATAAATTTATTTAAAAAGGGACTAGTTAGTATCTAGATACCTACTTACATTCTTAATTTCCATTTGCGTGATTTTAAAAGCAGTAATAATAAATAATAATAATAAAAAGTCCAATCCTTTTCTGTTCGTGTAATGCAAAATTATACCCAGAAGATGACTCTTTAAAAACTCAAAGATTTCTTACTGCAGGAGGTTTTTATAAGTAACGAAGATAAGATGTATACAGTCGATCTGAGACCGTTCATGAACCCGTCACCGTACTCGGTCTTACATGTAAGTGAAACGTGCTCACGATTAATTTGCCCGCAGATTCACTTTTCAGTCCACGTCCTTATCGAGGATGTTTAGACTCTTTCGTGCGTTGGGTTTACGGCACTTGCCGATCGTAAATGACAGCAACGAAGTGGTCGGGATGGTTACACGAAAAGATCTGGCGAGGTATCGCGTGTGCCGCCATCAAGGCAAAATGTACGTAGATGAATTATTAATATCCAAAGAATTGTAAACTAATTGTATATATAAAGCACTTTATTTATTAACTTAAAATATATTGTTATGTTATGTATATTAATGATCATTCATAACCTTCCTACCATTTAAGGGGCAAGGTTGTTTCTTTCTAATTTTTTGCTTTTTCACGTGTTTCTGTGATACCTCTTTTTTTATTTGCTCTTTGTATTGCCATTTTCCTACTTATTTCAGTCTTACCTATAAAGGCATTGCTGTGGTGAAGCTGTGCTACAATTTAAAAGTATTTTGTAGTCGTGGTCTGCTTCACTGCAGGACAAAAACAACGTCCAAATTCAACCGAACTCTCTCTGTCTTCCCATGCTGTATAAAGAGAGCTAGAGGTGTTTTAGTCATTATAATTTTATGGAATAGTGATGTCCATTAATTACAAACACATTAACACAATCAAACTATTGCATAATTAGGTGCTAATTAAGTGCCCTATTCCTGAATTAAATGCTCCTTTTTTTAAAATTATTACATGTTTTGCCAGGTTCATATGAACTCAGCCGAGCACTCCCTTAAAAACCCAAGAAAATGAAAAGTGAACTAACTGTAATTAGGTGCTAATTAAGTGTCCTATTCCCGAATTAAATGCTCTTTTTTAATTATGAACCTCGCAGAACATGTAATAATTTAAAAAAAAAGGAGCATTTAATTCGGGGATATAGCACTTTATTAGCACTTAATTGTAGTTAGTTCACTTTTCATTTTCTTGGTTTGATGAGTTCATATGCACCTGGCAGAACATGTAATAATTTTTTAAAAAAAGGAGCATTTAATTCGGGAATAGGGCACTTAATTAGCACCTAATTAGCGCCTAATTATGCAGTATGTTTGATTGTGTTCTGCTGACCTTGCTCTGCTAGGTTCATGGACATGGAATAGTGTAGCAGCATGAGCATGTTTTTTGCGCTCCATATTCAACCACTTCACTTCTATGTTTGGAACAGACGTGCTCATGTTTTTTTATACCGAATATTAATCGCAAGCATGGATTTTGTATTTTTAGCCACTCATGTTCGAAGGCTTTATTATGGCCTCTTATTCGTCCGACCGAGGCCTTAACTACTCCTACAGTTCTCAAGATATTTAGTTCGTTCTTTTTGCATTCGGTAGCTTATAGCTCTGGCAGCTCAACCAAGATTAATATGCGCATGTGCAGACTGCGCAATGTTAACTTTCTTTATTTTTATGGAAGTATTTTTTAAAATTGTAACCAAAGATTCTTCTAATAAAAGCAAAAATATCGCATATTTTAAACATCAGGTGTGTGTATCCGCAGACTGCGCAATTTTAAGTTTCTTATTTATAAAAAAAGGTCTACGTAACGCTTGTTTCATTTCTTGTTTATAAGAAAATTTACACCATAACTTATTTTCTTTTGTACACATAAATAGTCTGTTACATGACCTTTCAGCAAGTATTGATCGATTCATGGAAAATGCGCTTAAGAATTATATACTCTTGACGATTCATGCGCCGACTGCGCAATGTCAACTTTCTTATTTATAGATATATTTTTTTGAAATTTAACAAAAAAACATATTATATGGGTTATTGTAAACACCAGGTGTGCCCATGGGCAGGCCGCGCGATGCTAACTTTCGTATTTGTAGAGATTTAAAAAAAATTTTAACCACATATGCTCCTAGTAAAGGCCAGCATATCGCATATTGAAAAAATCAGATGTGCGCATGCGCAAACTGCGAAATGCCAACGTTCTTTATTTACGGAGACCGTTTTTTGAAATTTTAACAACAGATATGCTTCTAGTAAAGCAAGACATGGCGCATATAGCTCGACTTTTTGGAGAGTACTGATCCAATGCATGGAAAATGTGCTAAAGTTACTCTCCTTACACCGAAACATTTTTTCTTTTTCTTTCTTAACGCGTGTCTGACCTCGTTATCCTCTTTCAGTTATAAATTCTTCTTCATTTTAGCGCCTTTTTTTTAAAAATTAAGTGTGATCTTTTGTTTGCGTTTTGTCGATCTGCAGTTTTTAACTGCTTTTAGGGGAATTGTCCTAGGGCCCTGGCATTTTTTGACTTCGAGGTAGTTTATAACTTGAAGGTGTACCAGACAAAAAGCGACAGCATCGCTCGATTTATTGCCGTTTTTGACGAAGTGATGCATCTCCTATAGCGACTTCATAATTTTGCAGTGTCTGTCAGTTAGCAATATACCTCGAACTATGAAATTTGGCGGTTGGATTCTTAATCGGATTTGTAGATGGGTGTTCGTGAATTGGAAATGTTGGCCAAAAAATAACAAAGGGCATTTTGACATCTCCGTTAGTTATTAACAAAATTGCACGAAGTTCAAACTGGGCATAGTTTTAGCCATGCTATAGTCATACGCAGGAGCTCTTTGCTATACAGTGTGGGCCATTAGTGTGTTGCATTTTTTTAAATGGAAATAATATCTAAAATGAGTCGTTTTTTTTAAAAATAGATGTCCAGTCAAAACTGAATATCGCATCATTAAACTGAGAAGGCCGTGACTCTGCAAGCTTACTAATCATGAAATGTACTAACATACGCCGAACGAAAAAGTTAAATTTCTTTTGCGTTAAAAGAAATCATTCTGTCAATTTTCAAAATTTCAATCAAAGGCAACTTGATTTTTTTAAATGGAAATAACAATTTTTTTATTGTATGAAATTTAGGATTTTATTACCTTTCTAACGATACAAGCATGTCGGTATTTATCTTTTACATATTTTTTTTTCAACAATTTCTAATAATTCACAGTGTTTTCCGAGTTTCAAAGCCTCTCAGTAATTAGTAGGCCATTAAAAATTATAAACAATTGAAATTATAAAAAAATTCCTTCAAATAAAACAAAACAAAAACTCAAAAACGATAAAAATCAAAATAAAAAGTTTAAATTAAAAAAAAAGAGAAAAATAACAATTATTTCAATAAATATTCAAGACCAAACATTTGTCGACGGGTTTAGAAAATCTTTCTTTGACAGGTACAGTTCCTTTTACGTATCCCCATCAGAAGAAGTAAAGTGGTGTAAGGTCTGGGGAGCGCGCTGGTCAATTTTGAATTTATAGGGCCTCGCTCGTCGACCTATCCACCTCCTAGGAAATGATTGATTCAGCCATTCTTTAATGTTTATAGCAAAATGAGGTAGGGCACCGTCGTGCTGAAACCACATTTCTTCTACGTCTATCAGAACATTTTGTAGAAGAGCAAAAAATTGAGTACCTACTTAAAAATTCATAGTAAAGAGCACCGTTTAAAATATGTTACCTATTCAAATTCCATTTTCTAACAAATTAACTGATCAACAATGAACAACAGAATTGTAAATGCCATTGAAGTAAATTGACAGATGTTATTTCATTTTATTTTGTTTTAATACTTTTCAATACGGCTTTCGTGGCGTACAATTCAAATTGATTTATTTAAGCTCACGCATTGGTTTAAATGCCAAATTAATTATTTTATTTTTTAAAATGGGCTATGAAAAACAAGAGTTTTTGTTTTGTTTTATTGGGGGGTAAATGTTTTATCATTTAAATTGGTGTTTATAATTTTTAACCGCCTACTGATTACCGAGAGGCTTTAAAAATCGAAAAACGCTGAATTATTAAATTTTCGAATTACAAAAAATAGGCAAGACATACATACCGACATATTAGAAAGTTCATAAAATCCTACATTTCATGCAATAAAAAAAACTTGGTAGTTCATTTAAAAAAATCAAGTTACTATTGACTGACATTTTGAAAATTGACGGAGTTATTTCTTTTAACACAAAATAAGTTTAACTTTAGGCGTTCGGCGTATGTTAGTACATTTCATGATTAGTAATACTGCCGAGTCACGGCCTTCTCAGTTTAAGATAACTTCGATATTCAATTTTTTTGGACATCTACTTTTTGAAAAATCGACAGGGGCTTCCATAAAAAAAAGCAACTTTGATATAAATCACCCTGTATAACAATTGCAATTTCGTTGAAATATTTTTATGTTGTTTAAGGGCTCTCAACATGCCCGCCAATCAATTTTAAATATGTATGTACGTTAATAAACCCACAATCTTCCACACACATACACTAATGGCCCACCCTGTATTTGTTTAATTTATTTTATATAGTTTTCTTTGCCATGTTGTTTATGTGGCTCCCAACAGCACTTATCTCGATTTATTTACTCCATGCTGGATTTTGTTTATTCAGGTGGGCATACTTCCACTCACCTCTTTTGGGGGCAAATATTATATCTACAGTTTTGTCACCCTCTTATGATTGCATTATTTTCCCTTTTTTTTTAAATTGAATTGTGAACTAAATTTATAAATTACTCTATTTATTTTCTTAAAATATACATATAAAAAATTCAACATTGTTTGACTTAATAACTTACAAAAATAATGTTAGATAATTATATTCTACTATCACATCATAATATTGCATCCGGCTTGCACATGGTCCATAACTTCCACTTTTAATATGCCAACTTGCTCTTTAAGCTGATTGACGAGAGAGGCGAGCTCAACATTCTCCCCTTTCAAATGTTTTACTTTGTCTTCTAGTCTGGAAATTCGTTCCAGTTTCCTCGTACGACATTTGGAGGCAGCAAGGCGGTTGCGTTGTCGCTTTCTCTCAAGCTTGATCCGTTCTTGCGCTTCCATGTCGACTGGCGACAGTGGAGGTGACGAGCTGTGTATATTCGGAACGGTTTGAGGTTCTTCTTTGATAATCGGCGTTAAAAATCCCAGGGTCGGCTGTTCTAATTCCGCATAAACTGTGGCACTTGATGAATTGTCGGATGCTAAAACATTTATTAGTATCTACGTACGTATATAAGATTCGGTAACCGACTTACCAGAGCTTGTGTTGGCGTTATTGTGGAGATCGTTGAGGGCGTTAACGAATCCGCTGGCGAATGTTTCGGGATCCTCCGCGACTGTTCGCGAGTAAATCAGCCCGGATGGTGTCGGCGTACTTGTGGAAATTCCGTTCGCCAATATCATCTTTTCCAATTCCGGAGTGCCGACCTTTAGCATATTTAAATCCGGCGAGGAAAGGACGGAACTTGCGGCGCTCAAGTTCAAATGTGGCTTTTTCGCCTGGTTAAAGTCTAAAGTTAGGTTTCGCTTCATGCTGTTTAGTTTCTGAGTGCTGTCGGACGAACCGCTCATAACAGCTAATTATTCTTGAACAACTCCCAACCCAACCAGGCCCATAAACCGAAGAATAATTTGATCGGTAATAAGACAATCAAAAGTAAAACGTAGTAGGTGGTGTCAGTCAGTTCCATAAAACCTGCAAGTGCAAATTGCTTTTAATTTTATGGAATGTAAAGTGAAGGCAGGATGAACAACCACAAGGTGTGTCCTGACCTCTTTCATAAAACTTGTTGATTACTTTTGCTGTTACAAAATCTGTTACATATCAATAGAGTAAAATTAGCAAGTACACTCACCTCATAATGTGTAAAAATGTAATTCTGCCGATGTTATGATGATTCACTACAAATAGTAGAGTGATAATTTCTTCAATGGCGCTACGTTTTTAACTTGAAATTTTTGTTCCGAGAAACACAAAATTTACTATAACAAGCGATGACTCACACTTCAAGGAAATATGACGTAAAAACATAGAATAATAATATTGCCATGGGCAATTTAGATGTGTCTGTTGTATAGTGTTCGTCTACTACTTGTAAACATGACTCCTCTCAAAGGCTACTGCATGCATTCTAACAGCCTATTTGATAACAATGATGATAGGTATTCTACATACGTACGAATAAATCAGAACTGTTTTGTTTTGTCCAAAAACAATCATGATTACACGAAATTTGTTAAAAAATTCAAACAACAACCTTTTGGGAACACGGCTGCATACACGAACACTTTTGTTATGTCGCTAAAGCCCGTTTGCAACGATTACTTATTTAGTCAAATTTTTAGTTCTTTTTTACTTCAATAAAGATAATGCTATCCTAAAAATGTCATAAATGATGAAACTGTATGTAACATTCCATAATATTGTCAATTTTTTAGTACCAGTAAAATGTAAACATTTGTACATAACCTATGTTATATTAAATCTGGAGACTAAATAATTATCTTCTGTAAACTAAGGTCTCTATCTACTGTCAACGTATTATAGTGAGCTTTAAAAATGAATATAAATTTAATTTTAATTTTACAAATTCCCTATAATCTGTCAAAAGTTACTAAAAAATTGAGAGAAAATAGGACAGGTTCTAAACTTTACAAAAATAGGACAACTTTCAGTTCCTAAAATAACTACCAAAAAATTGATCAAAGTTGATGTATGAAATGTTCAATTTTTTTGTTCCTAAAAAAATTATTGAAAAATTGACTAAATAAGTGATCGTTACAAACGGGCTTTAGAATTGCGTTTGACGCAAATACCAGGAATCTGAATCAAACACCTCGATGAGGTCGGTCTGTCTGTCTGTACTCTCATTTCGGCTAAACGGATGAACCGATTGGAACCAAATTTGGTACTCATGTTCTTACATAAAAGGAAGAGCTGAATTTGGGTAGATTCACGCATGCGCAACAAAATAAACAATTTTTGACGTTTTCGTGGGGGTGGTATCTGTGCTAGCACAGCAAATTTTCTTTGTTTTGGTGTGTTATGAACGCCAGAGCTTTAAAAAATTGCGAATTGCGTTTATTATCTGGATGCAAGCATTCTCTAATTGTACTTGATAGATGGTTTATTCTGTACTAATTCGGTGTCGAACACTAAAAACAATCTCAAATAAAATAAAAGTACATAATTATTTGAACGGCCAAATTTTTGGAAACTGCGAAATCCAATTGTTCGGCATTATAGGCACAGCCAATATGTTATTGATCATGAGATCTGTGGTTTCTTGTTTACTTAATTTAACGTTAGCCACCTATCGGCGAATATCGGAAGATAGTGATAAGAGCCATCGTACGCTAATCATTGCACCTTTTAATCAAGGTGGCCATGGCAGTGCCTTAATTTATATCCCAGCTCTGACAAACGAAATGAATCGTCGTGCGCGTGTGAATCTTTCGAATTTAACCCGAAAACAATAAAGGAGGCTGTGCAAATTATTGTTTTTATGTTAAATGTAACGTTAAGCTTAATGTGTCGCTTTGTTTTTGTGTTTTTACGTGTTTAAATATGTGTAATGTACCGCCAAAGTTTTATCAAGTGTGTCGTCTTTGTTTATCATGTCCGGAAAGTACTGATAGGGGTATCAATTTATCTATTTTCGAAAATGATATCGCCGACAGGAACATCCCGACTAAGATAATGACGTGTCTCTCTATACTGGTATGTGATTCATTTGTTTCGTTTCGATTTCGTCACTTGTAACCTCTTAATCTTGCGTAAATTTTTGTTGTTGTCTTATTTGTGAACGTAATTTCTTCGTGCATGTGCGTAGGGTTGGTCGTCGGGTGAAATCATGTGCAGAATCGCAGCTGCAACGGTAGGAATCTATTTTGGGATCGTTTTACAGAGTGCACTAAAATAAATAATTTTCTTTTTGTTTCCTGAAACATCTGCGATGCGTGGGCTTGTAGCCTGCTTAGATGCATTGTGTGTGTAATTACAACCGTCCAGGTAGTTGATGTATTTACTCTCCCATAAAACACCTGGCCGATTTACCTGGTCGTCTGCACGTAGAGAAAGTTTGGCAAAGGCAAGGAGCGGCAAGATGTGTAGCAATGATAAGATGAGCCTAACGTGATAACGGATGCCTCTCGCTTGCGCGTCCGCCGTGTTTTTTTTTGTGTTAACATTCCCCGATAAAACACGTTTTGCTGCCCAAACTTATTGGCATTGAGCTCTTATCAGTGAATCAACTCATTCACCTTGAATCTTTTGTAACCCGTCTCTTTACACCCATTCTCTTTCTTTAACTTGGAACGGCGTTTATAAATAAACATTAAACGCTGCTGTGCGGTAATGGAAATAATGAACCAACAGGAAATAATTGTGTAATTATGGGAATAAAGTTCCGAGGAGCAACGATCTTATTTAAATCACCTGCTGCCATTAACCAAACCAATTCTATTGAAAACTGCCCGTAAAAGTAAACGTGATTAAGAGGTTTTTCCTTCGCAGGCAAATCTAAAGATAAGAGTAAACAGGAAACACTTTCTAAGGTTATTTCAACGCTCTCTTGACTTTTTACCACGTGAAAAAGTAGGTAGTTTTGTAATAGCGTACACCTTTTTCTTTACCTGTCATCACCTCTTTTTGTTTATTTTTTTAATACAAAAAAAATAAAAATGGGGATGTTGACAAAATAAACATATGGGTGTATGTTATTTCATAACTGTACGGGCAATCGTAAGCGCCTAAGGGTGTGGGGGGGGGGGGGCAAAGCACTTGCGAAAACTCAAATTTTCTTCTCCCATTTTGACTCTGATAAAATTAAAGGCTTTTTTTTTGTAGGTGTCTGACAAGGATCCACTTCCACATGTAATATGCTTTCGGTGCGCCAATCAACTGGACGTTTTGAACGAATTCAAAGAAGCCGCACGAAAATCTGAAACGCTACTGTTCCAGTTTTTAGCTTATGCTCGTCAGGTTACCGGTTCATCTCAGGTAAGGTCCAATAGTAGAGGGTGTCTATGTACAATACCACTACACAGGTACATATCATACAGCCTGTATGATACAGGGTGGAAATGTCTGGAACACTGAAGATATCTTCAAAACAACATTAAAAAAATGCCTTTTATGATATCTATTAGTTTGCTAACAATCTTTTTTGTGGTCATTTCTGCATGGTTAAGGGGGGTATATTTTAGTAGCAACTACTGTGTGTAATGAAAACTAAAAATGGCCCCCTTGACCAAGCAGAAGTACGCCACTGACACAAATTTAAAGCATGTAGATTGGTAGCAGACTTTTTATAATTTAGGACACCATAAAAAGTTTCTTTTAAAAAAATGTTGTTTTAAAGTTGCAGACAAAATGTCCACCCTGTATTTTCATTATCTATGTACAGGTAGGTACTTACAGTTTAAAAACTGACTTACAGGTACTGTAATTAGCGAGGTAACTAGTGCATAATTAATTTACATACAAAGAAAATTTAAGATGGAATTAAGATGTTAAAAGTTGGCTTGGCATGAATACAGAAGTACCAAGCAAAAACAATTGACAATGCAACACTGACAAACACAATAAGATGGTTATATGACAACCGGACACTATATGACCCCCATGCTAGTGATAATGTTACTTGACTTATTGTTCTTAAGGGCTGTGTTGCAGTGTTGTATTAATCAAGTGTTTTCTACCTTCCTCGATCTTCGCTTATTAAAAAAACCCCCAAAAGGTTATCGACCCGGTGAAGTTGTAATTGGAAAGTGAGTGTACTTTTATTTTTTAATTTTTGGTCGATATTTTTAAATGGGCGGGGTTTCAGCTAAGGCTGCTCTACCAACCAAACCCACTATACATTTACAAATATGCATGTTCGAACCAGAGACAGCAATCGAGTTTCTTTGTTTTTATTTATACTTTTTGATGTAATAAAAACAATTACAATTCCCTTTTGAAGAAGAAGGTAAAAAAAACGAACAAACTCAAAAAAGTAATATTGAAGTTTAAGACGCACAGAAACGCTGCACATAAAAAAATGGTTCCCATTCGGGGCTCACCATTGGGATGTTCATGTAGAAGGGTGGACCTGATGATCTGTTTGTAATGATTTTGCACCATTTTTCCACAATTGTTGGAATTGCGAGATAGAAAATGCAGTGCAAGTGGAAACACACATCGACGCCGAAAAAGTTGTAAAATTGGACAAGTCAGTGTTTCGTAGTGCAGCCGCCACATCAAAGATGGCAGTATTATCGCGTTGTATTTTCATTTTTCCTGTTCATAACTGCAGTGCTGCACGCAATTGTTTGTGTTTTCTTGAAATAACCTTTATCGACCTCTTATGGCAAACTTTTCTCTGAAATTTTGACATTGTGACCTTTTAATAAAAGCCAATAGAACGCACATATTGATCAAAAAATATGAATATCTTTGTATGTTCGTCCGTATGTCTGTCCGTACCCACTTTTGCGTTTTTTTTCTTTTAGAGAGATTAATTGTTCTAGAATATTGCAGATACCTTATAGTTTGAAGGTTCGCCACATGGCAATCTTAAAATTTTTCATTTTGTAGAAGAATGTTTGATCAACATTTTGAGGTGGGAGGAGGAGACGAACAAACATCAATAATCAACTGTAATACGGATCAGTAATAATTTCTCGTTTAGATTATGAACCTAACCTAATTTTTTTAAATAGAACACCCTGTATACCTTTTTGAATCTTGCTTTAATTTTTATAATCACTTGAATCTTTTTTAAATATCATCTCTGGTGTGTTAATTTTGACAATATATGCTAATTTTAGAGGGGTGTTTTATTACAAAAGGTTCTTTATGATTGTGAATAATCTTCCTTTTTTAAAATACATAAGAACAGAAAAAAGGTTATCGGCCCAATCTATTTTTTTTGAAATAGCACTCCCTGTATGTTTTAATCTAAACAGATAGCATATTAAATTCGCTGTTTATAAGACCAAAAAAATTCAAACTCGAAAATCGAAATTAAAAAATATTCGTTTGTTTCCAGAATGACCATATATTTTCTTAGTTTAAAGAGACTCATGTTTATTACAAAATTTCTCTTTAATGATTGTTGAATAGTCTGCAATTTTCAAAATAAGTAGACAGGGTCACGTAAAAAGGTTACCGGACCTAAGCTATTTTTTTTAAATAGAACGCGTTGTATATTTTATTCGCTCGCTTAAGAGATAAGGGGAAAATTAAAAATTGCCAATTCCAGAGTGACCCTATATAACTAGTTACTAAAAGAGAGACAGAAAAATGTTTGTTACAACATTTCTTTGTAATGATTGTTGAATAATCTGCTGTTTTCAAAATCAGTATACAGGCTCAGATAAATGTGGTAAATTTTTGAAAAGAGAACTTTTAGGTTAAAATGTACATTTAAAAAAAGGTCAGATAACTTTTTTATCTGACCCCGTCAAGGACCCCGGGTATGTACTTATTTTAAAAACAGAATATTATTCCACAATCTTTATAAAGAAACATTTGTAATAAACACCTCTATAAAAATAGCACATTATATTCTCTGTTCAAAAATTTAACATACCAGGGATGATATTAAAAAAAAATTGAAGTGATTAAAAGAAATTAAAGAAAAATTCAAAAAATTATAAAATATTTAAAGAAATTTAAACAAAGGTTAAATAATTTAAAAAAATCAAAAAATATTTACCGTCGACCTAGAGGAGTGAATCTACGAGCGTTTCCTAGCTGTGCCAAGCTCGCTTTCGGCTTGCTCGACACTACATTAGAAAAATAGCGTGTTATGGAAATTCTGGTATTCAGATTCAGAAGGTACAACGGGAATTGTCTATTTCTGACCGTTTAAGGTAGGGAAAAGAAAACAAAAGATATTTTCAGTTATTTTCAAAGATTTTTCGAAAATTTCAAATGCTTTTTTTAGTCTCAAAAAGGGGCAACTGTGCCCCCATTTAACCTACACTGTTACGGAGATTCCAATGGTGAGCCATGAATTTGAACCACTCGGTACTGAAAGAAAGTGTTCAAAAATATGGATTTTTTTGTATTTTTTTCTCATAGAATCGAATGCTGTGATCAGTTTTTGACAAATTAAACAAACTATCAAAATTAACCAGAATATTCAATTTTACTAAAGCCAGTTTTTGTTTTTTGAGTTTTGATTGTTCCACAAACACTTTTGTCTTTGACCTTTGCTGGAAATTGCCGTAATTCGATTTCCCCCCCCCCCCTCCTCCTCAAATATTTGTTATTTGTAGTTATTCCAGCTCGTTTAAATTCGGTTTCTAACTGAATTTAACTAAGTTTCGTTGCCCAAAATATTTACGTGCACAAGTTCGACTGTTGATTGTACGGGGGTGTCAGGCGTCATGTCCTCTTTTAGGGTCACACTCAAAATGGTAAAATTTGAAAATATTCGCCCGCTTTAGAGATACGGGGGAAAATAAAAAATTGTCAATTTCAGAATACTTTCCCAGTAGTTTATTCCACGCTACCACATCAGCCGGATCATGAGGTTGCTAGTTCGCCTCCTACGGCAAATCTATTCTGTCTAGATACAGGCACCTACCAATGGAATGGAAAAGAAAAATTAATAATAAAAAACCCTACACTTTCTGCATTTCTGTTATTACAAATATGTCTCCTTTTTTTATGTGACTTTTTTATGTGACAGAGTAGGCTACTTAATTGTTCCTACTTTTGTACTTTTTGTTTAGCACCATAATTTCTTGTCCCTTAAGCAAGTTGCTTTAGCAATTAGCACTATGATGTCCATTAACTTCACCCAATTATCGAATAAATATAACAAACAAACATAATAAAGTGCTTATTTATTGTTGTAGTGTGGAATTCATAACTCCGTCCATTTGGCACAAGTTTTTTTAGGAAAGGGGGGGTGCTAAGCTGCCCCCCCCCCCCAAGGGTAAACTGCATTTAGACTCGAAATAAATTACAAACTGTGCTATGGGTTGCTAAACCTTCCTCTACATTAATTGCTTATTAAATTGCAAGTTTGAAATTAATTTTTTGTAACTGTTTGAGGGTGCCAGCTACTTGTTTTTGCGCAATAGTAGAATAAAATAGCCAATCAGTAGTAACGCAGATATACAGAAACAGCAGATTGTCAACTGGCGATTGTGTTAACAGTATTTTCTTGTGACGTGTAGGGGTTGGAGGTAGTGGTGATAGTAAAGAAGGTAAAGATGGCACCTGCAGAACCTCTCCTGGGCGTTACAGAAACGTTTCAAGAATTTTCTAAACAAATTTCGTTTATACCTCTCCTGTTTCTAGCAAAGGAGAGATGGAAACTTTTTGCATTGACATTCTCTAATAGTACTGTCACGCTATTTAAAGATGATCCTGCGCTATTGTCAACAGCAGGACCTGGTGAACTTACGCTATGCTAAACAGTAGAGAAGATATGTACCTACTTTAAGGCCCAGTTGTATAATGTCAGTTTAAACTTCAGTTTATAGTTAAGTTGTGGGTTAAAGAATTTGATTGGCTAATATTTCTAAAGTTGACCAATCGTGTTTCTAAAATCTGTCAGTTAAACCAATCTGAAGTTTAAACTGACATTGTCCAACTGGGCCTAAGTAAATTAGGAACAGTAGGGAGTAGGGAGAGTCTTCTTCACTATGAGGAACAGAAGTAGACTGCATTTTTGCTATCATCGCCTTCTTGACAGACTTGTTTGGTTGGTTTGACTGTACTTAATGCCCTTTAGAGGTGCCTTTGCAGAAGGTTGCTTGGTAATTCTTGTAACATTTTGGCTACTCGCCCATTGTTGTTAATCAAATCATTATAGCAGTTTTACATAATTTAGATCTATTTTTTTCATTTTTACAACAATAAAAGTAAAAGTATATAAAAAAACAACTAAGAACAACACAACTTCTGTACACCAATCCAGACAACGGATAAAAAATACTTGATATCAACTACTGTAGTGTCCGAACTTATTGAACTAAAGCCTATTGCTGGAAATGGGACTATATACGACAGGAAAGGGATATCCTGACGTTCGTTTGTACATCTTATACTTAGTGTGAGCCAACCACATGGCAAATGTCCCAACTAGGATGAACAATATGATGAGGGTGGTCAAAGTTATTCTCATCACTCGCACGCGGCCATATACTAGTGCGCCCAATATACGTTTATTCTAAAACAAATTGTCTTTCATTTAGAAACCCGCTAGTGACACCTACCGTTTTTGCGCATGTCGAATTTGTTAACGTAACCAACTCTACACTCAGTTGACTACTCGGTTCGATGCAACTAACCATATGCGCAATTTTTGGAAAATTGACCGTCAAATTGTAAAGGTTGCAGTCGCACTCGAAATTGTTGTCTTCAATGTTTAACACACGTAACGTGTCCCATGGCAGTAGCGTAGTTGGTAGAGTCTTCAAGTTATTACCGTTTAAATAAACCTCCTCGAGAGTAGTCACGTTGAAAAATGCCTCCTCGTCAATTTCGCTCAGTTTAGAACAGTGGCTCAGTTTGAACACTTCCAAATGTCTCAGCGGAGTAAAAGCCCTCGGTCGAATTAGTGATAATTCGCCTAAATTATCGGCGAAAATTTTCAAAATGTTTTGCTGTCCTAAAAGCGTCAACATCTAAAGGAGGTCGGATCTCGGGTCACTTGCCTTCAAAAGTGTGAATCTCGAACTCGATGATGGGGTTGTCACTAATGTTTAATATTTGTAGCGATTTCGCTACGTAACCTAAAGATTCCGGAACAAAGTCCAGTTCGTTGTGCGACAAATTTATCACGGTCAAGTTTGGGAAGTGTCTCACTGCATCGTGAGGTATTTCCGTTAGTCTGTTGTTCGCTAGATTGAAATCCTGCAATTGTGTTAGTTTCGCCAAGGCTAAGCATGTTACGTGATCCATGACTCGTAGCCTGTTTCCTTCGAAATTTAGGTATTTTAGGTTGGGAGTGTGTATAAATACATTTTTCGATAAGCTATGTAGTCGGTTGTAGGACAAGTCGAGATATTCCAACAGGATTGGTTCATAAACTGTGTTGTTGTATGGACCCTTGAAAACATTTGCGCTTAGTTGTTCGCCTGAAATGACAATTTAGCAATCTGCAAACAGTGTTGTTACTTACGTTCAATTTCATTGTAGCTTAGATCCAAGTATTTTACATTCATCGCATTTTCCAGCAGGCCAGAGGCTAGGTACTTGATTTTGCAATTTGAGTAGATCAATCTGATCTCCTTAGCGTCACTGCCTGGCATCGGATCTAGTGTTGTAATTGTGCTATTTCTAAATGTGGCCTGTAACGAACTCGGATGTTTGGGCCAGTTCGCTAATGTGTGCGTAATTCCTCTACCCTCGCAGTTTATGTAAAGTGTCTCGTTGTTCTGTGATAAATTGCAGGCGCATTTTTTACTACAGAGCTCTGTAGAATTTTCGTAAATACGATCCGGCCTAGCAAAGGCCACCAGCAAGGAAAGGGACAGAAATATCTGTAACAGGAAATATACTAAGTTTGGTGTGTTACTGCAGCTACTTGCTCTGCCCGTCCGTCCATCGATAGCCCTAATTACTACAGTTTTCAATATATTTAGTTCGGTCTTTTCGTATTTGATAGAGTATAGCTCTGGCACCTGATGATTAATGTGCGCATGCGCAAACTGCACAATGTCAACTCTCATCTTTACAGAAATATTTCTTTGAAATTTTAAACATTGATCTTTCTAGTAAAGACAAACATATCGCATATAGCAAAAAATTAGATGTGGGCATGCGCAAACCGTCTTACTTATAGAGATATTTTTTTTAACTTTAACCGTAACTGGTCCTATTTAAAAAAAACGTATCACATATAGTGAACATGTGCGGACTGTTGTGTTACGCTAAAAATGCGGAATTGCGTCTTCAAAAAAAAAAACAGAGCTGACTGCCCGTAATTTAGCGCAAACAGATGTACACGCTGTTTTACCCTCGTGAAAACTAAGCAGCAGTGTCATTTACTCGTCTCCAGTATTTAAGGAAATGCCACTTCCCCCATAAAATAGACTCCTTTAAATTTTTTTTAATAACTCTCTATTATGAAACCCGTCTCCTCTTATCAGCACCAGATGTGCATTTTCTTAAGTTGCCCCTTTTTGTTATTAAAAAAACGCATTTGAAATTTTTGGAAAATTTTTGAAAATAACTGATGTCACCAAATAACTGAAAATGTCAAATTTTGTTTTCATTTGCCCATCTTCAAAGGTCGGAAATGGACGGTTCACGTTAACACCTTGTATGGGCATTTTTTATGGTCATATTGGATTTTTCAGGAATGAGATAGAGGACAGAAAAAGATTAATTGTCACTTTTACATACATTTACAAGAAAAATTTGATAAATGTTTTACCCTCATTTTTGAAAAAAAAAACATCCACAAGTAACTAGATCTTGTTGAATTTCTTTTTTGCCCTCTATTCGCGATTCAGATTAACATTTAGAGGCGCTGGTGTAATTTACAAATTTCGAATTTAGGTGGGAGCGATTTGTAAACGTGGGGTATATTCTAGCAGGTTTTTAAGTGAAACTGAAAGGCCTTTTTCTTAATAACTCGAGGCTGTCTTGCATTAGCTTGAATAAGCAATTAACTTATTTTCCTAATTACAATTAAATATCACAATTTATGATTCAATGTCTAGTGCTCTCTTACAACTTTACAACTCGTCGACATTTTCTTACGTCAATGACGCTTTAAAACGTCATTACCAGTTGTGGCAGAATTACACTAACTACAAATTAAACAATGTGCAGTGCTTTAATGAATGACGATTGTTCAGTTTGGCATAACGGTTTAAGACTCGGACTTTAAGCTCACAGATGGTGAGTTCGAATCCCACAACTTGCCAGTTTTTAGTGGTACAGATCATCTTGAGCCTGACAACCGTACTTCGGAGGGCATGGAAAGGTGGCGGTTCTGGCAGTCATACCACGACTTTCTTTAGGTCACACAGACGGCTGTTGATGCAATTTGAAAACGTCTGTAACCCGGGACTGCCACACATATTAAATAAAGAAATAAAAAATCCGATACAACTGAATATCGAACGATCCTCGAGATCTTCACACATACATCATTTTTACAACACCTTAAGGCGTTACTTCTGGCCCACCAGATCAGAATAGCTTGTAAAACAAATCGGCATTAGTTTTACTACATACAAAATTTCATTTAAATTTCTTAACCAATGAAAAATTTAAGATTGCGCCTGCGTCAAATAAATTTTTTAATTCGGCATTAGTTACTTTTAATCGAGGTGCGTACATATGACATTTCATTTAAATATCTTAACAAATAAAAAATTTGAGATTGCGCATGCGCAAAACCGTTTTTTTTGATTCGGCATTTGTTTTACTTTTATTTGAGGTACCTACATACAAAATTTTGTTTAAATATCTGAACAAATGAAAATTTTGATATTGCGCATGCACAAAATAATTTTTTTGATTAGGCATTAGTTTTATTTTTAATCGAGGTGCGTAGATATGATATTTCATTTAAATATCTTAACAAATTACCAAATTAAAAAAACCGACTGCGCATGCACAAAACAAATTTAATATGGCATTAGTTTTACTTTTATTCGAGGTGCCTACTTACAAAATTTCATTTAAATATCTTAACAAATAAAAAAATTGGGATTGCGCAAATACAAAAGCTGGGTTGCATAATGGCACTGGTCACATTTAAAATTTTTGAAAGTACAGTAATAAAATGTGACTTTTTAAACTATCCTTGTTCTTCAAGTTGTAAGTATATTGATTCCAAATGAAACTTTTGCAAGTGTATTTACTTTTACAATCGTAAACACTACAATATTGATTACTTTTAGTCATTGTAAATAAACGAAATTGCGGTGGTCGCCCACCTGTATTAATTACAATGTGCTGCCACCAGAGGTCTCACTGTTAATCTGACCCCGAAAAATCCAATATGGCGCCCATAAGAAATAGGAAAATAGTAGCCTGTAGCTAGCGTGTTACGGCAATTCTGATAAGAGATTCAGATACTCTGAAAAAAAGTGCCCATAGAAGGTGCTAACGGAAAACGTCCATTTCAGACTGGGGAAGTAGGGAAAATGAAAATGAAATCTTAACATTTTCTGTTTTGTGGTACATTCAAAAATAATTTTTATACATGCGCAGTTCATTGAACTCCATACTAACTGGTAAGGGTCGAACGTTATTACAAAGCGAGGCATTTTTGTGGGTATGCAACCCATTACGTTGTATTTACTATCTTTGTTTAGCATTCATAGAACCACCATGGTCTGTCCTTTTTTCAAGCGTGTGTATACAGGGTGGTGACTTGCGTAACGCATCATAGGGATTTCAATGTAAAATTCGTAACATGCGATTATTGGCTCCCCAAATTATTTTAGAGCAAAAATGTATTAAAGTTTTTTGTAGAAAAATTTTTTTTACGCCATTCAACCGTATTAGTTTTCAATTTTTTGCATAATAAAGACGGAAAATTTGAAAAATAAAACCCGCATCTTTTTCAATAATCTGTGATGCCATTTAATTTTATAATATAAAAACTGTCTTATTGTACCATGACAAAAACCACGCCAATATCCGTTATGCCATGGAATGTCTGCTATAAAACAAATCAAATTCTATCGAAAAGAATTATATTTAGAATAGCGAATGCAACACGCGATGCAACATAAAGAAAGAGCAAATTACTAAAAACGGTTTCCTAATATAACAATTTACAATAAATGTTCGAATAAGTCACCAATTAACTGCAAGAAAGTAACCAAGTCGATCATAAAATCCATTTTGAACTGCTGCTAATTGATAACTGGATATCTTTTTGTTTTAGAAAATTCCAGGGCATTGCAGATTATTGAAAAAGATGCGTGTTTTATTTTTCCAATTTTCCGTCTTTATATGAAAAAAATTGAAAACTAATACGGTTGAATGGCGTAAAAAAAATTTTTCTACAAAAAACTTTAATACATTTTTGCTCTAAAATAATTTGGGGAGCCAATAATCACATGTTATGAATTTTACATTGAAATCCCTATGATGCGTTACGCAAGTCACCACCCTGTATATGTTTGTAAGTCTTGCGGCCTATTAGTTGTCATTTGCACAAAAGGATTTTTATACTTTTACCAGGTATGAGCTAGGAAAGACCGACGCACTGTTGGAGGTTGGAGTACCCTGTATATCTTATTGTAACTGAACATACAATTTTAAAGAAGAATTTTTGAAGTGTCCTTCCAATTAACATACAATCTGGCTTTATTTTGAAAAAAATGATCTTTCAATTGGGGAGATTGGTCTTTTACTTCGTGAAAAATTACCTAGGCCCATCCAAACACGTAGTAACTACAGTCAATACGTGTTTGATACACAATTGAGTTTAATACACACTATAATTTGGGCTTCTCTCAATACAAGTACATATATACCTTCGTGCAGCCAAGAATTATTCAATTGTTTGTCAAAGGGGCGGTGACATCGATCGAAATTGTGCGACGATTGCACGCACAGTACGGAGAGACCCTCCCTCCCTCCTGCCGTTCTGTTTTAAAGAGAGCAAAGAATTTTTTAATGATCGTGAAAAAATTGCATTTGGAGTCATGATTGTAGCCCGAAGACCATTTGTTACCAAATGGTGTTCTGTTACAGGAGGGAGGATTACTGGAGTCGGTGAGTAGGGTAACGAGTGGAAGCGTCAATTGCGCCAAGGAATATTTTTACAATAGTGTGGTAATAAGCTTCCAAATCCAGCGCCCAAAGGAGAGGGGGGCTACAGAATAGCAATAAGAGGCAGAAGAAAGTTTGATGGTTTTCACAACGACTGTACGTACCCGGCATTACACCACGATGCCATAGGTAAATTTGATAAATTCTAATGAAAACTTAGTCACAGATTACAAAGAACATGATTCATATTATACCAATATTGAACCAACCTTACGTTGCAGGGGGTCTATGTTCCCATTTGTGATATATCACATAAGTGAATACAAATTCAGACAATAACAGTAAAATGAAAGCGCTACTTACCTGCTTCATCACTTGTTGTTTTGTAACTTGCCGATTATTATATTCGCCTATTTTTCTCCATTTATCATTAAGTAAACGATATAATCTGAAAACTCACAACCGTAGCGATAAGGAGACTTAATAGAATGACTGTAATCAGTACCTGTACCTACGTGGTTTAAAGTGACTCCTCTAGAGGGGCCCATGCAATCAATGGTGCAGCATTAACCAAATTTACTTCTTAGTCCCTGAAGGGGTGGCTCTACAATTTATGAACACACAGTATATAGATGACCGCTACCAGCTTTATTGAAGACGTGGTATCTAGAGGCGCTTCGTTACGAAAGGTGTTGTTTCAGTTCGTAGTTATTTCTTTTAAGAGTTGAAGACAGAAGATAGAAGTACCTGCTCTAACTTTTAGCGCCGTCTTAACCGTCAATAAGGAGCCAGAAAAATTAATATTTTAGAATTTCAGCTCTGTTAAGTAATTTTTAGATGATTTTGGTTACCTATGTTAATATTTAAAACAAGCATTAAAGCGGCAAAGTCGTGTATTTCATTATCTGTCTGCGAGTAACCCAACATTCCAGGTAACAATGGACATTACTGGGCTACCGAATTTTGAAATTTTTCAATTTATCATGACACCTCACTTTTTAAAACCTTTTGTGACTAATACTAATGGTATCCATAATGCATCAAGGACCAGTGTAGCTGCTTATTTACATTTACAAATTCAAAATATAATGCTTGGGTTTGATCGCACCTGATTGAAATACATTAATAAAAACAAAATTTAATCTAACGAAAGGAATAGTATCACTGAAATTAAATGCAAAATTCCTAATCAATGCTTCTTAACAATAAATACAATACAGAATCTGTTTAATGCAAGTGATTTTCGTGGGTCGATTCCTTTAGGAATATGAAAATTACTTCAAACCAAAGTTTCTTATGCAAATTACTTAAAATAATCGACCACTAGTTTATACAAATCAAAAAATTTTAAATAACTTGCAGTAATTGACTGTTCTGGTAATAATTTGATCTTGTATCTCCCTGCAGAATGCTCCTTCTTTTAGAAGTGTGGAAACAAATCGCTTTGGTAGTACTTACAGTGGACTTTTTGCACCACCTTGGTAACTTATCTTCGTGATACAAAATATATACAGTACAAATAGTACCCACAAAAGCAGAGCATGGGCGTTCATGCAAAATTATACCCAAATCCGAATATTAGATATTAGACACGTTTTTTGAAAAAAAAAAACCATTATACACATTGTGTGCTGAATGCAAGGTTTAGTGGAAAAAAATTACATGATTCGCGAATCCAATCAAACCGGCTTTAAATTCTCGAAATTGATACTCAGGATTGTGATTATGCACAAGAATAAGTCAATGTTCCACTGTGTTTAAGGCATCATTTTTATTACACCAAACTCGAAAACGAAAAAGAGATTATACAGTGCTATTCATTTAGAAGTAGACATAGGGATTTCCCATATCTACTTTTAAAGGACAAAAACCTGTTGAAAGACGCCTAATTTTATGCAACTACAATAACTTCTTAAAACAAATGGAGATTTTGCTGTCATATTAATTAATTGAAATATTATTGCTTTGGCTAACGTATTTAAATTTTCGTCCGTGTGCGATGTATTCATCTGAAGAAAAACTTGATATTGTCAAAATACGTGCGCATGTTATTTCGGTTGCATAAAATTAGAGAATCAGAGAAGCATTTTTGTCATTTAAAAGTAGACATATATAGGAAATCCCTATGTCTACTTCTAAATGAATAGCACTGTATATTTCATATTGGTTTAAAATAGTACTAAATGATGCTGCAGTGTCAATTGTTGTGTTCAATTCAAAAATAGAAAAAAATAGAAATTTTGTATTGTTATTGAATCGTTAAAAGTGGTGCATATTGTCGATACAATTTAATAATGTGCATTTTTGGGCTCTAGAAAATAAGAAAGAAAAGAAAGGAAATAAAGAAAAGATCAAGAGAGAACAGAAAGGAAAGAACGAAACAAAAGTGAATAATGAAAAGAAAGAAAAGAAAAACAAGCCTTCTAATTTACCTATCCAACTAATGCAAACTACATTTTGCAGAAATGTTCCCACGAGTGGTTGCCCCCTCTGTACCATTCGTATAACATTTACATTACAACACGCTCTATGTATTTTACTGTTATTGTCACGGAAATATCATTTGTTTCTCTTTTGCAGGAAAAATTGGAACAATCAAGTGAAATGTTAGACTCTCTATTAACCTCGAATTCGCATACAACAAAACTTCCATGCGAGAAAGCAGTTTCTCTTCACGTTCTAGACGGATCTTCACGATTAACCGATTACACATCCGAACAAACCCGTAAATTAGAAAGCTCCGAGCATCTTCCAGACATACTAAACATAAAGCAAGAAGTTATCATCGAAGAAGAAGAAGAAATGGGCAGAGATCTGTCGATAAAAAAAGAAGATCGAACCTCGCCGCCGCCCGCGCTAACGATCAGGCCTGTTATGGACTACGAACAACGAGTGCTGGACCCCCTAACGCGTTTAAAGAACGATTCCGCAATACAAATCACTCCGATACTTTCCACGAATGCAGATTGCAAACAGTCGTTACCCATTTTACCTGCAGATCACGCCTCCGTTAATGCGGATCCCAATTTTAGTAAAGAAAAATCAGCTTTAAGTATAGAGCCTATACATACAACCAATAGCGTCATTCGTGAAATGTATCCCTCAGAACCTGCCGATCTATCCAATAAGAAACCTGAAAATGTAACGTGTGTGCCTGAAATAGAATTTATTAAGGAAGAAGTGAACGACGCAGCTTCTGATTATAGTAATAGTTCAGATCCGGAACGTTTAGAGGTCGATATGTCTCAGGGAGTGGACGAGCATTCAAATTCGACAACGGCAAGCGCCACGTCACCCACACCCGATCAACAGCAAGAAGAACGGCAGCTCTGGAAAGCTTTATCGCAAAATGGCCACTCTCAGGGACAGTCGTTAACGGGGGAAGCCAGCCAGTTGTTAAGGAAGTTGATTACCTGTCGTAAATTGGGGATGAGCATCACGCCGGCGCCCTCAAACGTACCTGCGACCTTTGATGATCACAGAAATAATTTTGGAAGAGATTTGACGGTAATTTTAATCGCTAATTGAAGCCCAGTTGTAACATTCGTCTCGTTTCAGCTCGATGCAACAGGAAACAAACTGGGAAGACGAAAACAAACATTTCCAACGAAGGCTACTTTGGATGAACCTACGGGAAGAGAGGTAAGTCCGTGTCAAGATTCTGAAGAGGTAGAATACATGCCAGACTTCACTGGTAATAATCCTTGGTTTAATTTGCAAATCGTGAAAACAAAGGTGAGGGAATGCGTAATATTTATAATGTACCTACTTCGTATACTTAGGGTGGAGCGGGAATGGCACGTCGTGTCGACCTCTCTTGCACAAACTGCGGTACACAAACCACAACGATATGGAGAAGAAACGTTAAAGGTGAAATGGTCTGCAACGCCTGCGGCTTGTATTTTAAGCTGCACGGCGTCGATCGTCCTCACACGATGCGAAGAGACACGATTCATACGAGACGCCGGAGGCCGAAGGCGTCCGAGTCTGGGATTGAGAAAGAGAAAAGCAAAGGTAAACACTTCTTAAGCAAACCAAAAAAGATCCGCATTTTAAGTTTCTGTAAATTATATCAATCTTCACTTCTATTTTTCGTTTGATCTGTTATTTCCGACAATAAATTACTGATACATCCAATCAATGAAAGAAAATAGCCAAAATCATTTGTTTGGATTTGATTCTTATCAGTAAATACAATGCAGAATCTGTTCCATGCAAATGGTTCTCATAGGCCGATTTCTTTAGGAATATTAAAATTAATTCAAACAAAATGAATATGCAATTTTCTAAAAATAATTGACCGCTACCTTATACAAATCAAAAACTTATGTTATTGACGTGGGTAGTATTCTCTTCTGGTACTCAAAAATAAAGGCTAAAATAAATGAGTTTGTTGAGTTAAGTCAGTTTGTGTAATTCAGTTTTTCTTTGACAAGCAGGTTTTCGACTCGAAAATATTCCTTCGCGTAAATTTTATCACTTGTAAAGCCTTTCCTCGTCCTGTAATTTACTGTAATTCGTCTATCTACCGCTTCTTAACGACAAGAATTGAAAAATGGCAGCAACGTTCTTGTTTAGAATTTTTTCACTTAAAATAAAGCAGGTAAAATCTTAAAATGAAAATTTTAGCGCACCTCAAATGATTCATAACCAGTTTGACTCATTTGGATCACCTTGTCCAGTTTTTCCCTCTTCTGTTCAGCGCCGGAGATGCGCTTGCATGGTTTGGTGTGTTGTTGAGGCTTGGTGACCTTAACATAGGTTGAGGGGTATCCTGGGACGCCCCCTCTGGTTTATTATTTTGATCAGTCTCCATGTCGGAAGAGATTAGTTATTATTTTTTTGTCTTTGTCCGTTAAAATCCAATATGGCGCCCATAAGAAATAAGAAAGTAGTAGTCTAGCTTAGAAGGTGCTAACAAGAACTGTTCATGAAATGATGGGAAAATGAAAAAGGACATTGACATTTATAATTTTTTGATGATATCTTTGTTATTTTCAAAGATTAAAAAAAAGTTCCAAAAGCGTTTTTGGTATTCCCAAAAAGGGGCAAATTTGCCCCTATTTAACTTAAACTGTATCTATCACTGTTACGGAGATCCCAACGATTTTGAACCACCTTTTACATACAAGTCTGGCTAAACAGTAAGTACAGGGTGTCCCATTTTCAAAACTTTTATAGTGTATATCTGTAATTGTTAGTAGTAGTAGTAATATAGGGGTCATGTGCTCTTTTTGGGTCAAATTTAAAATAGTACAATCAAATTTGAAAATATTCGCCAGCTTAAGATATACAGGGGAAAATTAAAAAAATGTCAATTTCATAATTATCATAAATTTTCTTAAGTAAAAGAGACACAGAAAAATGTTTACCTATTACAAGAGTTTTTTTTATAATGATTGTTGAATAAAGTGATGGGATTTAGATTATTTTTTGATGGAACACTGTATATTTTAATCTAAAAAATAGCATATTAAATTTAAAGTATCTTTTAAAAATATAACATTAGAAAAACTTAATGAGATATTGATACAAAAAGTTAAAAAAAGATTTAAACAAATTCAAAAATCTTTTTAAAACTTTTTTGAATTTTTTTTAATCACTTTAATATTTTTTAAATATTAACCCTGGTGTGTTATATTTTTTAAGAGAAAATTTAGTATGCTATCTTTTTAGACTATAATTTACAAGGTGTTCCATTTAAAAAATGAGGTTAGGTCCGATAACTTTTTTACCTGACCCCGTATACTTACGAGGGGTATCCCAAAAAAACTTGATTTTTTTAATTTTACGTTTTTATTGAACCCAACATTTACAGGACTTTAGTCCCCTTCAGTCCTTTAGTCCATGTGCATTAATACACTTGTTCCAACGTTTCCCCCATTGCTGAAAACAGTTCTGGAACTCCTGATGCGTGTTTCCTTTGACTTCATCCATATTACTGAAAATTAGCTGGGTTGTGCTCCATGATAAATTTGTTTGCTCAAAAACTTGATCAATGGTTTTTCGATGATCTTCATCACTTACACGTGGAATGTTTTTGTCATTTATTTCTGTTGCCCAGGGCGTGGCATGTCATCAGTTGCATCCCCATTGACTTGGCTGTAGTTTTCCCTAACAGAAAACAAAATCACATTCTTTGTTCCTTGTTGTCGGCCATCTTAAATCGCCAAATGGATGATTTTCGCCCGTGTCTCTTAAACAACTGAATATTTTCAAATTGTGATTTTACCCATTTTAAGATTGACCCAAAAAGAGCACATGGCGCCTATATTACTTTTTTGATAGCACTAACAATCATGGAGATACCCTATAAAAGTTGCCGAAAATGTGACACCCTGTACATAAATGGTTATGAAAAATTCCGTTTCAACTCAATCGTTTATAAGACTTCCAATAATTTCACCAGGTCAAAAATCCTATACAGGGTGGGCATTCAAAAAATGATATGAAACGCTTTAAAATAATTTTTTTAAAGATAACTGCTTGTGGATCCCACTGAGGAAAATTTATAAATAAAGCATATGTTAAAATGGTATAATCAAAATTTCGAAATCTTTGCTAGCATAAGAGATACAGGGGGAAAAAAAGTGTCAATCTTGAACAATCTGGTATTTTCAAAATAAATATACGGGGTCAAGTAAAAAAGTTATCGGATCTAACCTCATTTTTTAAATGGAACACCATGTATATTTTAATCTAAAAAGATAGCATATTAGGAAAGATTTAATATGATAAATATTGATTTAAAAACTGATTAAAAAAAATTTTTTTTGAATCTTACATTTTTTAAAAATATCCCTGGTGTTACATTTTTGATGAGACTAAAGAGACTAAACAAGGTGTTCCATTAAAAAATTGAGGTTAGATCCGATAACTTTTTTACCTGACCCCATAAACTTTGGAAATGGCAGATTATTCAACAATCATCAGAAAGAAACTTTTCTAATAAACATTTTTTTTAATCTTTTAATTAAGAACATATAGGGTCATTCTGAAGTTTGATAATTTGTTGATTTTCTCCTGTATCTCTTAAACGAGTGACCATTTTCAAATTTTGATTTTACCATTTTAAGTTTGTCCCAAAAAGATAACACGACAATTACGAAGATATTCTATAAGTGTGGAAAATGGGACACCTTGTACCTAGGTGGTTATCAAAAATTCCGTTTCCACTCAAATGATCTTTTCTACAACTTCCAATGATTTTACCAGGTCAAAAAGCTTATACAGTTCAGTTAATGCTGGACTGCGGTGCTAAGGGGTCCCTGGTTAGAATCCGGGTTCGGGAATGGATATTTGTAAATGTATAGTGGGTTGGGTTGGTAGAGCAGCCTTGGCTGAAACCCCGCCCACTCAAAAATAAAGGCAAAATTTAAAAAAATAAAAAAAATACAGGGTGGGTGTTCGGAAAATGATGTTTTACACTTCAAATTTGGTTTTCAAATGTTTTTTTTAAAGAAAACTGCTTTTCATAATTGGACTCCACCAAGGACACTTTGCAAATTAAAGGGTACGAGGGAAAGTTAAAAAAGTGTCAATTTTAGAATGATCTTATATTTTCTTAATTAAAAGAGACACAGAAAAATGTTGATTACAAGAGTTTCTTTAGATACGAGGCCAGGTAAAAAAGTTATCGGATCTTTTTTTTTTTTTTAATGGAACACTCCTGTATATTTTAATCTAAAAGCATATTAAATTATCTTTTCAAAAATATAACGGTGGAAAAATTTAATGAGATCAATACTGATACAAAAGTATTAAAGAAAGGTTTTAAAAAAATTAAAAATCTTTTTCGAATTTTTTTGAATCTTTTTTTTAAATATTACCACTGATGTGTTATATTTTTGAAGAGAGAATTTAATATACTATCTTTTTAGACTACAATATACAAGGCGTTCCATTAAAAAAAATTAGGTTAGGTCCGAAAACTTTTTTACCTGACGCTAATTTTCTGCCCATTAATTTATTGTACATTGCTCCCATTGGAAAATATAGTGAGTGCGTTTTAGGTAAGAAATCGAGCAGTACAAACGAAGTGGATTACGAAAATTCGTATGAAACACCTCGTAAGGGAAACCGCAAGTCGAACATTTCCGAAGTCGACACGGATGAAATGCTGACCGCATTAAGGAGGCAAATTCCCGTCGCTCCAAAAATAGTTAATAGTAACAGCGAGGCCGACACGGAGGACATGCTGAGCGCGCTGCGCCGACAAATTCAACCCCACCTGGTCATGGCACTGCAGGGCCACGCGAATCCGAGCTATACAAATATTCAGGTGAGCATTCCCAATCGCACGACATTTGTTTTAAGTACGCTTTTAGACGCGAAAGTTTCATCCGATTTTGCCAAAGGAGGAATCTACCATCGGATCGACATTGGAAATGGACGATTCAGACGACGACAGCATTACCGATCTGCCACTTAATCTCGTTGCAACTCAAATGGCCGAAACGGAAACTCATTAGTATTATTTCATTTTTGCCTGTCATTGACGATTGTAGTAAATGGACGCCATCGAGTAAATTATTTTATATACGTATTTAATTGCTCTCTACGTATAAAACGTACTTACAAAAATGCAACTAACAATACTCATTATTACATAACTCAATTACTTAAGTGTTGGTTCATACAGCAACCAATGGTGATATTTTGAGCTATAAATCTACCGTTTATTATTATATTATTATTTCAGTGACATTTTGCTTACGTGTATGCCAGTACCTTAAGTTTCTGTGTATTTATCTGTAGTATTATTTTTACATGTCATTGGCAATACTCAGTATTTTTTAAGTAGTTTCTGTAATTGTTAAATTGAAGCATGTTGAATTGTCGGCACGTTTATGAAATCTGTTACGTTTGATACTAGTAATGTTATATTTGGAGTAAGTGACCTACTTATATTTGTAATTTATGATCGTTTCTGTACTTTTTTACCTAAACCGGTTGATAATTGATTTGTACTTTTATTTAATAACCTTAACAGTAGCGATTAGCAACATTTTGTAGTGTAGTGTGACGTTTTTGTATTATTTTTAAGCTTTTAAAGCAGCAGTTTTCTACGTAGGCTCTCTACCATTTGTGTTATAATTGTTTAAATTCGTCTTTTACTACGAATTCAAATAGTTATAAAGTGAAGTCTAGAGTGGCGTAACATTGTAGTATTAACAAAAGAGTGATATTTCTAACATATTTACCCTAATTTTATTTTGATATTAACTTATTATGATCCAAAATCAGTATTGTATACCTTTTTTTTTACTTTTAAGCCCATTGCCTTAGATGTTTAATTTTATTCTCTAATTTGGCAGCTTTGGAATAGTTTAATCTATTTTGGATTAATTGTTGTATAATTTTTGAAAGACGGTAATTGTTAATTGTTTACGTGAAATTCTAAGAGCCCTTCCCGAACTGAGTGACTGAACGTTTCTTACCTATTTACACTTTACGTACCAATACTCAAATTTAATATACAATTTGGCATTAATAGTTTTAATGTAACATAGGCATTTTATATACTGTTACGAGATTGGTCGGTTGTGAATTTTATTGCGGAAAAGAGATGATAATTGTGCATTGACGTATTGGTCTTTTCCTTGACGTGTATGACTGTAACTCCTAACTGTTGCACTTACTGTTACAGTAAGGAATAATTAAGTTTAATAAGATCTGTTCTTGTAATAACTTAACAAAATCGCTATTAGTGTTAGAATATTTTTTTACAAATAAACATGGCTGCTAATCAAAGTTATTTATTGTGTAATTAAAAAAATACAATTATACAATAGTGGAGCAGGATAACATCTTACAGAATAGATGTATAACACCGGCAATAAGACTGCTGCTCATTCCTATTAATCCACCAAAACAAGTTTTCATATTATTTATAATAGGCATTTACAGGTACCAACTTTTTCTGTTTCTGCAACAAGCCACTGAACGGACGGTCGGCAGAGAGGGGCAGCTACCTCCCTCTAGAGATAAAAAAATGTAGCAAAATGCAAAGCGTCCAAAATCTTGGCTTTTTAGTTTCTGGACCGATAATTCCTTGTTACAATTTTTGTGGTTGTAAAAACTGTTTTCCCGAGAAGTTTTGGTGTAGTCGTTTTTTGGTAAAAAAGGAAGGTTATACACTGCCTTTTTTTGAGGCCCGCGCCCGCCAAAAAAATTGTCTCAGATCGACCCGGAAAAAAAACTTTCTTATAGAATGTGGCCTGTAGAAACCATCATTTCAAACAGTTCCAAGATTGGGCTACTAGTTCAAAAGTTACAGCCCCTTGAATTTTCTTTCGAAATTGGTTTCTAGTCCTTAACTTTTGATTGAGAAGTCTGATCGAAAAAGTATGAATTGTTTTGGATTCTACGCACCATAATTAATAAGAAAATGTGTTTTACAGAGAAATTTTGGTGTAGATGAGTTTTGGTAAAAAAGGAAGGTTATACACTGCCTTTTATTGAGGCCCGCAAAAAAAATTGTCTCAGATCGACCCGGAAAAAAATGTTCTTATAAAATGTGGCCTGTAGAATCCATAATTTCAAACAGTTCCAAGATTGGGCTACTATTTCAAAAGTTACAGCCCTTTGAATTTTCTTTCGAAATTTGTTTCCAGTCTATAACTTTTGATTGAGAAGTCTGATCGAAAAAGTACGAATTGTTTTGGACTCTACGCACCAGAGTTAATAAGAAAAAGTGTTTTCCCAAGAAATTTTGGTGCAGTCGGTTTTTGGTAAAAAAGGAAGGTTGTACACTGCCTTTTTTTGACGCCCACCAAAAAAATTGTCTCAGATCGACCCGGAAAACAACTTTCTTATAGAATGTGGCCTGTAGAATCCATAATTTCAAACAGTTCCAAGATTGGGCTACTAGTTCAAAAGTTACAGCCCCTTGAATTTTCTTTCGAAATTGGTTTCTAGTCCTTAACTTTTAATTGAGAAGTCTGATCGAAAAAGTACGAATTGTGTTGGATTCTACGCATCAAAATTAATAAGAAAAAGGGTTTTCCCGAGAAATTTTGGTGCAGTCGATTTTTGGTAAAAAAGGAAGGTTTATACACTGCCTTTTTTTGAGGTCCGCCAAAAAAATTGTCCGGAAAAAAATTTTCTTATAGAATGTGGCCTGTAGAATCCATAATTTCAAACAGTTCCAAGATTGGGCTACTAATTCAAAAGTTACAGCCATTTGAATTTTCTTTCGAAATTGGTTTCTAGTCCTTAACTTTTGATTGAGAAGTCTGATCGAAAAAGTACGAATTGTTTTGGATTCTACGCACCATAATTAATAAGAAAATGTGTTTTACAGAGAAATTTTGGTGTAGATGAGTTTTGGTAAAAAAGGAAGGTTATACACTGCCTTTTATTGAGGCCCGCAAAAAAAATTGTCTCAGATCGACCCGGAAAAAAATGTTCTTATAAAATGTGGCCTGTAGAATCCATAATTTCAAACAGTTCCAAGATTGGGCTACTATTTCAAAAGTTACAGCCCTTTGAATTTTCTTTCGAAATTTGTTTCCAGTCTATAACTTTTGATTGAGAAGTCTGATCGAAAAAGTACGAATTGTTTTGGACTCTACGCACCAGAGTTAATAAGAAAAAGTGTTTTCCCGAGAAATTTTGGTGCAGTCGGTTTTTGGTAAAAAAGGAAGGTTGTACACTGCCTTTTTTTGACGCCCGCCAAAAAAATTGTCTCAGATCGACCCGGAAAAAAAACTTTCTTATTGAATGTGGCCTGTAGAATCCATAATTTCAAACAGTTCCAAGATTGGGCTACTAGTTCAAAAGTTACAGCCCCTTGAATTTTCTTTCGAAATTGGTTTCTAGTCCTTAACTTTTGATTGAGAAGTCTGATCGAAAAAGTACGAATTGTTTTGGACTCTACGCACCAGAGTTAATAAGAAAAAGTGTTTTCCCGAGAAATTTTGGTGCAGTCGATTTTTGGTAAAAAAGGAAGGTTATACACTGCGTTTTTTTGAGCCCCGAAAAAAAATTGTCTCAGATCGACCCGGAAAAAAAATGTTCTTATAGAATGTGGCCTGTAGAATCCATAATTTCAAACAGTTCCAAGATTGGGCTACTATTTCAAAAGTTACAGCCCTTTGAATTTTCTTTCGAAATTTGTTTCCAGTCTATAACTTTTGATTGAGAAGTCTGATCGAAAAAGTACGAATTGTTTTGGACTCTACGCACCAGAGTTAATAAGAAAAAGTGTTTTCCCGAGAAATTTTGGTGCAGTCGGTTTTTGGTAAAAAAGGAAGGTTGTACACTGCCTTTTTTTGACGCCCGCCAAAAAAATTGTCTCAGATCGACCCGGAAAAAAAACTTTCTTATTGAATGTGGCCTGTAGAATCCATAATTTCAAACAGTTCCAAGATTGGGCTACTAGTTCAAAAGTTACAGCCCCTTGAATTTTCTTTCGAAATTGGTTTCTAGTCCTTAACTTTTAATTGAGAAGTCTGATCGAAAAAGTACGAATTGTGTTGGATTCTACGCATCAAAATTAATAAGAAAAAGGGTTTTCCCGAGAAATTTTGGTGCAGTCGATTTTTGGTAAAAAAGGAAGGTTATACACTGCGTTTTTTTGAGGCCCGCCAAAAAAATTGTCTCAGATCGACCCGGAAAAAAATGTTCTTATAAAATGTGGCCCGTAGAATCCATAATTTCAAACAGTTCCAAGATTGGGCTACTATTTCAAAAGTTACAGCCCTTTGAATTTTCTTTCGAAATTTGTTTCCAGTCTATAACTTTTGATTGAGAAGTCTGATCGAAAAAGTACGAATTGTTTTGGACTCTACGCACCAGAGTTAATAAGAAAAAGTGTTTTCCCGAGAAATTTTGGTGCAGTCGATTTTTGGTAAAAAAGGAAGGTTATACACTGCGTTTTTTTGAGGCCCGCCAAAAAAATTGTCTCAGATCGACCCGGAAAAAAATGTTCTTATAAAATGTGGCCCGTAGAATCCATAATTTCAAACAGTTCCAAGATTGGGCTACTATTTCAAAAGTTACAGCCCTTTGAATTTTCTTTCGAAATTTGTTTCCAGTCTATAACTTTTGATTGAGAAGTCTGATCGAAAAAGTACGAATTGTTTTGGACTCTACGCACCAGAGTTAATAAGAAAAAGTGTTTTCCCGAGAAATTTTGGTGCAGTCGATTTTTGGTAAAAAAGGAAGGTTATACGCTGCCTTTTATTGAGGCCCGCCAAAAAAATTGTCTCAGATCGACCCGGAAAAAAATGTTCTTATAAAATGTGGCCTGTAGAATCCATAATTTCAAACAGTTCCAAGATTGGGCTACTAGTTCAAAAGTTACAGCCCTTTGAATTTTCTTTCGAAATTGGTTTCTATAGTCTATAACTTTTGATTGAGAAGTCTGATCGAAAAAGTACGAATTGTTTTGGATTCTACGCACCAAAATTAATAAGAAAAAGGGTTTTCCCGAGAAATTTTGGTGTAGTCGATTTTTGGTAAAAAAGGAAGGTTATACACTGCCTTTTTTTGAGCCCCGAAAAAAAAATTGTCTCAGGTCGACCCGGAAAAAAAATTTTCTTATAGAATGTGGCCTGTAGAATCCATAATTTCAAACAGTTCCAAGATTGGGCTACTAGTTCAAAGTTACAGCCCTTTGAATTTTCTTTCGAAATTGGTTTCTAGTCTATAACTTTTGATTGAGAAGTCTGATCGAAAAAGTACGAATTGTTTTGGATTCTACGCACCAAAATAAATAAGAAAAAGTGTTTTCCCGAGAAATTTTGGTGTAGTCGAGTTTTGGTAAAAAAGGAAGGTTGTACACTGCCTTTTTTTGAGGTCCGCCAAAAAAATTGTCTCAGATTGACCCGGAAAAAACACTTTCTTATAGAATGTGGCCTGTAGAATCCATCATTTCAAACAGTTGCAAGATTGGGCTACTAGTTCAAATGTTACAGCCCTTTGAATTTTCTTTCGAAATTGGTTTCTAGTGTATAACTTTTGATTGAGAAGTCTGATCGAAAAAGTACGAATTGTTTTGGATTCTACGTACCAAAATTAATAAGAAAAAGTGTTTTCCCGAGAAATTTTGGTGTAGTCGATTTTTGGTAAAAAAGGAAGGAATTGAAATACTATGCGAAGTATTCGAATACTTCTCAAAGTAATCAAATACCTTGCGAAGTATTCGAATACTAAATATTTGTGAAAGTATTGGAGTTACAAATACAAATACTGCTTCCATAAAAGTATTTAATTACAAAGTATTTGAATACTTTAAAGGATTTGAATACTAAAAAGTATTTACAAAATCGAATACTGCCCAGCTCTGGCCAGGCGGCCTTTAAATGTTTAAGTGTAAAGAGCCCACTCCCCATTAATCATCTACCAAAAAAGTACCTAAACATCTTTTATAACCCAACCATTTAATAAGCTATTTTAGTTTAAAAAAATGTGCACAATTTAGGTATACATTTTTGTTTTTACTGATTGAAGCTTTCTATTTATTAAACCCGTGTATCTATAGTACCTATATTATAATGAAAATACGTCTGGAAGATATTTCTGGTGTATTTTAGATTTAAAATGCATAGGTAGGTATATTCTATATGTTGCGATCTAAACATCCATACAACATCCAAAAAGGATAATATTCGTACTGGACATAAAATAATTATGTATGGCACACCTTTAACTGTCTGTGATTTAATGCAAAAAAATCGTACAGAACGCAAATAATAGTGGTACACATTTCGCTTTGCGGCGCGCAATTGCCGTGAAGACTTTTTTATTCTA